ACAACAGACTCACCTTACTCCCCACCACACCCGAACCCGCCCCACCCCACCCCGTCCCACCCCACCCCGCCCCACCCCGTCCCACCCCACCCCATCCTGTCCCACCCCACCCCACCCCACCCCACCCCACCCTACCCCACCTCGCCCGATCCCATCCCAACCCACCCCACATCACCCCTCCCTCTTGTCCAGGTGATGGCGTCGTACTCAGTATCCGACGCGCTAGCAACATATTTCCTGTACAAGACGTACGTGCACCCGTTCATCTTCTCCCTCGCCACCATCATCCCCATGCCGCCCGACGAGGTGCTGCGCAAGGGCTCCGGCACACTCTGCGAGACTCTGCTCATGGTCGAGGTGAGTCAGGCGTGCTGTGCGGTGCTGTGTGGTGCAATGCTGTGTGGTGCGGTACTGTGCTGTGCTGTGCTCCAGTGTGCTGTGCTGCAGTGCTGGTGTGCCTATGACGCCACGGCTGCACATGTTTCTGCCTCTATTGTCCTTAGCATCACCCAAATCCTTGCTCATATGTCACAGAATGTATTGGTGTGAGCAATACATTCGGTTTCATGCTTGTAAGGGTGTAGGTGGGTTATTACATGTACTGTAGACGGGGGATTGGGTGCGTGGGTAGTGTCGCGAAGTTGTTAACCCAGGGACCAGCGAGGCGCGCGCAAGGACAATTTCAAGAGACATCAGGCTGATGGCAATCAGGATGACCAATCCAGAGGTTCCGCGACCTGAGCCCAATGTTACCTGCAGGAAACTGGCCGACACAGGTGTGGGATTATAATAGCCTAGGAACTCATGCCGTAGTTCATTCTCTCGTTTGTTTGCTCGTAATAGTGGATATAGGTTGCCGTTTAACAGCTAACTCCAGCTTAGGCGACTAAGCCACTGTGGGCAGCCATTCGTGGGGGAGGCAGAATCTCTCGATAGTGGCTGAGTACAAAGGAGGGAACAAGGGAGCAGGAACAAGAAGAAAGCAGAGATGAGAGGGAGAGGAAAGGAATAGTGAAGTGACAGGGGCAGGTGACGCAGAAGTTTCCGACACATACATTCTACAATTTTCTCAGACGTACCATAGCAGCATATTGTGCCTGAAAAGGTGCATGAACTTGTTCCAATCGCTTTCCCTTCATCACGTATCTCTTGCACCACCCCTTTTGTCCCTCTCCATATCCCACCCCTACCACCCCTCCCTCTGTCCTACCAACCCCCATCCCACCCCTCCCCCGTCCTCCCAGGCGTACCGCAACAACATCGTGTGTCCCAACAAGCACGTGGATGCAGTGGAGCGGTTTCACAACAACCGGCTGTTGGAGAGTGAGACGTACATAGGTGGCCACGTGGAGTGCCTGGAGAGCGGTGTCTTCCGCTCCGACATCCCCACCAAGTTCCGCCTGCACCCCTCCGCCTACCAGGTGCCCCGCCCCGCCCGCTGCCTGGTTTGGGGTTCTGGGGGTAGGGTGGGAGTGGGGATGGGTGCGGGGTCGGGGTAGGAGTATAGGCGTGACGGTGAGAGTGTCTGGTTGTGGGGGATGATACGCCTCTCTTCTTCCCTTGCCTTCCCTGCTCCCTGGTTTCTGATGCTGATGCTGATATGCTGATGCTGATGCTGATGCTGATGTGCTGATGCTGATGCTGATGCTGATACGCTGATGCTGATGCTGATGCTGATGTGCTGATAATGATGCTGATGCTGATATGCTGATGCTGATGCTGATGCTGATACGCTGATGCTGATACGCTGATGCTGATGCTGATGCTGATACGCTGATGCTGATGCTGATGCTGATACGCTGATGCTGATGCTGATGCTGATGCTGATGCTGATGCTGATGCTGATGCTGATACGCTGATGCTGATGCTGATGCTGATGCTGATGTGCTGATGCTGATATGCTGATGCTGATGCTGATGCTGATGCTGATACGCTGATGCTGATGCTGATGCTGATGCTGATACGCTGATGCTGATGCTGATGCTGATATGCTGATGCTGATGCTGATGCTGATGCGCTGATGCTGATGCTGATGCTGATGCTGATACGCTGATGCTGATGCTGATGCTGATACGCTGATGCTGATGCTGATGCTGATGCTGATACGCTGATGCTGATGCTGATGCTGATACGCTGATGCTGATGCTGATGCTGATACGCTGATGCTGATATGCTGATGCTGATGCTGATGCTGATGCTGATACGCTGATGCTGATGCTGATGCTGATACGCTGATGCTGATGCTGATGCTGATGCTGATATGCTGATGCTGATGCTGATACGCTGATGCTGATGCTGATACGCTGATGCTGATGCTGATGCTGATGCTGATACGCTGATGCTGATGCTGATGCTGATACGCTGATGCTGATGCTGATGCTGATGCTGATACGCTGATGCTGATGCTGATACGCTGATGCTGATGCTGATGCTGATGCTGATGCTGATGCTGATGCTGATGCTGATGCTGATGCTGATGCTGATACGCTGATGCTGATGCTGATGCTGATGCTGATGCGCTGATGCTGATGCTGATGCGCTGATGCTGATGCTGATGCTGATGCTGATGTTGATGCTGATGCTGATGCTGATGCTGATACGCTGATGCTGATGCTGATGCTGATACGCTGATGCTGATGCTGATGCTGATGCTGATACGCTGATGCTGATACGCTGATGCTGATGCTGATGCTGATGCTGATGCTGATACGCTGATGCTGATACGCTGATGCTGATGCTGATGCTGATGCTGATGCTGATGCTGATGCTGATGCTGATGCTGATGCTGATGGGCGCGCTGTACGAGGACCTGGTGTGCGCGCTCAAGGAGATCCCTGAGGCACCTCAATAACCTCTCCCCGTCTCTCCCCTTCTCTCCCCCTCTCCCTCTCTGCGCGTGTGGTCATCAGATGCTGATGGAGAAGCTGGGCGAGGACTTGGTGTACGCGCTCAAGGAGACTCCTGAGGCGCCTCCAGAATCTCTTTCCTCGTTGCTGCCATCCCTCTCTCCCTCTCTGCCATCCCCTCTCGTGTGCCTGTGGCCATCAGATGCTGATAGATAAGCTGGACGAGGACCTGGTGTACGCGCTCAAGGAGGCCTCTGAGGCGCCTCAACATCAACGGTCTCTTCCCCCTTTCTTGGCTCTGTATCCCTCCCTCGCTCTCTGCCCGTGCCCGTCAGATGCTGATAGATAAGTTGGACGAGGATCTGGTGTACGCGCTCAAGGAGGTTTCTCAGGCGTCTCAAGATTAACTGACTCTTCCCGCTCTTGCTTGGCCCTGTCTCCCTCTCCCTCGCTGCCTGTGATTCTCAAATGCTGATAGACAAGCTGGACGAGGACCTCGTGTACGCGCTCAAGGAGATCCCTGAGGCACCTCAATAACCTTTCTGGCTCTCTGGCTCTCTGCTTGTGGCCATCAGATGCTGATAGACAAGCTGGACGAGGACCTCGTGTACGCGCTCAAGGAGGAGGGCGGCATGGCCGTGGAGGATGTCAGCAACTATGAGGACGTTAAGCAGAGCATTGTGGATAAGGTGTGGCGAGGGGTTGGGAGGGGTGAGAGGGGTTGAGAGGGGGTGAGAGGCGATGAGGGGGGTTGAGTGGGAGTGAGAAGGGGATAAGTGATGCCCGTGTGGATGATGTGATTTGTTGCCAGTACAGCAACCTATCCCATTTACGCAATCCACGTGGTTCTTTACCCTGCCCCGCCCTCACCAACCGCACCACTTTGGGCGCACCCAGTTTCTGCTATCCTTCCTACACCCACACCCTCCGCCTCCCTGCATCTTTTGCTCTCTCCCATCCCTGCGTCTCTCCCTTGCACTCACTCTCTCCCGCCTACTTGCACCCCCCCGCCTTTGCAGCTGAGCGCGCTGCGGGATGCGCCAGTGAGGGAGGAGTGTCCGGTGATCTACCATCTGGACGTGGCCGCCATGTACCCCAACATCATGCTCACCAACCGCCTGCAGGTGCCTCTCATCTCACGTGCCTCACACAAGGCGATTAAGTTTCTTGTTTCTAGCCGCATCAAGCAGCCGCCTTAGACCCCAACACCCTGCTCATCAACCGCCTGTAGGTGCGCCTCATCTCATGTGCCCCTCTATGCAGTGATGCTTTTATTTTAGCTGCCTCACAGACCATGATTTCGTGTCTCCCTCCCCGCCATTTCCACTTGCACGTGTACCCGCCCCCATCACATATCCTCCCGTGGCTTATGAGTGGACTATATCGTCATACCAACCGCACTGCCTATCCTCCCATGCATCCCCATCCCCGTGTGCACCCCCAATACTGTGTGCATCGTCAATCCCATGTGCCCCCCCGTGCCATGGCAACAGCCGCCGTCCATAGTGACGGAGGAGGTGTGTGCAGCGTGTGACTTCAACCGCCCAGGCAAGAACTGCCTGCGCCCGCTGGAGTGGGTGTGGCGCGGAGAAACGTACACCGCGTCAAAGAGGTGAGGCTGGGGGCTCATGCATGAATTCATGGAAGCATGTATGCGTGCGTGTAGAGATGCACTCCGAACATGTTTTGTCCCCCCCCCTCCCTCCCCCAGTGCCTATTTTCAGCTGTGCATCTATCCCCCTCACTCGCCTCTGCACCCCTTCTTATTTCCCCTATCCTTCCCCACAACCCTCCTTACCATCGCCCATCCCTCCACACCTCCCCAGCGAGTACTATCAGCTGCGCAGTCAGATGGAGACAGAGCGCTTCCCCTGTGCAGCACACGGGGGCCAGCTGCGCTCGTTCCGCGAGCTGCCCCTGCAGGAGCAGCAGGAGCGCATGAAGGAGCGCCTCAAAAAGTACTGCCAGAAGGTGCGTGTGCTGTACGTGCCCGCATGCACACCCACTTGCCATCACCAAGTAGGTTCCACGGCATAGCCCTGTCTCGACAGCCCCCTCACAACAGCCCTCTCGCACCATCCATGTCACGAGTCCTATCAAGTGCCTACGCTGCTGACATCTTTTCACATCCTCCTTTCTTACACCTGAGCCCTATCAACTGCCCTGTCACGAGCCCTGACTAATCTTGTACCTGTTCCTGTTCCTGTTCCCTGTTCCCCGTGTCCCTCCATCCCCCTACCGCTCCCCCCCGCCCCTCCCAGGTGTACAAGCGGGTGGTGGACAAGCCCAAGGTGGAGGTGAAGGTGGCAGGCGTGTGCCAGCGGGAAAACTCTTTCTATATCGACACTGTCAGGAGGTATGGTTGGGTGTACAGCCCACAGGCCGGCCATGCCCTTCAGGTATGGCCTTGGGCGCGGGCATGGCCATGGCTGTTGCGTGGGCATGGGAATGGGGATGGGGATGGGGATGGGGATGGGGATGGGGATGGGGATGGGGATGGGGATGGGAAAGGGGATGGGGATGGGGATGGGGATGGGAAAGGGGATGGGGATGGGGATGGGGATGGGGATGGGGATGGGGATGGGGATGGGGATGGGGATGGGGATGGGGATGGGGATGGGCACTAGCATGGTGATGGGGATGATTTGAAGGATGGGATGGGGGCTGTCACGGGGGGTTGTTGGTGAACCATTGTTTGCTGATAGCACAGCACGTAAGGCTCTGCTCTGCTCCATTCCATTCCCCCCTTTCCCTCCCACAAACCCACGTTGCCCTTTTGTTTGTTTTTTTTTTTTTTTTCTGTGAACCCCCTCCTTCACCAACCTCCCCTCCAAACCCGCCTCCACCCTCCCCTCCTTCCCCACCCCCCCCCGCTTCTGTGGTGTGGGTCAGTTTCCGTGACCGGCGGTACGAGTACAAGGGGCTGAACAAGAAATGGAAGGGCAAGCTGGCAGACGCCAAGAAGTCCGGCAACGCGTTCTCAATCCAGGAGGCGCAGGTGGGTGTGAGGAGAAGGGGTCAGGAGTCGTGGTGAGAGGAGGCTGCATGGGGTATAGGGGACGCGCACACACGCGGTCACATGGGGTTGGTCGGTTGCTGAGCGTGGGAGGTTGCTGGTGAGGGTGATGATGGGGTGCTGGCCATGGGGATGGTGCTGGCCATGGGGATGGTGCTGCCAGTGCGTGCATGCCATGCCATGGCATGGTGTGGCGTGGTATGGTGGGGTGGGGTGGTTTTGGCTCTCGTGGCGCGTGACTCTGGCAATTGAGCCTTGAGCTTCTGTTGAGGGTTTCTTCTCTCTTCATATTGTGTTTATCATCGCCTCAGGAAAGCCTTTGTTGCTAGACTCTCATATCGTGTCTGTGGGTTATGCCGGGCACTGCACGGCTCTGCGTGTCCGTGTGCTCTCTCCTGCATGTGCTGCGGTGTTTCCCATACGTGACTGTGTGAATGCCTTGTGCGTGCATGAAATGGGGGCCGGGGCGTGCTGCATGCATGTTGCTTGCACGCACACATACATACATACATACATGCACACACCCATGCACACACATGCATGCGCCCATGCATGCACCCATGTGCATGGCAACAGGACATGGTGGTGGTGTATGACTCACTGCAGCTGGCGCACAAGTGCATCCTCAACTCCTTCTACGGCTATGTCATGCGCAAGTATGTATGCCCGCCACTGTCCCATGCCTCGTAGGCTCATCCATGCGATGCACGTGTAATGTGCCTGCCATGCCCTGCACTGCACATTTCATTCCAATAGCTCTTTCCTGAAATAACTCGCACACGCCACCTCTCCTCAATCAACTTCGCTCTTCAACTGCCCCTTCCCCTCTGCAACATCACCCGTGTGAAGGGGAGCGCGGTGGTACTCGATGGAGATGGCGGGCATCACAACGTACACGGGAGCCAAGCTCATTCAGAGTGCAACAGCTACTCTGCCATGCAGCATTTCAAACCTCTACCATTTTTCAACAAACTCCGCCTCCATTCTCCCCCCCCCCACAGGGGAGCGCGGTGGTACTCAATGGAGATGGCGGGCATCACAACGTACACGGGAGCCAAGCTCATTCAGAGTGCGCGGGAGCTGGTGGAGCGAGTGGGCAAGCCCCTGGAGCTAGACACCGACGGCATCTGGTGCTGCCTCCCCGCCTCCTTCCCGCAGGACTTCTGCTTCACTCCCAGGTGCTTGGGGGCACGCCCGGGTGGTGGGACTTGAGGGGGGGGGAGGAGGAGGGGAGGGAGCTTTCGTGGTGCATTGTGTGTGGCGGTTTAAGAACATGGGGGAATGGGGCGACTGGGACATGTATGCAAGGGTGACTGTGTGTGAGGGTGGGGTAGGGATGGTGGTTTAGCCTGGATCGTATCTTCTCTTCCCCGACACCTCATCCCCACTGCTCTCTTGCTCTCGCACACACATATCCACAGCATGCATATCCTTCCCAGTGTCCCATTTTCCTCTTCCCCCCTCCATCCCACCCGCCTCGCTCCCCGCCTTGTGCCATGGGCAGTAAGCCGGGTGGCAAGAAGCTGACGATATCATACCCTTGTGTGATGCTGAACGCGGATGTGAAGAAGCATAACACTAACGACCAGTACCAGGTGGGGATGCTGCTGCTGCGGTGGAGAGTAGCACCACACTGAGTCTGCACTCTTGAATGTGCGCGTACCATGCCATGTACATGCATGCCATACACGTGCATGCCACACTCACCTTTGCCATGTTAACGCATCATTCCATGCGCTGTCCGCACAGACATTGTCAAAGCGCTCTCACCACACCTGTCACCATATCACCGCCTAACCCCGCCCTGCCTCGCCCCACCCTTTCCCCACACACTGTCTCTCACGCTCTCTCCTGTTTGTGGCAGACGCTGGTGGACCCAGAGAGTCGGCGCTATGAGGTGGCGAGTGAGTGCTCCATTGCGTTCGAAGTGGATGGACCCTACAAGGTGCGTGCTCCTCTTTGCACACACGTGCACGTGCACACACAGGCGCGCACACACACAGACGCGCGCGCGTGCCACTCACACACACTTGCTCGTGCACACACAAACGCAGATGCACGTGCACCCTTCCCCTGCCCCCTCCCTCCCTCCCCTCCCCTGCAGGCAATGATTCTCCCGGCATCCAAGGAGGAGGGTGTGCTCCTAAAGAAGCGCTACGCCGTGTTCAACCTGGACGGGTCGCTGGCGGAGCTGAAGGGCTTTGAGCTGAAGCGGCGGGGCGAGCTGAAGCTGATCAAGGTGTTCCAGTCCGAGGTGTTTGAGTGCTTCCTCGCTGGCTCCTCCCTGCCGAGTGCTACGCTGCTGTCGCTGCCGTCGCCAACAACTGGCTCGACATGCTCGATGTACTGTGCTCTGGGCTGGGCTAGTGGATGGGGGTGGGGGTTTGCATTGCAGGGATTGGGGACAGGGGGGTTCTGGGAGTGGGAAAGTGGGGGTTTTGGGTGGGAAGTGAGGGGTTCGGCGAAGCGGGTGTGTCATGCCAAAATGCACTCCCGTCGCTCCCTATGCAACCCTTTTATTGATTGAACCCACCCTGATTCATACCTCTCTCCCACCTGCACCCCTAACTCATACTTGCAACGCCTGTATCCCACACGTTGCCCCCTATCCTTCTCGACGTCGCTTCTGACCCCAGAGTCGTGGGGCAGGGCTGGAGGAAGAAGAGCTGCTGGAGCACATCAGCGAGTCGTGCACGATGAGCAAGGCCCTGGAGGAGTACGGCGGGCGCAAGTCCACTGCCGCCACCACCGCCCTGCGCCTTGCGGACTTCCTGGGCGAGGCCATGATCAAGGACAAGGGGCTCAGCTGCAAGTATATTGTCGCCAAGTACCCCGCTGTGAGTACTATCTGCTGGCTGTGGCCGTATGGAAAAGAGGGAAAGGGCGGGTAAGGGAAGGAGAGAAAGGGGAAATGGGAAGGCAGAGCGTGTTTGGTTGTGGGATGCTTGTTTAATGCATGTTCAATGTTCCTTGTACATCCCCCCCCTGCGTTTTTTCGCTCTCCCTTCCCACTCTCGTTCCACTTGTATTCGCCATACGCCTGTGTTCCAGTGTCCCGTCTGCATGTCTCATCCCAGTTCCCTGCTCCCTGCCTGCTTGCTCCACCCAGACGTCTCCAGTGAGCGAGAGGGCCATTCCCGTGGCCATCTTCAATGCCGAGCCAGGTCAGACACCCATCCCTGCTGCTGCCGCTGCTGCTGCCGCTGCTGCTGCCGCTGCTGCTGCTGCTGTTGCACTTCTGCCACCGCTGCCCCCTCTGACCCGTGCCTGGGGTAATGTTTACCATCATGTGTGCGTCATTTGATTGGCCGTCACTTGTCTTCTGGTTGACGTGCAACTGGTTGCCCGGTTATCGCAAGCCTTCCTTGCAACGCACTCGACCACTATCGTTTCAACAACCCACTCACCTGCATACCTGTCCCATATGCATCGCCATTTCCCCTCCGCACACCCGCGCCTCCTGTCCGTACCTCTCTACCGCACCTCCCGGCCACACCTCCCCTCAGAGGTGATGCGGGTGTACCTGCGCAAGTGGTGCAAGGAGGCGCGCACGGCCCCCTGGACGTGCGCGGCATAGTGGACTGGGACTACTACTACCGCCAGCGCCTCTCCTCCGCCATCCAGAAGATCATCACCATCCCCGCCGCCATGCAGAAGGTGCGCTCAGGCTCAGCGCTGCAAGCCCCTCTCTTCAAACTCTTCCACTCTCTCCACCACCCGCCCTTTAAAAGTCGGGCATGGCCTGTGGTTGGTTGGCATGAGATGGGGCAAGACGATGCATGGTGTGTGTTAAGTTGCTGCCTACTATAGGCGACAGACCGAGTGTTATGACTTGACCTGCTCTTCTCTTTCACCCTTCTCACCTTTCCTCTGACTTCCCGTCCCCCCTCCTTCCCCCCCTCCCCCCTCCCCCCTTCCCCCCCTTCGCTCTCTCCGCCCTTCCACATGCGCTCGCCCATGCTCAATACTGTGCAGGTGAAGAATCCAGTGCCGCGGGTGGCGCACCCTGACTGGCTGTCGAGGCGTGTGCGGCAGCAGGAGGACCGCTGGCAGCAGCGCTCCCTGCGCGCTTCTTCTCCGCCTCCCTCGCTCCTGCCGCTGCTGATGCCACCGCCGATGGTGCTGATGCCGCTGCTGCTGCTGCTGCTGACGCAGGCAATGGTGGTGGGGATGCCAATGCTAACGCGTCTACTGGCCAAGATCCGGTAGAGAAGGGGCAAGTGGTGCGCCAGTTGACTTGGAGGATATTGGCGGACGAGGGGGGAGAGGGAGGGAGGGCGGCACACGTGCAGTGGTGAGGAGGGAGGTCCAGGCAAGGCTGGTGGTTCCGGAACGAGAGGGGGGGAGAGAAGGGGAGGAGGAGGAGAGGGAGAGGGAGGGAAGGGAGGCGAGGGAGCGGAGTCCAGACCCAGGAGAGGACTATGGCAAGTGGTTGCAGCATAAGAAGAGGAAGTGGCGACGCGCGTTGGAAGAGAGGAAGCGACGCAGGTAGGGGTTGACTGAGGGAGGAACTGAGGGAGGAAGGAACTGAGGGAGGAACTGAGGGAGGGACTGAGGGAGGAACTGAGGGAGGGACTGAGGGAGGAACTGAGGGAGGGACTGAGGGAGGAACTGAGGGAGGAACTGAGGGAGGGACTGAGGGAGGAACTGAGGGAGGAACTGAGGGAGGAACTGAGGGAGGAACTGAGGGAGGAACTGAGGGAGGAACTGAGGGAGGAACTGAGGGAGGAGGTATTGAAGGAGGAACTGAGGGAGGAACTGAGGGAGGACTGAGGGGAGATCTGAGGGAGAGGAACTGAGGGAGGAACTGAGGGAGGAACTGAGGGAGGAACTGAGGGAGGAACTGAGGGAGGAAGGAACTGAGGGAGGAAGGAACTGAGGGAGGAACTGAGGGAGGAACTGAGGGAGGAACTGAGGGAGGAACTGAGGGAGGAACTGAGGGAGGAACTGAGGGAGGAAGGAACTGAGGGAGGAACTGAGGGAGGAACTGAGGGAGGAACTGAGGGAGGAACTGAGGGAGGAACTGTGGGAGAAACTGAGGGAGGAACTGAGGGAGGAACTGAGGGAGGAACTGAGGAGGGAACTGAGGGAGGAACTGAGGGAGGAACTGAGGGAGGAACTGAGGGAGGAACTGAGGGAGGAACTGAGGGAGGAACTGAGGGAGGAACTGAGGGAGGGACTGAGGGAGGAACTGAGGGAGGAACTGAGGGAGGGACTGAGGGAGGAACTGAGGGAGGAAGGAACTGAGGGAGGAACTGAGGGAGGAACTGAGGGAGGAACTGAGGGAGGAACTGAGGGAGGAACTGAGGGAGGAACTGAGGGAGGAAGGAACTGAGGGAGGAACTGAGGGAGGAACTGAGGGAGGAACTGAGGGAGGAACTGAGGGAGGAACTGTGGGAGAAACTGAGGGAGGAACTGAGGGAGGAACTGAGGGAGGAACTGAGGGAGGAACTGAGGGAGGAACTGAGGGAGGAACTGAGGGAGGAACTGAGGGAGGAACTGAGGGAGGAACTGAGGGAGGAAGGTATTGAAGGAGGAACTGAGGGAGGAACTGAGGGAGGAACTGAGGGAGGAACTGAGGGAGGAACTGAGGGAGGAACTGAGGGAGGAACTGAGGGAGGAACTGAGGGAGGAACTGAGGGAGGAAGGAACTGAGGGAGGAAGGAACTGAGGGAGGAACTGAGGGAGGAACTGAGGGAGGAACTGAGGGAGGAACTGAGGAGGGAAGGAACTGAGGGAGGAACTGAGGGAGGAAGGAACTGAGGGAGGAACTGAGGGAGGAACTGAGGGAGGAACTGAGGGAGGAACTGAGGGAGGAACTGTGGGAGAAACTGAGGGAGGAACTGAGGGAGGAACTGAGGGAGGAACTGAGGGAGGAACTGAGGGAGGAACTGAGGGAGGAACTGAGGGAGGAACTGAGGGAGGAACTGAGGGAGGAACTGAGGGAGGAACTGAGGGAGGAACTGAGGGAGGGACTGAGGGAGGAACTGAGGGAGGAACTGAGGGAGGAACTGAGGGAGGAAGGAACTGAGGGAGGAACTGAGGGAGGAACTGAGGGAGGAACTGAGGGAGGAACTGAGGGAGGAACTGAGGGAGGAACTGAGGGAGGAACTGAGGGAGGAAGGAACTGAGGGAGGAACTGAGGGAGGAACTGAGGGAGGAACTGAGGGAGGAACTGAGGGAGGAACTGTGGGAGAAACTGAGGGAGGAACTGAGGGAGGAACTGAGGGAGGAACTGAGGGAGGAACTGAGGGAGGAACTGAGGGAGGAACTGAGGGAGGAACTGAGGGAGGAACTGAGGGAGGAACTGAGGGAGGAACTGAGGGAGGGACTGAGGGAGGAACTGAGGGAGGAACTGAGGGAGGAAGGAACTGAGGGAGGAAGGAACTGAGGGAGGAACTGAGGGAGGAACTGAGGGAGGAACTGAGGGAGGAACTGAGGGAGGAACTGAGGGAGGAACTGAGGGAGGAACTGAGGGAGGAAGGAACTGAGGGAGGAACTGAGGGAGGAACTGAGGGAGGAACTGAGGGAGGAACTGAGGGAGGAACTGTGGGAGAAACTGAGGGAGGAACTGAGGGAGGAACTGAGGGAGGAACTGAGGGAGGAACTGAGGGAGGAACTGAGGGAGGAACTGAGGGAGGAACTGAGGGAGGAACTGAGGGAGGAACTGAGGGAGGGACTGAGGGAGGAACTGAGGGAGGAACTGAGGGAGGAAGGAACTGAGGGAGGAACTGAGGGAGGAACTGAGGGAGGAACTGAGGGAGGAACTGAGGGAGGAACTGAGGGAGGAACTGAGGGAGGAACTGAGGGAGGAAGGAACTGAGGGAGGAACTGAGGGAGGAACTGAGGGAGGGAGGAACTGAGGGAGGGAGGAACTGAGGGAGGAACTGAGGGAGGAACTGTGGGAGAAACTGAGGGAGGAACTGAGGGAGGAACTGAGGGAGGAACTGAGGGAGGGACTGAGGGAGGAACTGAGGGAGGGACTGAGGGAGGAACTGAGGGAGGAACTGAGGGAGGAACTGAGGGAGGAACTGAGGGAGGAACTGAGGGAGGAACTGAGGGAGGAACTGAGGGAGGAACTGAGGGAGGAACTGAGGGAGGAACTGAGGGAGGAACTGAGGGAGGAAGGAACTGAGGGAGGAACTGAGGGAGGAACTGAGGGAGGAACTGAGGGAGGAACTGAGGGAGGAACTGAGGGAGGAACTGAGGGAGGAAGGAACTGAGGGAGGAACTGAGGGAGGAACTGAGGGAGGAACTGAGGGAGGAACTGAGGGAGGAACTGAGGGAGGAACTGAGGGAGGAACTGAGGGAGGAACTGAGGGAGGAACTGAGGGAGGAACTGAGGGAGGAACTGAGGGAGGAACTGAGGGAGGAACTGAGGGAGGAAGGAACTGAGGGAGGAACTGAGGGAGGAACTGAGGGAGGAACTGAGGGAGGGAGGAACTGAGGGAGGAACTGAGGGAGGAACTGTGGGAGAAACTGAGGGAGGAACTGAGGGAGGAACTGAGGGAGGAACTGAGGGAGGAACTGAGGGAGGAACTGAGGGAGGGAGGTACTGAAGGAGGAACTGAGGGAGGGGGTACTGAAGGAAGACTGAGGGAGGAACTGAGGGAGGAACTGAGGGAGGAACTGAGGGAGGATCTGAGGAGGAACTGAGGGAGGAACTGAGGGAGGAACTGAGGGAGGAACTGAGGGAGGAACTGAGGGAGGAACTGAGGGAGGAACTGAGGGAGGGAGGAACTGAGGGAGGAACTGAGGGAGGGACTGAGGGAGGAACTGAGGGAGGAACTGAGGGAGGAAGGAACTGAGGGAGGAAGGAACTGAGGGAGGAACTGAGGGAGGAACTGAGGGAGGAACTGAGGGAGGAACTGAGGGAGGAACTGAGGGAGGAACTGAGGGAGGAAGGAACTGAGGGAGGAACTGAGGGAGGAACTGAGGGAGGAACTGAGGGAGGAACTGAGGGAGGAACTGTGGGAGAAACCGAGGGAGGAACTGAGGGAGGAACTGAGGGAGGAACTGAGGGAGGAACTGAGGGAGGAACTGAGGGAGGAACTGAGGGAGGAACTGAGGGAGGAACTGAGGGAGGAACTGAGGGAGGAACTGAGGGAGGGACTGAGGGAGGAACTGAGGGAGGAACTGAGGGAGGAAGGAACTGAGGGAGGAAGGAACTGAGGGAGGAACTGAGGGAGGAACTGAGGGAGGAACTGAGGGAGGAACTGAGGGAGGAACTGAGGGAGGAACTGAGGGAGGAACTGAGGGAGGAAGGAACTGAGGGAGGAACTGAGGGAGGAACTGAGGGAGGAACTGAGGGAGGAACTGAGGGAGGAACTGTGGGGAGAAACTGAGGGAGGAACTGAGGGAGGAACTGAGGGAGGAACTGAGGGAGGAACTGAGGGAGGAACTGAGGGAGGAACTGAGGGAGGAACTGAGGGAGGAACTGAGGGAGGAACTGAGGGAGGGACTGAGGGAGGAACTGAGGGAGGAACTGAGGGAGGAAGGAACTGAGGGAGGAACTGAGGGAGGAACTGAGGGAGGAACTGAGGGAGGAACTGAGGGAGGAACTGAGGGAGGAACTGAGGGAGGAACTGAGGGAGGGAGGAACTGAGGGAGGAACTGAGGGAGGAACTGAGGGAGGGAGGAACTGAGGGAGGGAGGATCTGAGGGAGGAACGAGGGAGGAACTGTGGGAGAAACTGAGGGAGGAACTGAGGGAGGAACTGAGGGAGGAACTGAGGGAGGAACTGAGGGAGGAACTGAGGGAGGAACTGAGGGAGGAACTGAGGGAGGAACTGAGGGAGGAACTGAGGGAGGAACTGAGGGAGGAACTGAGGGAGGGACTGAGGGAGGAACTGAGGGAGGAAGGAACTGAGGGAGGAACTGAGGGAGGAACTGAGGGAGGAACTGAGGGAGGAACTGAGGGAGGAACTGAGGGAGGAACTGAGGGAGGAACTGAGGGAGGAACTGAGGGAGGAAGGAACTGAGGGAGGGACTGAGGGAGGAACTGAGGGAGGAACTGAGGGAGGAACTGAGGGAGGAACTGAGGGAGGAACTGAGGGAGGAAGGAACTGAGGGAGGAACTGAGGGAGGAACTGAGGGAGGAACTGAGGGAGGAACTGAGGGAGGAACTGAGGGAGGAACTGAGGGAGGAACTGAGGGAGGAACTGAGGGAGGAACTGAGGGAGGAACTGAGGGAGGAACTGAGGGAGGAACTGAGGGAGGAACTGAGGGAGGAACTGAGGGAGGGACTGAGGGAGGAACTGAGGGAGGAACTGAGGGAGGAAGGAACTGAGGGAGGAACTGAGGGAGGAACTGAGGGAGGAACTGAGGGAGGAACTGAGGGAGGAACTGAGGGAGGAACTGAGGGAGGAACTGAGGGAGGAACTGAGGGAGGGACTGAGGGAGGAACTGAGGGAGGAAGGAACTGAGGGAGGAACTGAGGGAGGAACTGAGGGAGGAACTGAGGGAGGAACTGAGGGAGGAAGGAACTGAGGGAGGAACTGAGGGAGGAACTGAGGGAGGAACTGAGGGAGGAACTGAGGGAGGAACTGAGGGAGGAACTGAGGGAGGAACTGAGGGAGGAACTGAGGGAGGAACTGAGGGAGGAACTGAGGGAGGAACTGAGGGAGGAACTGAGGGAGGAACTGAGGGAGGAAGGAACTGAGGGAGGAACTGAGGGAGGAACTGAGGGAGGGAGGAACTGAGGGAGGGAGGAACTGAGGGAGGAACGGAGGGAGGAACTGTGGGAGAAACTGAGGGAGGAACTGAGGGAGGAACTGAGAGGAGGGAACTGAGGGAGGAACTGAGGGAGGAACTGAGGGAGGAACTGAGGGAGGGACTGAGGGAGGAACTGAGGGAGGAACTGAGGGAGGAACTGAGGGAGGAACTGAGGGAGGAACTGAGGGAGGAACTGAGGGAGGAACTGAGGGAGGAACTGAGGGAGGAACTGAGGGAAGGAACTGAAGGGAGGAATGAACTGAGGGAGGGACTGAGGGAGGAACTGAGGGAGGAACTGAGGGAGGAACTGAGGGAGGAACTGAGGAGGACTGAGGGAGAAGCTGAGGGAGGAACTGAGGGAGGAACTGAGGGAGGAACTGAGGGAGGAACTGAGGGAGGAACTGAGGGAGGAACTGAGGGAGGAACTGAGGGAGGAACTGAGGGAGGAAGGAACTGAGGGAGGGACTGAGGGAGGAACTGAGGGAGGAACTGAGGGAGGAACTGAGGGAGGAACTGAGGGAGGAACTGAGGGAGGAACTGAGGGAGGAAGGAACTGAGGGAGGAACTGAGGGAGGAACTGAGGGAGGAACTGAGGGAGGAAGGAACTGAGGGAGGAACTGAGGGAGGAACTGAGGGAGGAACTGAGGGAGGAACTGAGGGAGGAACTGAGGGAGGAACTGAGGGAGGAACTGAGGGAGGAACTGAGGGAGGAACTGATGGAGGACTGAGGGAGGAACTGAGGGAGTAACTGAAGGAGGAACTGAGGGAGGAACTGAGGGAGGGACTGAGGGAGGAACTGAGGGAGGAACTGAGGTAGGAGCTGAGGTAGGAGCTGAGGGAGGAACTGAGGGAGGAACTGAGGGAGGAACTGAGGGAGGAACTGAGGGAGGAACTGAGGGAGGGAGGAACTGAGGGAGGGAGGAACTGAGGGAGGAACTGAGGGAGGAACTGAGGGAGGAACTGAGGGAGGAACTGAGGGAGGAACTGTGGGAGAAACTGAGGGAGGAACTGAGGGAGGAACTGAGGGAGGAAGGAACTGAGGGAGGGACTGAGGGAGGAACTGAGGGAGGAACTGAGGGAGGAACTGAGGGAGGAACTGAGGGAGGAACTGAGGGAGGAACTGAGGGAGGAAGGAACTGAGGAGGATCTGAGGGAGGAACTGAGGGAGGAACTGAGGGAGGAACTGAGGGAGGAACTGAGGGAGGAACTGAGGGAGGAACTGAGGGAGGAACTGAGGGAGGAACTGAGGGAGGAACTGAGGGAGGAACTGAGGGAGGAACTGAGGGAGGACTGGGGAGGAACTGAGGGAGGAAGGAATTGAGGGAGGGAATGGGGGAACTGAGGGAGGAACTGAGGGAGGAACTGAGGGAGGAACTGAGGGAGGAACTGAGGGAGGAACTGAGGGAGGAACTGAGGGAGGAACTGAGGGAGGAACTGAGGGAGGAAACTGAGGGAGGAACTGAGGGAAAAAAAGGAACTGAGGGAGGAACTGAGGGAGGAACTGAGGGAGGAACTGAGGGAGAACGGAGGGAGGAACTGAGGGAGGAACTGAGGGAGGAACTGAGGGAGGGACTGAGGGAGGAACAGTGAGGAGAGGAACTGAGGGAGGAAGGAACTGAGGGAGGAACTGAGGGAGGAACTGAGGGAGGGAAGTGAGGAGGAACTGAGGGAGGAAGGAACTGAGGGAGGAACTGAGGGAGGAACTGAGGGAGGAACTGAGGGAGGAACTGAGGGAGGAACTGAGGGAGGTACTGAAGGAGGAACTGAGGGAGGAACTGAGGGAGGAACTGAGGGAGGAAGGAACTGAGGGAGGAACTGAGGGAGGAACTGAGGGAGGAACTGAGGGAGGAACTGAGGGAGGAACTGAGGGAGGAGCTGAGGGAGGATCTTAGGGAGGAGCTGAGGGAGGAACTGAGAGGAATGAGGGAGGAACTGAGGGAGGAACTGAGGGAGGAACTGAGGGAGGAACTGAGGGAGGAACTGAGGGAGGAACTGAGGGAGGAACTGAGGGAGGAACTGAGGGAGGAAGGAATTGAGGGAGGGAAGGAGGGAGGAACTGAGGGAGGAACTGAGGGAGGAACTGAGGGAGGAACTGAGGGAGGAACTGAGGGAGGAACTGAGGGAGGAACTGAGGGAGGAACTGAGGGAGGAACTGAGGGAGGAACTGAGGGAGGAACTGAGGGAGGAAGGAACTGAGGGAGGGACTGAGGGAGGAACTGAGGGAGGAACTGAGGGAGGAACTGAGGGAGGAACTGAGGGAGGAACTGAGGGAGGAACTGGGGAGAAATGAGGGAGGAACTGAGGGAGGAACTGAGGGAGGAACTGAGGGAGGAACTGAGGGAGGAACTGAGGAGAACTGAGGGAGGAACTGAGGGAGGAACTGAGGGAGGAACTGAGGGAGGAACTGAGGGAGGAACTGAGGGAGGGACTGAGGGAGGAACTGAGGGAGGAACTGAGGGAGGAACTGAGGGAGGAACTGAGGGAGGAAGGAACTGAGGGAGGAACTGAGGGAGGGAGGAACTGAGGAGGGAGGAACTGAGGAGGAACTGAGGGAGGAACTGTGGGACAAACTGAGGGAGGAACTGAGGGAGGAACTGAGGGAGGAAGGAACTGAGGGAGGAACTGAGGGAGGAACTGAGGGAGGAACTGAGGGAGGAACTGAGGGAGGAACTGAGGGAGGAACTGAGGGAGGAACTGAGGGAGGAAGGAACTGAGGGAGGAACTGAGGGAGGAACTGAGGGAGGAACTGAGGGAGGAACTGAGGGAGGAACTGAGGGAGGAACTGAGGGAGGAACTGAGGGAGGAACTGAGGGAGGAACTGAGGGAGGAACTGAGGGAGGAACTGAGGGAGGTACTGAAGGAGGAACTGAGGGAGGAGCTGAGGGAGGAACTGAGGGAGGAGCTGAGGGAGGAGCTGAGGGAGGAGCTGAGGGAGGACCGAGGGAGGACTGAGGGAGGAACTGAGGAGCAGCTGAGGAGGAACTGAGGGAGGAACTGAGGGAGGAACTGAGGGAGGAACTGAGGGAGGAAGGAACTGAGGGGAGGGAATGAGGGAGAAACTGAGGGAGGAACTGAGGGAGAACTAAGGAGGAACTGAGGGAGGAACTGAGGGAGGAACTGAGGGAGGAAGGAACTGAGGGAGGAACTGAGGGAGGAACTGAGGGAGGAACTGAGGGAGGAACTGAGGGAGGAACTGAGGGAGGGACTGAGGGAGGAACTGAGGGAGGAACTGAGGGAGGAAGGAACTGAGGGAGGAACTGAGGGAGGAAGGAACTGAGGGAGGAACTGAGTTGGGAACTTAGGTGAGAACTGAGGGAGGAACTGAGGGAGGAACTGAGGGAGGAACTGAGGGAGGAACTGAGGGAGGGACTGAGGGAGGAACTGAGGGAGGAACTGAGGGAGGGAGGAACTGAGGGAGGAACTGAGGATGAACTGAGGGAGGAACTGAGGGAGGAACTGAGGGAGGAAGGAACTGAGGGAGGAACTGAGGGAGGAACTGAGGGAGGAACTGAGGGAGGAACTGAGGAGGAAACTGAGGAATGAACTGAGGGAGGGAAGTTAGGGAGGAACTGAGGGAGGAAGGAACTGAGGGAGGAACTGAGGGAGGAACTGAGGGAGGAACTGAGGGAGGAACTGAGGTAGGTACTGAAGGGGAACTGAGGAGAGACTGAGGGAGGAACTGAGGGAGGAACTGAGGGATGAGCTGAGGGAGGAGCTGAGGGGAGTAACTGAGGGAGGAACTGAGGGAGGAGCTGAGGGAGGAGCGAGGAACTGAGGGAGGCTGAGGGATGAACTGAGGGAGGAAACTGAGGGAGGAACTGAGAGGAGAGGTACTGAGGTAGGGATGAGGTAGGAACTGAGGGAGGAACGCTGATTCTGAACTGAGGGAGGGACTGAGGGAGGGACTGAGGGAGGAACTGAGGGAGGAACTGAGGGAGGAAGGAACTGAGGGAGGAACTGAGGGAGGAACTGAGGGAGGAACTGAGGGAGGAACTGAGGGAGGAACTGAGGGAGGGACTGAGGGAGGAACTGAGGGAGGAACTGAGGGAGGAACTGAGGGAGGAACTGAGGGAGGAACTGAGGGAGGAACTGAGGGAGGAACTGAGGGAGGAACTGAGGGAGGAACTGAGGGAGGAACTGAGGGAGGAACTGAGGGAGGAACTGAGGGAGGAACTGAGGGAGGAACTGAGGGAGGAACTGAGGGAGGAACTGAGGGAGGAACTGAGGGAGGAACTGAGGGAGGAACTGAGGGAGGAACTGAGGGAGGAAGGAACTGAGGGAGGAACTGAGGGAGGAACTGAGGGAGGAACTGAGGGAGGAAGGAATTTGAGGAGGAACTGAGGGAGGAACTGAGGGAGGAACTGAGGGAGGAACTGAGGGAGGAACTGAGGGAGGAACTGAGGGAGGAACTGAGGGAGGAACTGAGGGAGGAACTGAGGGAGGGACTGAGGGAGGAACTGAGGGAGGAACTGAGGGAGGAAGGAACTGAGGGAGGAAGGAACTGAGGGAGGAACTGAGGGAGGAACTGAGGGAGGAACTGAGGGAGGAACTGAGGGAGGAACTGAGGGAGGAACTGAGGGAGGAAGGAACTGAGGGAGGAACTGAGGGAGGAACTGAGGGAGGGAGGAACTGAGGGAGGGAGGAACTGAGGGAGGAACTGAGGGAGGAACTGGTGGGAGAAACTGAGGGAGGAACTGAGGGAGGAACTGAGGGAGGAACTGAGGGAGGAACTGAGGGAGGAACTGAGGGAGGAACTGAGGGAGGAACTGAGGGAGGAACTGAGGGAGGAACTGAGGGAGGAACTGAGGGAGGAACTGAGGGAGGAACTGAGGGAGGAACTGAGGGAGGAACTGAGGGAGGAACTGAGGGAGGAAGGAACTGAGGGAGGGACTGAGGGAGGAACTGAGGGAGGAACTGAGGGAGGAACTGAGGGAGGAACTGAGGGAGGAACTGAGGGAGGAAGGAACTGAGGGAGGAACTGAGGGAGGAACTGAGGGAGGAACTGAGGGAGGAACTGAGGGAGGAACTGAGGGAGGAAGGAACTGAGGGAGGAACTGAGGGAGGAACTGAGGGAGGAACTGAGGGAGGAACTGAGGGAGGAACTGAGGGAGGAACTGAGGGAGGAACTGAGGGAGGAACTGAGGGAGGGACTGAGGGAGGAACTGAGGGAGGAACTGAGGGAGGAAGGAACTGAGGGAGGAACTGAGGGAGGAACTGAGGGAGGAACTGAGGGAGGAACTGAGGGAGGAACTGAGGGAGGAACTGAGGGAGGAACTGAGGGAGGAACTGAGGGAGGAACTGAGGGAGGAAGGAACTGAGGGAGGAACTGAGGGAGGAACTGAGGGAGGAACTGAGGGAGGAACTGAGGGAGGAAGGAACTGAGGGAGGAACTGAGGGAGGAACTGAGGGAGGAACTGAGGGAGGAACTGAGGGAGGAACTGAGGGAGGAACTGAGGGAGGAACTGAGGGAGGAACTGAGGGAGGAACTGAGGGAGGAACTGAGGGAGGAACTGAGGGAGGAACTGAGGGAGGAACTGAGGGAGGAACTGAGGGAGGAAGGAACTGAGGGAGGAACTGAGGGAGGAACTGAGGGAGGGAGGAACTGAGGGAGGAACTGAGGGAGGAACTGAGGGAGGAACTGTGGAGAAACTGAGGGAGGAACTGAGGGAGGAACTGAGGGAGGAACTGAGGGAGGAACTGAGGGAGGAACTGAGGGAGGAACTGAGGGAGGGACTGAGGGAGGAACTGAGGGAGGAACTGAGGGAGGAACTGAGGGAGGAACTGAGGGAGGAACTGAGGGAGGAACTGAGGGAGGAACTGAGGGAGGAACTGAGGGAGGAACTGAGGGAGGAACTGAGGGAGGAAGGAACTGAGGGAGGGACTGAGGGAGGAACTGAGGGAGGAACTGAGGGAGGAACTGAGGGAGGAACTGAGGGAGGAACTGAGGGAGGAACTGAGGGAGGAACTGAGGGAGGAACTGAGGGAGGAACTGAGGGAGGAACTGAGGGAGGAACTGAGGGAGGAAGGAACTGAGGGAGGGACTGAGGGAGGAACTGAGGGAGGAACTGAGGGAGGAACTGAGGGAGGAACTGAGGGAGGAACTGAGGGAGGAACTGAGGGAGGAAGGAACTGAGGGAGGAACTGAGGGAGGAACTGAGGGAGGAACTGAGGGAGGAAGGAACTGAGGGAGGAACTGAGGGAGGAACTGAGGGAGGAACTGAGGGAGGAACTGAGGGAGGAACTGAGGGAGGAACTGAGGGAGGAACTGAGGGAGGAACTGAGGGAGGAACTGAGGGAGGAACTGAGGGAGGAACTGAGGGAGTAACTGAAGGAGGAACTGAGGGAGGAACTGAGGGAGGGACTGAGGGAGGAACTGAGGGAGGAACTGAGGTAGGAGCTGAGGTAGGAGCTGAGGGAGGGACTGAGGGAGGAACTGAGGGAGGAACTGAGGGAGGAACTGAGGGAGGAACTGAGGGAGGAACTGAGGGAGGAACTGAGGGAGGGAGGAACTGAGGGAGGGAGGAACTGAGGGAGGAACTGAGGGAGGGAGGAACTGAGGGAGGAACTGAGGGAGGAACTGTGGGAGGAACTGAGGGAGGAACTGTGGGAGAAACTGAGGGAGGAACTGAGGGAGGAACTGAGGGAGGAAGGAACTGAGGGAGGGACTGAGGGAGGAACTGAGGGAGGAACTGAGGGAGGAACTGAGGGAGGAACTGAGGGAGGAAGGAACTGAGGGAGGAACTGAGGGAGGAACTGAGGGAGGAACTGAGGGAGGAACTGAGGGAGGAACTGAGGGAGGAACTGAGGGAGGAACTGAGGGAGGAACTGAGGGAGGAACTGAGGGAGGGACTGAGGGAGGAACTGAGGGAGGAACTGAGGGAGGAACTGAGGGAGGAACTGAGGGAGGAAGGAACTGAGGGAGGGACTGAGGGAGGAACTGAGGGAGGAACTGAGGGAGGAACTGAGGGAGGAACTGAGGGAGGAACTGAGGGAGGAACTGAGGGAGGAACTGAGGGAGGAACTGAGGGAGGAACTGAGGGAGGAACTGAGGGAGGAACTGAGGGAGGAACTGAGGGAGGAACTGAGGGAGGAACTGAGGGAGGAACTGAGGGAGGAACTGAGGGAGGAACTGAGGGAGGAACTGAGGGAGGAACTGAGGGAGGAACTGAGGGAGGGACTGAGGGAGGAACTGAGGGAGGAACTGAGGGAGGAAGGAACTGAGGGAGGAACTGAGGGAGGAACTGAGGGAGGAACTGAGGGAGGAACTGAGGGAGGAAGGAACTGAGGGAGGAACTGAGGGAGGAACTGAGGGAGGAACTGAGGGAGGAACTGAGGGAGGAACTGAGGGAGGTACTGAAGGAGGAACTGAGGGAGGAACTGAGGGAGGAACTGAGGGAGGAACTGAGGGAGGAACTGAGGGAGGAACTGAGGGAGGGACTGAGGGAGGAACTGAGGGAGGAACTGAGGGAGGAACTGAGGGAGGAACTGAGGGAGGAACTGAGGGAGGAACTGAGGGAGGAACTGAGGGAGGAACTGAGGGAGGAACTGAGGGAGGAACTGAGGGAGGAACTGAGGGAGGAACTGAGGGAGGAACTGAGGGAGGAACTGAGGGAGGAACTGAGGGAGGAAGGAACTGAGGGAGGGACTGAGGGAGGAACTGAGGGAGGAACTGAGGGAGGAACTGAGGGAGGAACTGAGGGAGGAACTGAGGGAGGAACTGAGGGAGGAACTGAGGGAGGAACTGAGGGAGGAACTGAGGGAGGAACTGAGGGAGGAACTGAGGGAGGAAGGAACTGAGGGAGGGACTGAGGGAGGAACTGAGGGAGGAACTGAGGGAGGAACTGAGGGAGGAACTGAGGGAGGAACTGAGGGAGGAACTGAGGGAGGAACTGAGGGAGGAACTGAGGGAGGAACTGAGGGAGGAACTGAGGGAGGAACTGAGGGAGGAACTGAGGGAGGAACTGAGGGAGGAACTGAGGGAGGAACTGAGGGAGGAACTGAGGGAGGAACTGAGGGAGGAACTGAGGGAGGAACTGAGGGAGGAACTGAGGGAGGAACTGAGGGAGGAAGGAACTGAGGGAGGAACTGAGGGAGGGAGGAACTGAGGGAGGGAGGAACTGAGGGAGGAACGAGGGAGGAACTGTGGGACAAACTGAGGGAGGAACTGAGGGAGGAAGGAACTGAGGGAGGGAGGAACTGAGGGAGGGACTGAGGGAGGAACTGAGGGAGGAACTGAGGGAGGAACTGGGCAGGAACTGAGGGAGGAACTGAGGGAGGAACTGAGGGAGGAAGGAACTGAGGGAGGAACTGAGGGAGGAACTGAGGGAGGAACTGAGGGAGGAACTGAGGGAGGAACTGAGGGAGGAACTGAGGGAGGAACTGAGGGAGGAACTGAGGGAGGAACTGAGGGAGGAACTGAGGGAGGAACTGAGGGAGGTACTGAAGGAGAACTGAGGGAGGAACTGAGGGAGGAACTGAGGGAGGAACTGAGGGAGGAACTGAGGGAGGAACTGAGGGAGGAACTGAGGGAGGAACTTAGGGAGGAACTGAGGGAGCAGCTGAGGAGGAACTGAGGGAGGAACTGAGGGAGGAACTGAGGGAGGAACTGAGGGAGGAAGGAACTGAGGGAGGGACTGAGGGAGGAACTGAGGGAGGAACTGAGGGAGGAACTGAGGGAGGAACTGAGGGAGGAACTGAGGGAGGAACTGAGGGAGGAAGGAACTGAGGGAGGAACTGAGGGAGGAACTGAGGGAGGAACTGAGGGAGGAACTGAGGGAGGAACTGAGGGAGGAACTGAGGGAGGAACTGAGGGAGGAACTGAGGGAGGAAGGAACTGAGGGAGGAACTGAGGGAGGAAGGAACTGAGGGAGGAACTGAGGGAGGAACTGAGGGAGGAACTGAGGGAGGAACTGAGGGAGGAACTGAGGGAGGAACTGAGGGAGGAACTGAGGGAGGGACTGAGGGAGGAACTGAGGGAGGAACTGAGGGAGGAAGGAACTGAGGGAGGAACTGAGGGAGGAACTGAGGGAGGAACTGAGGGAGGAACTGAGGGAGGAACTGAGGGAGGAACTGAGGGAGGAACTGAGGGAGGAACTGAGGGAGGAAGGAACTGAGGGAGGAACTGAGGGAGGAACTGAGGGAGGAACTGAGGGAGGAACTGAGGGAGGAACTGAGGGAGGAGCTGAGGGAGAGCTGAGGGAGGAACTGAGGGAGGAACTGAGGGAGGAACTGAGGGAGGAACTGAGGGAGGAACTGAGGGAGGAACTGAGGGAGGAACTGAGGGAGGAACTGAGGGAGGAAGGAACTGAGGTAGGAATGAGGGAGGAACTGAGGGAGGAACTGAGGGAGGAACTGAGGGAGGAACTGAGGGAGGAACTGAGGGAGGAACTGAGGGAGGAACTGAGGGAGGAAGGAACTGAGGGAGGAACTGAGGGAGGAACTGAGGGAGGAACTGAGGGAGGAACTGAGGGAGGAACTGAGGGAGGAACTGAGGGAGGAACTGAGGGAGGAACTGAGGGAGGAACTGAGGGAGGAACTGAGGGAGGAACTGAGGGAGGAACTGAGGGAGGAACTGAGGGAGGAACTGAGGGAGGAACTGAGGGAGGAACTGAGGGAGGAAGGAACTGAGGGAGGAACTGAGGGAGGAACTGAGGGAGGAACTGAGGGAGGAACTGAGGGAGGAACTGAGGGAGGAACTGAGGGAGGAACTGAGGGAGGAACTGAGGGAGGAACTGAGGGAGGAACTGAGGGAGGAACTGAGGGAGGAACTGAGGGAGGAACTGAGGGAGGAACTGAGGGAGGAACTGAGGGAGGAAGGAACTGAGGTAGGGAATGAGGGAGGAACTGAGGGAGGAACTGAGGGAGGAACTGAGGGAGGAACTGAGGGAGGAACTGAGGGAGGAACTGAGGGAGGAACTGAGGGAGGAAGGAACTGAGGGAGGAACTGAGGGAGGAACTGAGGGAGGAACTGAGGGAGGAACTGAGGGAGGAACTGAGGGAGGAACTGAGGGAGGAACTGAGGGAGGAACTGAGGGAGGAACTGAGGGAGGAACTGAGGGAGGAACTGAGGGAGGAACTGAGGGAGGAACTGAGGGAGGAACTGAGGGAGGAACTGAGGGAGGAACTGAGGGAGGAACTGAGGGAGGAACTGAGGGAGGAAGGAACTGAGGGAGGAACTGAGGGAGGAACTGAGGGAGGAACTGAGGGAGGAACTGAGGGAGGGAGGAACTGAGGGAGGAACTGAGGGAGGAACTGAGGGAGGAACTGAGGGAGGAACTGAGGGAGGAACTGAGGGAGGAACTGAGGGAGGAACTGAGGGAGGAACTGAGGGAGGAACTGAGGGAGGAACTGAGGGAGGAACTGAGGGAGGTACTGAAGGAGGAACTGAGGGAGGAACTGAGGGAGGAACTGAGGGAGGAACTGAGGGAGGAACTGAGGGAGGGAAGTGGGGGAGGAACTGAGGGAGGAAGGAACTGAGGGAGGAACTGAGGGAGGAACTGAGGGAGGAACTGAGGGAGGAACTGAGGGAGGGAGGAACTGAGGGAGGAACTGAGGGAGGAACTGAGGGAGGGAGGAACTGAGGGAGGAACTGAGGGAGGAACTGAGGGAGGAACTGAGGGAGGAACTGAGGGAGGAACTGAGGGAGGAACTGAGGGAGGAACTGAGGGAGGAACTGAGGGAGGAACTGAGGGAGGTACTGAAGGAGGAACTGAGGGAGGAACTGAGGGAGGAACTGAGGGAGGAACTGAGGGAGGAACTGAGGGAGGGAAGTGGGGGAGGAACTGAGGGAGGAAGGAACTGAGGGAGGAACTGAGGGAGGAACTGAGGGAGGAACTGAGGGAGGAACTGAGGGAGGGAGGAACTGAGGGAGGAACTGAGGGAGGAACTGAGGGAGGGAGGAACTGAGGGAGGAACTGAGGGAGGAACTGAGGGAGGAACTGAGGGAGGAACTGAGGGAGGAACTGAGGGAGGAACTGAGGGAGGAACTGAGGGAGGAACTGAGGGAGGAACTGAGGGAGGTACTGAAGGAGGAACTGAGGGAGGAACTGAGGGAGGAACTGAGGGAGGAACTGAGGGAGGAACTGAGGGAGGGAAGTGAGGGAGGAACTGAGGGAGGTACTGAAGGAGGAACTGAGGGAGGAACTGAGGGAGGAACTGAGGGAGGAACTGAGGGAGGAACTGAGGGAGGGAAGTGGGGGAGGAACTGAGGGAGGAAGGAACTGAGGGAGGAACTGAGGGAGGAACTGAGGGAGGAACTGAGGGAGGAACTGAGGGAGGGAGGAACTGAGGGAGGAACTGAGGGAGGAACTGAGGGAGGGAGGAACTGAGGGAGGAACTGAGGGAGGAACTGAGGGAGGAACTGAGGGAGGAACTGAGGGAGGAACTGAGGGAGGAACTGAGGGAGGAACTGAGGGAGGAACTGAGGGAGGAACTGAGGGAGGTACTGAAGGAGGAACTGAGGGAGGAACTGAGGGAGGAACTGAGGGAGGAACTGAGGGAGGAACGGGGAGAACTGAGGCTGAGGGAGGAACTGAGGGAGGAACTGAGGGAGGAACTGTGGGAGAAACTGAGGGAGGAACTGAGGGAGGAACTGAGGGAGGAACTGTGGGAGAAACTGAGGGAGGAACTGAGGGAGGAACTGAGGGAGGAACTGAGGGAGGAACTGAGGGAGGAACTGAGGGAGGGACTGAGGGAGGGACTGAGGGAGGAACTGAGGGAGGGACTGAGGGAGGGACTGAGGGAGGAACTGAGGGAGGAACTGAGGGAGGAACTGAGGGAGGAACTGAGGGAGGAACTGAGGGAGGGACTGAGGGAGGGACTGAGGGAGGGACTGAGGGAGGAACTGAGGGAGGAACTGAGGGAGGAACTGAGGGAGGAACTGAGGGAGGAACTGAGGGAGGAACTGAGGGAGGAACTGAGGGAGGAACTGAGGGAGGAACTGAGGGAGGAACTGAGGGAGGGACTGAGGGAGGGACTGAGGGAGGAACTGAGGGAGGAACTGAGGGAGGAAGGAACTGAGGTAGGGAATGAGGGAGGAACTGAGGGAGGAACTGAGGGAGGAACTGAGGGAGGAACTGAGGGAGGAACTGAGGGAGGAACTGAGGGAGGAACTGAGGGAGGAACTGAGGGAGGAACTGAGGGAGGAACTGAGGGAGGAACTGAGGGAGGAACTGAGGGAGGAACTGAGGGAGGAACTGAGGGAGGAACTGAGGGAGGAACTGAGGGAGGAACTGAGGGAGGAAGGAACTGAGGGAGGAACTGAGGGAGGAACTGAGGGAGGAACTGAGGGAGGAACTGAGGGAGGGAGGAACTGAGGGAGGAACTGAGGGAGGAACTGAGGGAGGAACTGAGGGAGGAACTGAGGGAGGAACTGAGGGAGGAACTGAGGGAGGAACTGAGGGAGGAACTGAGGGAGGAACTGAGGGAGGAACTGAGGGAGGGAGGTACTGAAGGAGGAACTGAGGGAGGAACTGAGGGAGGAACTGAGGGAGGAACTGAGGGAGGAACTGAGGGAGGGAAGTGGGGGAGGAACTGAGGGAGGAAGGAACTGAGGGAGGAACTGAGGGAGGAACTGAGGGAGGAACTGAGGGAGGAACTGAGGGAGGGAGGAACTGAGGGAGGAACTGAGGGAGGAACTGAGGGAGGGAGGAACTGAGGGAGGAACTGAGGGAGGAACTGAGGGAGGAACTGAGGGAGGAACTGAGGGAGGAACTGAGGGAGGAACTGAGGGAGGAACTGAGGGAGGAACTGAGGGAGGAACTGAGGGAGGTACTGAAGGAGGAACTGAGGGAGGAACTGAGGGAGGAACTGAGGGAGGAACTGAGGGAGGAACTGAGGGAGGAACTGAGGGAGGAAGGAACTGAGGGAGGAACTGAGGGAGGAACTGAGGGAGGAACTGAGGGAGGAACTGAGGGAGGAACTGAGGGAGGAACTGAGGGAGGAACTGTGGGAGAAACTGAGGGAGGAACTGAGGGAGGAACTGAGGGAGGAACTGTGGGAGAAACTGAGGGAGGAACTGAGGGAGGAACTGAGGGAGGAACTGAGGGAGGAACTGAGGGAGGAACTGAGGGAGGAACTGAGGGAGGAACTGAGGGAGGTACTGAAGGAGGAACTGAGGGAGGAACTGAGGGAGGAACTGAGGGAGGAACTGAGGGAGGAACTGAGGGAGGGACTGAGGGAGGAACTGAGGGAGGAACTGAGGGAGGAACTGAGGGAGGAACTGAGGGAGGAACTGAGGGAGGAACTGAGGGAGGAACTGAGGGAGGAACTGAGGGAGGAACTGAGGGAGGAACTGAGGGAGGGACTGAGGGAGGGACTGAGGGAGGAACTGAGGGAGGAACTGAGGGAGGAACTGAGGGAGGAACTGAGGGAGGAACTGAGGGAGGGACTGAGGGAGGGACTGAGGGAGGGACTGAGGGAGGAACTGAGGGAGGAACTGAGGGAGGAACTGAGGGAGGAACTGAGGGAGGAACTGAGGGAGGAACTGAGGGAGGAACTGAGGGAGGAACTGAGGGAGGAACTGAGGGAGGAACTGAGGGAGGGACTGAGGGAGGGACTGAGGGAGGAACTGAGGGAGGAACTGAGGGAGGAAGGAACTGAGGTAGGGAATGAGGGAGGAACTGAGGGAGGAACTGAGGGAGGAACTGAGGGAGGAACTGAGGGAGGAACTGAGGGAGGAACTGAGGGAGGAACTGAGGGAGGAACTGAGGGAGGAACTGAGGGAGGAACTGAGGGAGGAACTGAGGGAGGAACTGAGGGAGGAACTGAGGGAGGAACTGAGGGAGGAACTGAGGGAGGAACTGAGGGAGGAACTGAGGGAGGAACTGAGGGAGGAAGGAACTGAGGGAGGAACTGAGGGAGGAACTGAGGGAGGAACTGAGGGAGGAACTGAGGGAGGGAGGAACTGAGGGAGGAACTGAGGGAGGAACTGAGGGAGGAACTGAGGGAGGAACTGAGGGAGGAACTGAGGGAGGAACTGAGGGAGGAACTGAGGGAGGAACTGAGGGAGGAACTGAGGGAGGAACTGAGGGAGGAACTGAGGGAGGTACTGAAGGAGGAACTGAGGGAGGAACTGAGGGAGGAACTGAGGGAGGAACTGAGGGAGGAACTGAGGGAGGGAAGTGGGGGAGGAACTGAGGGAGGAAGGAACTGAGGGAGGAACTGAGGGAGGAACTGAGGGAGGAACTGAGGGAGGAACTGAGGGAGGGAGGAACTGAGGGAGGAACTGAGGGAGGAACTGAGGGAGGGAGGAACTGAGGGAGGAACTGAGGGAGGAACTGAGGGAGGAACTGAGGGAGGAACTGAGGGAGGAACTGAGGGAGGAACTGAGGGAGGAACTGAGGGAGGAACTGAGGGAGGAACTGAGGGAGGTACTGAAGGAGGAACTGAGGGAGGAACTGAGGGAGGAACTGAGGGAGGAACTGAGGGAGGAACTGAGGGAGGAACTGAGGGAGGAACTGAGGGAGGAAGGAACTGAGGGAGGAACTGAGGGAGGAACTGAGGGAGGAACTGAGGGAGGAACTGAGGGAGGAACTGAGGGAGGAACTGAGGGAGGAACTGTGGGAGAAACTGAGGGAGGAACTGAGGGAGGAACTGAGGGAGGAACTGTGGGAGAAACTGAGGGAGGAACTGAGGGAGGAACTGAGGGAGGAACTGAGGGAGGAACTGAGGGAGGAACTGAGGGAGGAACTGAGGGAGGAACTGAGGGAGGTACTGAAGGAGGAACTGAGGGAGGAACTGAGGGAGGAACTGAGGGAGGAACTGAGGGAGGAACTGAGGGAGGGACTGAGGGAGGAACTGAGGGAGGAACTGAGGGAGGAACTGAGGGAGGAACTGAGGGAGGAACTGAGGGAGGAACTGAGGGAGGAACTGAGGGAGGAACTGAGGGAGGAACTGAGGGAGGAACTGAGGGAGGGACTGAGGGAGGGACTGAGGGAGGAACTGAGGGAGGAACTGAGGGAGGAACTGAGGGAGGAACTGAGGGAGGAACTGAGGGAGGGACTGAGGGAGGAACTGAGGGAGGAACTGAGGGAGGAACTGAGGGAGGAACTGAGGGAGGAACTGAGGGAGGAACTGAGGGAGGAACTGAGGGAGGAACTGAGGGAGGAACTGAGGGAGGAACTGAGGGAGGAACTGAGGGAGGGACTGAGGGAGGGACTGAGGGAGGAACTGAGGGAGGAACTGAGGGAGGAACTGAGGGAGGAACTGAGGGAGGAACTGAGGGAGGAACTGAGGGAGGGACTGAGGGAGGAACTGAGGGAGGGACTGAGGGAGGAGTTACATGTGGTATGTGGTTGCAGGTGGTGTGAGGCCTGTGTGCTGCCATGTACCGTGTGCTCTACCTTCCACAGCAAACGCACCTCACCTCTCGTGTCTTCGTATATGAGCACCAAGGCAGTGACCTGACTACCAAATGGGATTCACAAGTTTTCTCTGCCACACCCTATGTCACTGCAGGCAGGGTGAAGGGGAGGGCGGGGGCGGCGAGGGCATGGGGAATGGAGCAGCAGGGGCGCGCAGGAGGCTGGGAGTGAGTGGCTTGCTGCGCCATGCAGACGATGCTCTCACGCGCTTTCACTGGCAGGTGGGAGGGCGAGGGGGGAAGAAGGAGAGGCGGATTAGCAGGTCGCAGTGTGGGGCACTGGAGGAGGTGGGCAGGTAGCTGGTTGTATATTAAGGGCATCAGGTGGTGCCAGCGAGTCTGATTGGGTGCCTGCCTGCCTGCAATGCAGCCCCAGGCAAGGGGTTGCAATCATTATGTTTCACATGTCATCTCTTCCTTTTTACCTCCATCGCCCACCACTGAACCTCCCAACCTCTCCCTTGCAACTCTTTCTAAACCTTCTTCAACCCCCCTATGTGCCCTCGACTTGCAGATCATCCAAGTGACGCCCACAGCAACTCCGGGCGAGTTTTCCCTGTGGGTGGTGGTGGGTTCAGCGGGCGTGAGGCGAGTGGTGGTGAGGGTGCCACGAGTGTTCTACCTCAACACACGTGCGGCGGTGAAGCAAGAGGAGGCACCGGGGGAACTGGTGTCCCGCACGCTGCCACACGGCCATCCCCTGCTCAACCTGCTCAAGGTGTGATGTTAGTGATGTTATTGATGTTACTGATGTTATGCCAGCAGAGGGGACGTGTTTTGAGTCGACTCAAAACACGAGCTGGTGTCCCGCACGCTGCCACACGGCCATCCCCTGCTCAACCTGCTCAAGGTGTGATGTGATGCCAGCAGAGGGGACGAATGTAGGCAAAACGAAGGAGATTGCTGATTTATTCCATGCGTCATGCACCAGCCCTGCTTTTGATCCGTCCATACCTCAACCCCTCCTGTTCCTCCTGCCGTCCTGCCCTTCTGCCTCTGCTTCCCCATTCCGTCTACATCCTCCACTCCCTTTGACCCCCTCTCCTGTCTCCCACTTCCTTACTTTCCTCCCCACCGACCGTCCATTCCCTGTCCCTGTGGTGCACACACCCACGGCAGCTGACGGTGCAGGAGAGCCAGTTCCAGGCATCCAGGAGGCAGCTCGCTGCTCATCTAGGCGATCCCGACGTTGAGGTGTGGGGGGGCGAAGGAGGGTTCGGGGAAGTGGGGCAATGGTATAGGAGGGTGAGGGGGACGGGGGAGAGGGACGAGCGGAGGGAGGGGGAGGAGGGAGTTGAGGCGGAGTTTTTCTGTGTTGTGGGGGGTTGATCATGGCTATTTTGCTTGCCCCGTCCGTCCCCTCCATCTTTCCTGTCACCTCACCCCCTCCATTTCCGTGCGCCTGTCGCTCTTTTTCCATGCCCTCACACCATGTCTGTCTGTGTGCTCTCTCCTGCGCTGCATGCTGTTGCCATGTGCATGTATGCCACTGGCCCACCCGTGTGTGCACGTCCCATGGTGCGAGCAGGGAGTGTATGAGGCACAGGTACCTCTGCTCACGCACCTGCTGCTCTCCCTCGGCACTGTCTGCTCCGTGGACTCCCGCGCTCGCTCCAAAGCCACTGCAGCCACCAAGACCACCAGGACCACAAACGCCACGAGCGCCACTAACGGCAGCAGTAGTGGTGGAGCATGGGACATGGGGCATCTATCCATGCGCACTACCACCGAGTGCCCCTACCTGCCCTCGCTGCTCTCCTCCCGCTCCTTCCTCTACCTCTACCACAGGTGTCGCTTCCTGCCGCCCCCTTGTTCCTCTGCTTCAACTCTGCATCCACCCCTCGTGCCCATATTCCTTCCTCCTGCTCTCTTCCATCCCCCCCCCTCCCAACCCCCCCACCCCCCCACCCCCCGCTTTCCCATCCGTCCACCCTCCTACTCTTGACTCCTCCCGTCCTGTTTTTTTCTCTGTTTCCTAACGAATATGCTCCCGCTTTCCTCTCTAGAATAACTATTTTTCTCCATTTTTACTCTCACCCATCTCGCACCTCACACCTCTCTTCCCTACCATCGCCCGTTCTCAATGAATTCCTACATCCCGCCCTGATTTTCCTCTTGCGTTCCCCTCTTCTCCCCATGCATTCCCCACCCGCGCCCCATGCACTTTCCCCCTGCTCCATGCACCCCCCCCCTGCCCCATGCATGCACCATCCACAATGCACGACTCTCCTCCCTGCAGTGGCGCGGATACGCGGGCAGTGTATGCACTCTTCGTGCCCTCGCTCCCGTCGCTGCTGCTGCTCTTCGTCTCCCCCGTGCCCACGCGAGACGTCACCGCCGCTCACCTGCACCGCCACTTCGTCGCTGCTGCTGCTGCAGCACATGCCGCCAGCCCAGACGTGCCCCCGCCACCTGCTGCTGCCTCCGTGCCTGTCAAGGTCAGCTCTCTCACTCTCTCTCTTTCACTCTTCTCTCGACTGGTCCTTCGTATGAATGCATTGATAGGTACATGCAGGCAAGCAGCTGGAGCAAGCAATGCAGGCACAATGGCTAGCTACTGTTTAAAGGTCTGATTCTAAACGGCTTCAAGAGCGTGCCTTTCTGTCTCCCCCTGCCCTCTCTTTGTACCCGTGCCTCTCTCCATGCCCATGCCCCTGCTGTGCGTGGCAGGTGGAGTATGCGGGGTCGCGCCAGGAAGCATGCAAGGCAGTGCAGCGAGCAATAGAGGAGCTGCGGTGAGCCGCCCTGCCCTGCCCACACCACTTCATTGACCTTGAGTGAAGCGACACAGAGGGGCTTTCATGATACACACACATGTTTGGTATAGACGATTCAGTTCCCCACACTTGAAGGCACTCCGTTTCTTCCCAGTTTGCGGCTGCTATAGAATCTACCACTTGGAAAATCCATCCCCCACACTCCCCCTGCCCCTCCCCTTACTCCGCCCGTTGTTGCCCCGCTGCCATCAGTGGCTCCCACCGTGGCCCACTCATAGCTCTGGTCGAGGATGCCACTCGCACTGCGAGCACACTTCCTGGCGGCGAGGGGACAAGGACAGCAGCAGCAGCAGCAGGGGCAGGGGCAGGGGCAGGGGGAGGGGGAAGTGGGGGGTTGGGGGGAGTGGCAGCGTTGGAGAGCATGCCGTGTGTGGAAGTACCAGGCAATGCGGCCGACAGTCGCTTCCCGGTGAGTGGGGCAGGAGGCTAGCCGCTTCCTTGGTGTGTGTTGGGGTGGCTGTGTGAACCATGTGAAGATGGGGGGAGGAGGGGTGGGGGGATAGGGGGGGGTTGTGGGGGCGGGGGCTGCTGTGTAATCTGGCAGTGTGCTGCTGCATTGCAGTGCTGCCGTGCTGCAAGCAACACGGTGATGCATGTGAGCTGATCCTTCATCCATGTCGCTTCAACCACATCCCTCATCGCCCCACCTCCGACTCCTCTCCCCGTGCGTGCGTGCAGGCGCTGGGGTGGCAGGCAGCAGCGGGGCGAGTGGCAGTGCACCGATGCGCTCAGGCGCCTGTGTGGCTTTGAGGCGCCTCAAACCTAGACTCCTCCTGTGTCGCCCCACCTCTGACTCTTTCCCCTGTGCATGCAGGCGCTAGGGTGGCAGGCAGCAGCGGGGCGAGTGGCAGTGCACCGCTGTGCACAGGCGCCTGTGTGGCTGCACCAGCGCGTTTCCCTCGCCAGATATGCACACGTGAGCAGGGAAAGAAGCGGGAGAGGGGGCAAACGGGGGGGATAGGGCGGGAGGGTCAGTGCAAATGGCTTCTGTCGTGGTGACCTCTGCTCACCTGGTCTCGTCTGTTTGCCCATTTTCTTACCCTTTTCTCACCTGTTCTGGCCCATCAGATTCCTATAGGCAACATGAGAAAGGACTGGATCCTGCACACAGCGGACGTTTTCTTCGCCAGGGCATTGCGAGATAACAACCATGTCAGTTGGTCACCACTCGCCTCACCACATGCTCAATTCAATGCACATGCTCAGCTCACTCAGCTTCATGCTGCCACTCTGTCCTGCTGCTGTCTGTTCTCTGCCAGGTTTGCTCGTCCCTCCACTCTCTCTTCTCTTGCCCCACTCCCATTTTCGTCCTTTCACATCCCCGCGCGCAATGCTCTGCTGTGTTTTCTTCTCTCACCCCCTCATGCCTCGTCCACCCCCCCCCCCCCTTCCCCATGTGCATCTCCTCGCCCATTCACTCCGACCTTTTCCCCCCCTCCGCACCATCCCAACCCACTGCGCACCACTCCCGCCCCATCGCCTGCCTACCCACTCCCCCCTGCTCACCATGGGCAACAGCTGCTGTGGCTGTCCCACACGGGCGTGCCGGATGTCGGAGGGGTGGCGGAGGAGGAGGCCATGAGCTTCCTCGATGAGGTCAGCAGGGAGGAATGCGTGGAACGGGGGGACAGAGGGTGAGGGGATGGAGGAAAAAAAGGAAGGGGCGGGGAGGGGGGTACAGAGCGTTAAAGGGGTTTGGATGGGAAGTGAGCTGTAAAGGGGAGACATCTGTGCGTGTGCGCTTGTTTATGCTCCTGCACTGCTCTGCACCTGCATTAGTGTGCGAGTCTGCTTGTATCTGAGTTTGTGCATGCCTGTGCGTGTATGTCTGTTACCTGTCTGTGGATGTGGCCACGTGGGGATGCGCATGTGCAACATGTGTGTGTCATGTGCATGAGTGCGCCTGCCTGTGTGTGTGTTTGTGTCTCTATGCACTTGTGCAGGTTCAACAACCGCAGGTGGTCATTCCGGGTCACTATACAACAATAACTGTGGAGCTTAAGGTGTGCCGCCCTCTGCACCCCACCACAGCACCTTTCCTTCACCTTGCTCCCATTCCCAATTCTCTTTCCTCCCTTCCTCCTCTCCTCCTCTTCTTTCTCCTCCTCCAATCCCCCCAGTTTCCCTCATTCCTCCCTCCTGCCTGTGACCCCTCTGCTCCCTGCCCTCCATCACCCCACAATGCAGGTGCAACATCTGGCAGTGTGTGCACTCATCAAGAGCACCATAATCAACGATATCGAGGGGGGCGCTCTCCTGGGCGCCTCACACCCCCACTCCCACCCGCACTCCTCTTCCTCGCACCCGCACGCCTCCTCGCACCCCAGATTCCTCTTCCAGCCCCAATCCACCACCACCCCAGCCAACGGCAGCAACCATAGTGACCATCGTACAACAGAGCCAGCGTCAGCGGCAGCAGAGGCAGTGCGAGAGGCGGAAGCAGAGCTGCAAGGCGTGCTGGGTGGGGTACAGGGAGACGACGCAGGGAGAGGGGGCTCAGGGGGAGGGGGTTCAGGGGGCTCAGGGGGAGGGGGCTCAGGGGGCATGTGATGGAGGACGAGGCGGCCATGTGCCGGTCGGCGTTCAAGGTGCTGCGTGGCATGGTGACGGCGTGGGTGACGGATGTGGTGCGCACACGCAGCCTCTATGCTGACGCGCTCCTGCAACACCTCTACCGCTGGATCTGCAGGTGCTGTGCCGGTCCAGGGGTGCGGGAGTAACGAGTTGGGAGCAGGACTAAGGGGGTGAAAGGCTGAAGGGGAATGGGGGAGGGGGAGAAGGGGTGCGTGTGGGGGGGGTAGGCGGGGAAGAAGGGAGGATTGGGAGTGTGGGAGATGAGGGAGGTGAGGGCATGTGGGCCGCACGCGTATGGGCATGGGGAATGGACACATCGTTCGACCGTGTTACTGTGACCTTGACATCACCTTGTCGATTCTCATTTTCTCTTGCTGTATGTCCCTCCTCCTCTTCGTCTGTTCATGCCTACACAGCTTCCAAAAAGCTTCCCTGCATATCCCGTCTCCCCTCCCCTCTCATGTTGTCTCCCCAGCCCGTCATCCCCTCTGCATGACCCCTTCCTGCACCGCTTGCTGCACAAGGTACGCTCCCTCCCCCACTGCTTCATGGCGTTCTCTTCCCAAACAACATCTGTGCTCTACGCTGCTTGCCTGCCTGTCTGACAACCTCTGCTCGCTGTCTAAACACCCATTGCGTGTGGCAAACAGCAAGCACCTCCTCCTCCTTCCCCCGTTCCTCCCATCCCATCCCATCCCATCCCGTCCACCCCTCCCCCCCATGGCAGATCATGTGCAAGCTGTTTGCACTGCTGCTGGCGGAGCTGCGGCGCCTGGGAGCCACAGTGATATACGCGGACTTCTCACGCGTCATTCTTGCCACGGGGCGCCGCTCCCTGCCTTCTGCCATGGCCTATGTCGACTACCTTGTCGCCGCTGTCAACAGCAGGTGCGGGTTGGTGGGGTTGAGGAATGAGGGATGAGGGGTGGAGGGATGGAGGAATTAAGGGGTGGGGTTGACGGGAAAAGGATTGTTCGGATGGCCATACATGCATGGGCATGCGCATGCGCGTGTGCCTACTCACACACACAAATGTGCGCCTTTACACTGCCCCCCACTTCTCTCTGTCCCTCCCCCTCGTGCATACGCCTCCGTTGGAGCTGTAATTCCGACAGCAGCAGCAGAACCTGATCTCCACTCCTATCCCCCACTGCCTCTCCCTCCCCCTCTGCCACTCGTGCCACCCTGACCTCAGAGACGCATTTGAGTTGCTGCATGTGGAGAAGCAGCGGGTGTGGCACTCGCTGCTCTTCCTGGACAAGGTGAGCGCTGCACTGCATGTGGGCGTGGCAAGTGATGCTATGTGTGTCTAGCTGCTGCTGCACTGTTGCTCTGTCACTGCCCTGTTGCTCTGTCACTGCCCTGTTGCTCTGTCACTGCCCTGTCGCTGTGTTGCTGCCAACTGTCTCTCTCCCCCTTCCCACCCACCCCCCCTCCCCCTCTCATCCTGCTCACCTGCCTCTCCTCGTGTTCCTTCCTTGCCAACATTCAACATTTACTATCAATCCCCCGAAGCCACTGCAACCATGCCAGTGTGATGCCCTACCAACTAACTATCTCTTCCATGGCACCCCCTTGTGCTCCCTTCGTGTCCCCGTGCCTCGTGCCGCAGTTCAATTTCGGGGGCATTGTTGACAGCACTCAGTTGGAGCAGCAGCAGCAGCAGCCTGAGGGAGAGGGGGAGAACGGGCACGCGAATGGAAATGGTGCTGCCGTTGCTGATGCTAATGGTGGTGGTAGTGGTGACGATGCTGGTGGTGCGAGTGCTGATGGTGCTGGGGCAGGGAAACAGGCGGATGGGCGAGGAGGAGAGGATGGGAAGATGACAGTGCTGAGCCAATGGAATATTGCAGATTACCTCCCATCATCTGTGCAGGTCAGTGGTGGTGGTGCTCCTGTGCAAGCCAGTACTAGCGCCATGTGCCACTCAGTAAACATTCTTCGGCAGTGCTCTCCTTCCCACTGTCCCTCTCCTCTCTTCTCCTCTCGTCACTCTATCCGCTACCTCGTATCACTCCAAATTATCCACCACCTCTGCTCTTGCCTTTCACCCTCTCATACCCCACTGGTTGTCCTTCTCTCCTCCTTCCCTCCATTCCCCCCCACACCCTCCTCTGCTGCCTATACAGGAGTACTTCCATCTAACGGTCTCTGATTTCATGTTCAACCCCTGGGTGGCTGCTCGTGATCGCCTCTGCTCTCACCTCTTCGCTCTCTCTCCTCCTATCCCTCCCCCCCGTGCCATCCTTTCCCCCACCCTCCCCCCCTCCTCACCCCTCTGTCCAGGAGTACTTCCATCTGACGGTCTCTGATTTCATCTTCAACCCCTGGGTGGCCGCCTGCGATCGCCGCTCAGAGAGGGCCCTCCAGCGCAGAGCTGCTGCTGCCCTGGCTGCTCGCGCGAGGGAGAGGGAGAGGGAGAACGAGAGGGAGAAAGGAAAGGCAGGGACAGCGGGGAAAGAAGCGGGAGGCGGGGATGTGGGAGAGGAGGCGGAGGAGGGGAGGGTGGACGAGGAGGAGGAAGAAGCAGAGCTTGCACGAAATGAGGTAGCTCACCGTGTTCTCTCCTCTTTCTCCTTCTCCTCCGCATTCTCCATCTCCCCCATTTTCAATCAAATCCAGTCTTGCATTTCCTCCTATGTTCCCCATTCTGCGCCCTCCTCCTCCTCCACGCTACCATGCTTTCTCACCTTATCCCCCTCCTCCTTCCCCTACCCGCTTTCCCCACTTCCCACCCTGTGTGCGGCACTGCAGGTGCAGAACCGTCTCACAGACAACCTACTGCACCTCGTGCGGGCCTTGCAGGCAGAGGCGGAGAGAGGGGGGGAGGACGCAGAGGGGGAGGAGGAGGGGGGAGAGGGGCGAAGGGTGGAGAAGTCGGGGAGAGGGGGGCAGAGGGGAAAGGGGCGGGGAGCACTGGGGGCGACAGGGGGGCGAGCACTGGAGCTGGTGAAAGCAGTGTGCCATGTGCTGTCGCTCAGTGCACACGTGCAACATGAAGTGCAGGTGGGTGGGTGGTTTATGGATGGGTGCGCTGGCAAGTGGGCAGACGGGCGGGCTGGGTGGATGGTTCGACGGGTGGATGGCTGGGTGGGTGGATTGGTGGGTGGGTGAATGGGGGTTGGTGCAGGGTATGGGGGTTGGTGCAGGGTATGGGGGTTGGTGCAGGGTATGGGGGTTTTGAGAGCACTTTGTCTTATGTGTGTCTGTGCATGTTTGGATGGGGCACCTGCATTATGCACCGACATGTTTCGCCCCTTCCTCCCACCTTTCCCCCCTCCTTCCCTCCTTCTCTCCCTCCTTACCTCCTCCCTCCCTCCCTCCCTCCCTCCCTCCCTCCCTCCCTCCCTCCTTCCCTCCCTCCCTCCCTCCCTCCCTCCCTCCCTCCCTCCCTCCCTCCCTCCCTCCCTCCCTCCCTCCCTCCCTCCCTCCCTCCCTCCCTCCCTCCCTCCCTCCCTCCCTCCCTCCCTCCCTCCCTCCCTCCCTCCCTCCTTCTCGCCGCCCTTCTTAACTCCCTCTCTTCCTCCCGCGCTCCCCTCCCTCCCCCCCTTTCAATCTCTCTCCATCACTCCATAACTCTTCTTGTCTTCCTCTCCTCCTTGAATCTCATCTACTTATCCCCTGCTCATGAAAACATGTGATACCATGCTATCAGGTGTTGCGGAGGCAGCTGCTGCGGGTGCTGAGGGTGCGTGAGTTTGCACCAGAAGCCATCTTTCGGGACCCATGTCGCTCCTTTGTTCTCCCAGGAGTCATTTGCAGGTATCTCCCTCCCTCTTTCCATCCCTCTCGCCTCTTCCATTCCCCTGTTTCCGTGAACACTTACCTCCTCTTCACCCTCACTCTTCTCACTCGTTCCCTTTTCCTCCACTTCTGCACTTCCTCCATCTCCCCGTCATCTCACTCTGCTCAAATCTTTCCTTCTCAGCACCACACTTCTTCTTTCCCAGTCCCCACTCTGCCAACCTTGTCTGAACATCTTCTCTTTATCCGACTCACCGACCCGCTACCACTGCCCCACATTTTCCAACTCCACTTCGCTATCTCCCCTCACCCACCTGCTCTACCATGTCTGTGTGTGCGCAGCTACTGCAACGACTGTCGGGACCTGGACCTGTGTCGGGACCAGCTGCTGCAGGCGGGAGAGTGGCGCTGTGCCGTGCAGCACTGCCAGCACCCCTACGACCTGCTCTGGGTTGAAAACGCTCTTCTGGAGGTGCGTTCGGGCCGCTCGGATCTCCTTTCATTTGCATCCAAGCCACTTACCGACTCCATGCAATTATCTCTCCACGCGATAAAACATGATGTTATAGACACGATGGTGGATTGTTGTTCCGTGCACCCCATGTTGTGCTGGTTGATGGCGTGTGTGAGAGCAGGTGATGCGGCATCGTGTGAGGAGCTACCAGCTACAGGACCTCGTGTGCAACAAGTGCCGACAGGTGCCTTCCCACCCTCCCACTGCACCCCTGTGTTCCCTCTGCTTTCTTCTGCTCTCTCCCACATGCACCTGCCCCCTCTCACTTGTGCTTCATTGTTTCCTGCTCTTTATTCTCAACATCTGAATCCGTACACCTCCCTTTCTTTCTTTTCTCGTCCCCCCCTTTGTTATGGCCATTTCCCTTCTTCAGGTGAAGTCGTCCCGGGCAGCCCTGCACTGCACATGTGCAGGCACGTTCCGGTGCTCGCAGCAGGCAGAGCAGCTGAGAGAGGGGCTGCTCGTGCTGCATTCAGTGGCCTCCACACATGGCTTCCCCCTGCTGCTCGAGTGCCTGCAGTGGGTGCTGCCTCTCTGCCGCGCCACAGGGGAGAAATGAGTGCCAAGGGAGTAGGACGTGGGAGGAGTGAGAGCAGAGGGACGGAGGAGGGAGAGACGGAGAGGGGTGAGGTAAACAGGCAGGAGCATGCCTGGAAGTGCAAGATGTTTCGTGGAAGGGATGGATGGTGGATAATCTGTATAGAGAGGTTGAAATTCTCATCCCACATTTGGAGGGGAACGTAAGTATTCATGCAAGGGTGTGCAAGGGCATGCTGCCATGCCATGCAAGGGCGTAATATGCTCACTCACGCAATGAGTTTGTTTGCGGTGTGAGTCATGTACAGTTTCGTTTGTGACAAACCCGATATAGCAATACGAACAGAGGCATTTCTATTTCAAGCCACAACTCATGGAATTCATGACTTCTTTTTCTCAGAATTTCAGAAGAATAACACATGATGCTGTATTGAAACTTGAAATTGTACTGAAGCCCTCGATATGCCTGTAACGCGTTTTTGTTCCCACGTACAAAGTCCCTTCTGACCTCTTGGGCGTTCCTTATTTCGTGCTGCACTTGCTTTTTCTCCCAATTCTAGCTATGGGTTCCGCCAAGGATTCTATCCCGTCACCACCACGCAGCGGCGTCCAGGGTAGTGCTAGCGCCGGTGCAGATGATGTTGCGGCGGAGGCGGAGTTTCGTGCGGCCATGCGCTTTATCCGAAAGGGGCCATCCGCCTCACTGCAGTTCGTTGTAGACGAGAAGCGCGCCGAGCTGTACGCGTTAGAGGTGTGTTATCGGTTTGGACTTTTCCGCTTGTTTCCTTGCCTTACTACACCCTGCCATCCCTTATCGTTTTCAATGAGCCTCGCGGAGAATTTTCCAATACGGCTCTATTCTCACTGATGGTCAATTTCGTCAGATATCAGTGTTCTCATGCATCAAACTCATCATACCCACGCTCCCCAACCTTCCGTGCGCCGGAATTTTTTGGTCACGTTCCTCGCACCCATCACCACAGGCACAGGCAGTGCACGGCCCATGTTCTGAGGCGAGTGCAAACCCTCCAGTGCTCGAGGACCCGTCTAGCAGGCGGCGGCGCGAGGCATGGGTAGCTCTAGGGCAGATGCCGGCTGCAGAGGCTAAGAGGCAGTTGGCAGCGCTGCTCTCTCTGCTCATTCCCGACTGGACAGATTGGGAGCATAGCAAGAGGGGCGAGGGAGGGGGGTATGGAAGAGAGGGTGAAGAAGGCATGAGCAGAGAAACGGTGCAAGGGCGGGGTTCCGAGCAAGGTGAACTGAGTTCTCGGGACGAGAAAGGATATGAAGAGGAGCAAGGAGGAGGCTTGGCTGATCAACTTCTGAGGAGGTTTGCAGCGCGCACCAATGTACCACTTGGAGCACTAAGAGCCCGACTGTGAAGGCTGATGTAAGTACGGTAACTGGCCACCCATGCATGTGTAGCTATTATGTGACTAGATGAACTCAGTTTCAGGTCCAAGGTAGTAAATAGTTCGTGCTTTTGGATTTGTACCCCAACGATTTGTTGAAGGGTTGCTTCAATGAAACAAGGGTTTCTTCAATGGAAACATAGGAATATACTTTGCCTTGTTTGGGTTTTGGGCGGCCGGTTACTCTACATTTAGGATATAGGCACACTGAATGAGCAGTTCTCCCCCTATGAAAAAGTTCAAGTCAGCGCCGGCTCACGGCCTCTACCTTAATTTGATGTGTTCTTGAATCGTTACTCCACATTTAGAGGCTCCACATCAGTCTTGACACAATCTCAATGCTCCAAAATGTTTGGAGGCTCCACGTTTTTAGAAACACAGGAAGATAACAAGCATCAGGTGTACATCGCAATGCTCAAGACACTGTTTATCCTGTCTCCGAGTCAAACTACGGTTGAGGGTCGATGATAACGAGAATGGTCCAAACTCCGACCCTCAACCGTATCGAGCCTCAGTTTTTTCCTACACGGTCAGTGGGCAATTGGAAGCAAATGGTTTATTACAGGGAACATAGAAAAAGAGAAGTAGGTGTACCAAGCACATATGCGACGGCACACGCATCGCAATCGCAACATTTTGTGGTGTGCTTCGCGTCACATTCTTGTTGGAATGGAACTTGAAATGGACACTGCTTGAAAATGGGGCCAGGGGCGAGTTTCGGCTTCCTGCTGAGGAAGCAGCGCAGAAGCACGAGACACAATCAATTTGAGCAGCGGACATGGTAGAGAATTATACCTTGTTTTGTTTCCTGAAGAGCAGTACAATACAGCTGATGCTCACCCCATGCACGCGAATTTGCCTTGCGCCGGATGGATACGCTGCACCCGAGGTTGTTTCCCCAGCTTCATGCACCTACATTACAAGCGCGTCGCGTGGTTATCAACCAGTAGTAACGAATAGACCGACGTCAAACTAGGTACAGACCGAAGTCAAGCAGAGGAGACTGAAGTCAAACTAGGTTACAGATCTTGTTTATAAGCACATGCGAATCATTTTTAGCTAGCTGCGAATTGCCGAAACTTATGCGAAATGCTCGTGACAGCTTATACGCCCCCTTCGTAAGGCAACCGGGAGGGGCTCAAACAGGCATCAGGTGTACCGAGTTTCCCCTCCGAGACAAATGTAATGGTGGGTGCTGAAACATTCATGGATGCAGTGTTGGAATATGCTTCATGCTGTCAAATGCATGGTACAATGGCTTTGTACAAAGAGATTACGCACAGTACTGGTTCACAAGGAAAATGGGCACGAGTGCCATTCCAACCAACACATCGTCTTGGGGAGCTTGGCATCTTTTACTGTGGACCATCGCACCTCTTCAGTGTACATGAGCATCCCACCACAATCGTGTACGTGTTTGGTCTCAAAACTTCTACACATGTTGTCACTGTACGGAATGTATTTCGGTACGGTGTAATAGTCATAATTCTGCTACTACATCTGTACGATAAGCGAAGCAATGCTCGGGAGGAGCGTCACATAGCTTATTAAAATCGCGCAGTACGGTACCACGTAAAAAATTTACTGATACACATTTGAACAGTCGGTGGGAAATGTGGGTGGCCTTGTTTAACTGGACTCATGCTCTAGAAGTTTCTTCTGTTGTGGCAAAACTTGCCCTGGCCTTCGTCTCATCCCTCGACGCAACCCTCTGGGTCGACAAGTTGCAACTCCTGTCCCAGCTCACATTTGACTGCCAGGAAGTATCTAAAGCGCTAGTGGTATCGATAAATAACCGAACTGTGCACGCTCTGAAGGAGAAACAGTGTACGACAAGGATGGACTTTGACAGGGACGCTGTGCGGGCATCACCGAATATACACCTTAAATTGAAAATCCGTTTCGGTTTGTGTCACAATCTACTTCCGCTGTTGCATGCATTTCTCTCAATTCAGACTCTGGGCGCAAATTCGTCAAGCTCAACAGGTGGCTGGCAAGCGTGAGTACTCGCATGGATGCGACACCACCTTCCGCCCAACATGCAGTTAGTGTTCAAACCTGAAGTTGGCAGGGGGAAGACAACTCCTGGTCAACTCTGTTCATTACAAAACCACCAGCCCTTTTCTTGCTGCCTCACGATGCTCTCGAGTACAGTGCGGGTAGTGTATCTTGTACACGTACAAATCGTTTTCATCGTTTCAAACCTGCCCAATGCTGGTGGTGGAACTGACTCCTTGTGCCAGCGCGGCTGTCTCAGAAGATTTGCGCGGCCTTTTCGAGATCTTGGCAAGGCTCGACAATCCAAGTCCGTGGGACATGAACCACACAAGCAAGCATTCGCCCGCCGGTTTGGTCCCCCCACCCCCACCCCATCCCCTCGACACTTCGGAGCCCCAGTCTGGATTAGAAAAGCATCCCCTGCCAACCAACCCCTAGGAACTGGTGTCCAGCAGGTACGGAGAAATTTGCTCTGATCTGAACGTTGAACTACTGATACTGATATATCATCATGTCTTACACTGAACAATGGTTCTATGATCGTGGTTCGAGCTCAGCTACTGTTCTAGTGACGCCGTTTGAACGGTTGCAGGTTCCAGAATCATCCCCAACAGCACGTTGCAGGAGAACAAGCAGGAGCAGCATTGGCATTGACAACTTGTGCCAGCTATATCGAGTAGGACCCGTTTACATAGGGTTCTTATACTATAGTATATATTTAAGGGTTTAAAGTACTTCGAAATATAACAATCAGACTATTTGGCGACATAATTACAGGGAGGTTACCAGGGAGGAACTGGGCAAAGGAGGGACTACAGAGGAAGATTCTGAAGCTAGGAGGGAGAGAAGAGGCCCTCTTGACGGGATGGGAAGCATGTAGGATACAAGGCGCCGAATGGAATATAAATGTCATATTAATCACGAGCGTCTGTTCTGCTTGACGTTTTTTTTTTTTTTTCCGCTCTTGAATCCCTGTGATGCCATGACTGAGTTGCTGGCAGGTCCATCATGGTCCGCTGCTGGTACATGGTCGCATCATCACCTTGCTCTTCGTTGCTGCTACTACACCTACTACTCAGTGTAGTGGTAGTAGTAGTAGTCACTTACTAGGGTGGCTCACTTATGATGCTAGTTCCTGGGTTGGAAGCTGGTGCACGGATCCCTTTGCACCTTAAAGCCAGCTTCAGGGTGAAAGTCTCTGCATGCCTCTTATCTCGCCTGCCGCTCACCTCGGGTGAAGTAATGCCTCAGCGAAGACTGGACCGATCCCAGCAGCACAGCGAGGGATCCGGACAGCACCAGCATGATCACCGTCAGCAGCAGCAACAAGACGCATATGAGCAGCCAGATTACCCCAGGGAGCAGGGTCACCACGGTGGTCGCAGTATTACAGGGCATGGTACAGCTAGACAGCATGCTTTAGGTGTAGGTCTAGAAGAAGGAAAAGGTTTTCTTAACTTCAACGTTGCACGCTCTGCACTTCAAAGGAGCCTGGGACAGCAGGCCTATGGCAGATTGGAAGGGTCCCCGGCTGAGCAGCAGCGGCGGAGGCAGCAGCAGCAGCAGCAGCAGCAGCAGCAGCAGCAGCAGCAGCAGCAGCAGCAGCAGCAGCAGCAGCAGCAGCAGCAGCAGCAGCAGCAGCAGCAGCAGCAGCAGCAGCAGCAGCAGCAGCAGCAGCTGCAGCAGCAGCAGCAGCAGCAGCAGCAGCACCACCACCACCACCAGCACCAGCACCACCACCACCACCACCACCACCACCACCACCAGCACCACCCCCAGAAGCAACAGCAGCACCAGCAGCAGCAGCAGCAACAGCAGCAACAGCAACAGCATCGCCCTCCTGAGCACCATCCCCATGAGAATCGTCTTAATGAGCACCCTCCGCCACTGCACAACCCACATGTTGAAGATCGGCCATACCACCATCGGTCTCACATGCCTGCAAAGCAGAGAGGGGGGTGGCTGCAGCGGCATGGACTGCCACAGGTCACGCCAGCTGAAGTGAGGGAGTGCCAGCTGAGGCAAGGCGGCGATGCAGGGCCTCGTGTTGACTGGCTGTCCCCAGCAGGTGCTGAGGAGTCGACCGGTTTTGCGGCAAGAGAAATGGGGACTGGAGGTGTGTTGCGGAGAGCTGGTGTGAGGGAGGCTGCTTGGGATGGTAAAGGTGAGGAGGAAAGGGGAGGGAATGAAGGCGAGGGGGGGAAGGAGGGGAAGGAGGGGAGGGAGAGGAGGGAGGGGAGAGAGGGGAGAGAGGGGAGAGAGGGGAGGGAGGGGAAGGAGGGGAAGGAGGGGAAGGAGAGGAAGGAGGAGAAGGAGGGGAAGGGGGCGAGGGAGGGGACGGAGGGTCAGATGCGGATGGCACAGCGGCTTCAGGTGCAAATGGAGAGGGCGACCTGAGGGAGGAGGCGTCAGTGCCTCGGAAGCGGCTGCGGTTGACGAAAGCGCAGTCGCTGCAACTGGAGGAAAAGTTTGTCCTCGTGTCGTCGCCCAACGCTGTACGCCCTCTCAGAAGTTCCCCGCTCTTTGCCCCCTCGTGCCTTCTTTGAGGTGGTTTTGAGGCGCCTCACAAACCACCTCAATGCAGTCGCTGCAGCTAGAGGAGAAGTTTGTCCTCGTGTCGTCGCCCAACGCTGTACGCATCTTTAGGGATTTCCCGCTCTTGCTAGCGATTTCTGAGAATTCTCTAAAATCGCCCACAAGGACTGCATCTGGAGGAGAAGTTTGTCCTTGTGTCATCGCCCAACGCTGTATGCCCCTTCCGGGATTTCCCACTCTTGCTGCACGCCATTTAGGGAATTTTCCATTCTTGCGCCTCATGCCTGCCTCTTCCGTTCGTGTATACTCAAGTGTTCCACCTTATATTAATCTCTGGGTACCTCTGCATGGACTATTTGAGATGCTTTGTGTACTCGTATGCACGCTTATGCCGCTCTGTGTCTTGGGGGTTGAGGGATAGAGGTGTCTGGAAGGGGGAAACGGGGAGAGAGGAGGGGGGGGAGAGGGGGAGGTGGGGAAGGGAGGGGTGTGGGAGGGGGAGGGGCTTGTATGCATGCTTGTGTGTATTTGCGTGCGCGCGTCGAAGGGATGTTCGTGTGTGTGTGTGTGTGTGGGTGTGTGCGATTTTCATTTCCCACACATTAGGAATAATCAAAGTGGGCAACTACTGTTTGTACTAGCAACGGTTTGCATGCACTGGAAACTCATAGGTTTCCTTTCCTCTGTCCGTTCGTTCCTGACAGGCAGAGAAGGCGGCCTTTGCAAGAGAGCTGCAGCTGCAGCCACGGCAGGTGGAGGTGTGGTTCCAGAACCGACGCGCACGGTGAGAGAAGAACTAGGTCACTGCAAGACTGCGCAGTAAGTGAGAGAGTAGAGTAGGTGCGAGAGAGGAGTGGAGGTGAGTGAAGAGAGAGGAGGCGAGAGAGAGGAGAGCACGTGAGGGAGAGGCAGGAGGCGAGGGAGAGGAGATCCGTTTGAAAGAGGGGAGAAAAAATTGTGAGGGAGAGGGGAATAGGTGAGAGAGGAGAGGAGGTTAGGGAGAGAAGAGAAGGTAAGAGAGGGGAGAGGATGTGAGGGAGACAAGAACAGGTGAGGTAGAGGAGGGGCTGTGACAGACAAGAGTGTAGGAGAGAGAGAGGAGAAGATGTGAGGAAGAGCGGGGTAGATGGGGGAATTAGAGGTGTGGGAGATAGAGGAGATGATTCAGGTGAGGTAGAGTAGAGGAGGTAAGGCAGAGGAGTAGGTGAGGGAGAGGAGGTGACCAGAATTAGGGTAGGTGAGAGTGAGGAGAGTAGGTGAGTGGGAGGAGAGTAAGTAGGAGAGAGAGAGAGGAGGCCGAGGCAAGGCGAGTTGAACTTGCCGTATTAAAGGAGCTTGTCGTTGATTTGCGCAAGCGTTTTATAGATGCGCAACCTTTTTGGGGGCTCGGCAAGTCACAAAAAAAAACTTGTTGCGTCCTTGGGAGGGAGGGTGTGGGTACAAATGAGTGACAACTGGTATGTGTGTGCTTGTTTGTGTGCATGTGTGCATGTGTGTGCATGTGTGTGCATGTGCATGTGTGCATGTGTGCATGTGTGCATGTGTGTGCATGTGTGTGCATGTGCATGTGTGCATGTGTGTGTGCATGTGTGCATGTGTGCATGTGTGTGCATGTGTGTGCATGTGTGTGCATGTGTGTGCATGTGCATGTGTGCATGTGTGTGTGCATGTGTGCATGTGTGCATGTGTGTGCATGTGTGTGCATGTGTGTGCATGTGCATGTGTGCATGTGTGTGTGCATGTGTGCATGTGTGTGTGCATGTGTGCATGTGTGTGCATGTGTGTGCATGTGTGCATGTGTGTGCATGTGTGTGCATGTGCATGTGTGCATGTGTGTGTGCATGTGTGCATGTGTGTGTGCATGTGTGCATGTGTGTGCATGTGTGTGCATGTGTGTGTGTGTGTGCATGTGTGTGCATGTGTGTGCATGTGTGTGCATGTGTGTGCATGTGTGTGCATGTGTGTGCATGTGTGCATGTGTGCATGTGTGCATGTGTGCATGTGTGCATGTGTGCATGTGTGCATGTGTGCATGTGTGTGCATGTGTGTGCATGTGTGTGCATGTGTGTGCATGTGTGCATGTGTGTGCATGTGTGTGCATGTGTGTGCATGTGTGTGCATGTGTGTGCATGTGTGTGCATGTGTGTGCATGTGTGTGCATGTGTGCATGTGTGCATGTGTGCATGTGTGCATGCGTGCATGTGTGCATGTGTGCATGTGTGTGCATGTGTGTGCATGTGTGTGCATGTGTGTGCATGTGTGTGCATGTGTGTGCATGTGTGTGCATGTGTGTGCATGTGTGTGCATGTGTGTGCATGTGTGTGCATGTGTGTGCATGTGTGTGCATGTGTGTGCATGTGTGTGCATGTGTGTGCATGTGTGTGCATGTGTGTTCATGTGTGGAGCAGGCACCGGCTGAGGCAGGCAGAGGACGACTGTGAGCAGCTGAGGCGGAGGTGCGAGCAGCTGGAGCGGGAGAACGAGCACATGCAGCAGCTGCTCGGGCAGGTGGGGCGAGCAGCAATGCTGCTGGATAGTGGCGTCCTTGGTGGGGTTGTTGCAGAAGGTGTGCTGCTCGCAACGAATGTGGTTCGAGTCTAGTAAGAGGACAGAAGTGAGGCAACGGGTGTGTGCTGGCATCACAAGGTTCAACGGTGCTCGCATGTTCTGCTGCCTGGCTGCTCGATGCCACTGTTGGCCTTCCAAGCTGTTTCATATCCCTCTTGTGGTTGCCACTGCTGCTCCTCTTCCCCAAGGGTCCACCTTCTAGTTGCAACGGCCACTAGGTCCCCGCGTTGCCCTTTTTCCTCGGTAGTTGACCCTCGCTAGGCCCTCACCAGGCTTCCTCTCGCTCTCTCACTCTCCCACCTCTCGCACTCTCACTCTCCCACCTCTCGCTCTCTCACCCTCTCTCTGTCTCTCTTTTTTCATGTTCCTCTCCTTTCGCCTCTTCGCTGCCTGTCTGAACAACAAGCTCAATCCCCCCCTCCTCCTTCCTCTCCCCCTCTCGTGCAGAGCTCTGAGCCAGCAGGCCTCAGTGCACTAGGGGCTGCTACTAGCAGCAGAGGAGGGGCACCGGTTTCAATCCCCCGCCTTTCCAACTCAGGGAGGGATGGCATGAGGGAGTGCAGTGATCATGACACACCGCGTGCCATGCACATGCATCATCATGCACACGTGCCCCATGATTTCGTGGCAATGGGGGGAGCCACAGAGGATAGCAGCAGACCTTCTGACAGCATCACTCTCTGCCCCTCGTGTCTTTCACAGCCTCTGGGAAGCCATGCAATAGTGAACGCAAGTGAAGTCAAACCGGCAGTGGATGCAGATCCTGGTAGCAACCTGGTGGGAGGTAGTGCTCAGGAGGAGAATTTGACCCCAGGTACTGGACATGATTTTGACTTGAACCTATCTCTGTGACGATTGCTGGTGTTGTGATGTACCAGTATGTTGCTTTGTAAAGGTGCTTCTATCGAGCATCTTTGAATGGTCTAATCGTTTAATGCGTTGAGCCCCTGGGTAATCCACCAGGGAAGCAAGTTTATTATACCAATGTAACTGGAGAGTGAGAATGTGCAGCTAAACACACACATACACATTGCACGGTATAACTGTGCTACTAGCCTTGTCGAGCTGTCCTGTCCCGGTTCTCCTTTCAATGGCTCTATCAGAGCACTTGCACCCACGCCTTTGAGTTTTTTTCTCATCAGGTATGGCTAATCAGCCTTTCATGTGAAAGTCAAGATAAGGATACCATATTTCCCCCCTGGGGAGAGAAGGGGAGGAGGCAGGGTGGTGGTGTTGTATCTGGTGAATTCGAGATAATTATTAGCTTTCCAGAGGCTTGAGAGATGATATATCTTCTACTAGTATGCAGATTACCGTACACATCGTCTTTTATTGCCAAGCTACTCAATCATACCTCAGCTACAATGATCAGCTACAGAGCATTCCCACCTACAATATTACCGTAACCATTGCTAAACACGGCAAACGCTGCACTCACAATGCAACTGGCTGGATAGCCAGAACAGACCTCACCGAGTGACCATCTCCATCCTTCCACGTGAGGCTCCCATACTTAAACTCCTCCGAAGTTTTCGCAACCTTGAGAGTCACCGTGTACCACGCCTTCTGACCCGCACCAATCTTGAACTTCTTGGGAGAAACCTTCACAGACACCCCACTGGGAGACTTGATCTTGACCTTGTAGGTGGACTCCTTGTCTGCAACGTTCGTCACGCGCCTGGTCACCGTGAGATTCCCTTTCAGCCGGGCCACAGCTATGCTCGCACGGTTCAGGTTCCGGGGAGGCATTCGCACGAGCTTCGCGTTGGGGAACTCCGTCTGTGCCTTTGTAAGGCTCTGCCCCGCGAGAAAGTTCATGTAGTAGGCTGCACGGGCATCGTACGTAAGCCCAGGGTCAAGCACCTTAGGGGGGTAAACATGCCCTTGACCCATCTCCCAGGGAGTTGCCGAGTCACCATTGTCGTTCTTAATCTTGTTGTCATCCGTGTTGGTTGTGACTGCAGTTGTCATGATTGCAGACATGACCTGCGCAGGGCTCCACTTGGGGTACTTTTGCAGAATGAGGGCCGCAATGCCTGCCAGGTGAGGCGTGGCCATGGAGGTCCCAGACTTCTGAGAATACGTTCCAGTCTCGCCTACCGTCTTCCCTGGAGCCGCAGCGTACAGTTTCACACCAGGGCCGATGATATCGGGCTTTAAGATGCTGTTGGTGGGCTGTGCACCGACGGCATCGGTCCAGGGGCGGCAGACGGGGCCTGTGGAGGAGAAGTATCCGATCCGGGGGGCAGCGTCGCCCAGCGGGTATGCAGACAGGATGGAGGCGGATGTTACATTCTCAACAGCCTTGGGAAGCACAACGCCATTTCGCTCAATGGAGCTGCAGGGGAAGGCAATGACAGGGCAAACGAACAGCAAGCCATGCGCAATGAGCCGTAGGGCCTAGGGCCAGAATCAGTGCAAGCACTTAGCAAGAAATGAACGCGAGAAAGGAACAAGGCATGACAAGGCATGTAATTTAGAGCTGCGGCCCACAAGCCCGAGAAGCTGTTCTGGTTAGTCTTCCGTGCAGTGGCTATTCTGCTTACCTCGCTCCAACAGTGAGGTAGAAAGGCGAGAAGTTGGCAAGGGTCCTGTACGAGTCAAAGGTTGTGCCGTTGGGAGGGCCGGAGTTGCCCGCAGCAAACGTCACAAACACGCCCGCGAGGTTTGCATTGAGATAGGGAATGTCATCGAAGTACGTTGCATCGGGATAGAGGCCACCCAGTGAGAGCGAGATCACATCCGCGCCGTCCGCCACCGCTTGATCTACGGCTGCCAGGATGTCATCGGTGTTGGCGGTGCGGCTGCCATCATACGTCCACAACACCTTGTAGATCGCCAACCGGGCAGCAGGTGCCATGCCGCTCGCCTTGCCGCCCGCCATAGCCACATCCTTATTGCCGGCCGCAGCTCTGAGACACACACGGAGCGAACAGAGGGATGGGATGGGGTGGGATCCGAGTAGTGCGAGGCAGGCTGAATCAAGGGCAAGCAAGCAGCGCGGCGGCATGCAGGAGCAAGAGTCGTCAAGAGTCAAGAGCACGCACCCGGCACACCAGGTGCCATGGCCTCCCGCGTCGCGAGGCGAGAGCCAGTCATTAGTGAGGTCCGGGTCGCTGCCTTAGAGTTTCTTGGCGCCGGCGTAAATGGCCCGTGCGCCTATGATCTTGTTGTTGCACTTGAAGTCCGCCGTCGTGTCGCACTTGCCCGTCCATCCTGCTGGCATCGTAGAGCTGAAACCCTGTTGGGTTGGATGGAAAGGAATGGCGGCAGGGATATATTAGAAAATCAAGTGCAGGCGTGGGGCAGGGGACGTGATGCTGATCAGATAGTATCAATAGCACGACGAGCGAGAATATGTATTATTTCCTCACGTAGTAATTTCCCGCACATAACTTCCCAGCAGTTATCCACGATGCAGCGCACGCGGTTTTCTTTCGAAAAATCATCAAGCACAACCTCTGCGATCGTCTCACCGAGTCACTGAACGAGGGGTGCTCCGGCCAGATGCCTGAGTCGACGATCGCAACCACCATGCCGTCACCCGCGCTGCTCTGCCCGCCGTTGTTGGGCCACAGCGACCCGTCGCCGCCCATGTTCAGGAACTTGGGCGAGTCAGTCGTGAGGGGCCGCACTTCATAGCTCTCTCGCACCGACGCCACTGCCGCGTGCCGCCGCAGCTTCTGCGCCTGGAGGGGCGTCAGCAACGCCGCGAAGCCGTGCAGCGCGTACTTGAAGCTGCCGGGGGACGAGCGGGGGACGACGGGGCGGAAGGGGCGGAAGGGGCGGAAGGGGGGAAGGGCCACAGCGGAGGGCAGAACGGCGTCAGGGGATGGATGGATGGATGGATGTGGCGGGTGACATAGTATACTGCAAGTCATTGTAAACACACGATTACGGGCCGGGGCCCTCGAGCCTCTTACCTGTATGTGATTTCGTCCGCGGAAAGGCCCACAGAAGCGGCGACCTGGTTTTGCTGATACTCCAGCAAATTCGCGTGCGCGCGGATCTGCGGGTTCTCCATCGTCAGCCGCGCGCGCCGGGGGATTCCGCGCCCGATCATGTTCCGCGCTTCCGCCGCCACCGTGGTCGGCGTGGCCATCAAGGAGGCCGGCACGGGGCCGTTTTCCGCCTGCTCGTCATCCGTCCACCCCGGGTAGATCGAGAATCCCCGGCTATACGCGGCGAGGGGAAGGGAGGAGCGGAGACGCACGCTGTAGTGCTTGAGGTTGCCCTGGCGCGGCGCTGGAAAAAAGAGTGCGGGGTGGAAAAAGAGGGAGACAGAAACGAATCGGCACTTTTTTGGAAGTCTTTTTGACAATATCATCTATCAGCAATGAAATAACGCGTAGCAAAAAACGCGTCTGGAGCAGGCCGCGGTCACCGCGGTGCGCAAAAAACGTGCGCAAATAACACAGGAGAAAGAGTTTTTTGGGAAGTCGATTGTAAATTTGATCCTATCCTCTGCACTCTGAATGCAACGGCTCACCTTGAGCAAGCGCGTCGCATTGGCCGACGGCGACGGCGACAAGAACGAGGATGGCGATGGCGGCGTCGTGGCGGAAGGGCTTGAATCGATGCGACGCTTGTGGCGCCGCCATCTTGGTGGTGATTATCTGGCACGCGGCGACATGGGAGCACGTGAGATTGCGACATTCAAAAGGCACGCATACAAACTAAGCAAAAGCTTCAAAATCTACTCACAGGCTTAAGGATGACACGGGGGAATTAGGAAAACGCTGGCGGCTTGTGTTCTTGCTAATGCACAGGCAGCCAGGGGGATTACTATACAACACTGCGATGAATGTGTGCTGCGCTGTGGGATGGATGTGTAATGGATAAATGAGCGCCCTTTTACACGCAGATGGATGGAAACCCAGGGCTGCCTTGCCCGCCGTACCATGTGTTATTGGGGTTTGGTGTGGTATGGTACGGTTTGGTCACGAAACGACGTTCCCCTGCGGCTCGCACTGCACACACTGAATAGTGACTAGAGCCCCTTACGTTTTGTTCTGTATGCTATGTTGCAGCTTCTTGGCTCGGCACCAAGCCACCTGTTGTGCCCTGGATTTATGTCTGTTCCACTTGCGATTCTAGAACACCCTGGCAACACAGGTTGACGTGTGCTCCGAAAAAGGTTATACAAACAAGAAGTTTCTTGCACGATTCAAAACAGAATTAACGGGATCAACAACACGGAAATAGAATGCGCCCAAAAATGAGATTTCACTTAATTTTCTCCGTGCGAATCAGCAGATTTCAGTCCATACGGAAATCGAATCTACGAGCTGCTTAGGGTGTAAGGGCCAAAACATCCTCAATGAAATACACTATTTACAATTTCGAAAAATGATAATTGCCCCTGACCCCTTCCATCAACAACTGTTTGAGATCGTGTCCACCGCAAGTTGTAAACAGTGTCGCCCTACATGCGCATGCCGCTTTCTGACCGAAATACCCTCTCAAAGTGTCTCTCCAAATCACCCTCCGCTCAAAGTGTGACCAATGAAGTTTTCCGTCGAATATATCTCAGCGGACAAGCGAGCCCGCCCAGGGGAGCTCGCTGCCCGCGGGCTAAAAAAAATAAACCCCAGCATGTCGTCAAGTCGTCAGAGGGTCGTCAGGCTTGACGACCCGTTTCCGCTGAGATTTTCTGTGGGAGATTGATGAGTGTATGGTTTCTTAGGTGTTGCTGTTCATCGCCTTGCGCGATGTTTTCACGTTGAACAGCCTTCGACCTGCCACTCAAACGGAGAATCATCGATTTCAGGTGCACTAGCATTCTGTTCGGGGTGATCTGCTTATGACGCAAATGTTCGAGTGTGGGGATGCCGTAGGGCTGCGCCGCTATACCGCAGCGCACTCCTTGCCGCGGCAAGAGGAAACCTAGAGAGCGTATCGCGCTGCTTCGGCAGCATTCCGAACTGAAGCGGGGGTTACGCTCGCTAGGTTAGGTAGGGGGAGGAGGACAATTGCGGCGGCCAATTTGGGTTTGATGTGAGGGGAGACGAACATGACCCCTCCATTTCAGGGTTTCGGGTGCGCTCCAACCAGCCCAGCAGAGAGGCGCTGTAAAAAATTAGGGAATGCAGGTGCTATCTTGGGGACTGTTTCAGGCCGAGTGCGTTTGAATCAATTCTGCGCTGCAATGTTGTTCTTTCTGCTCGTTTCTGTTTAACGACCGATAGCACTTGAATAGACTACCCTGAAATGGTCGAATCGTGGAGGGTACCCTACCCTAAAAAGGTGACACCTGAAGGCGACTGGCACCGCCACTCTGATTCGTAGTGCGACATGCGAGCTTTTGGATGTTGTGGGAGTGCAGAATTCGTCAAACGCGAAATTCGGCTACGCAATATCCAAACTCGCTATTGCACAGTTCCCTATTTTTCCACAATAAGAACGAGAACGAAGCACGCTTTTCACAGTTATCACTCGTGCCGTGGAAAGCGTGGTTACGCCTTGTCCCCGCTAATTTCAGTCTTGTACGTTTCTCAAAGGACAGTCTTACCTTGTGGTTATGGATGGCCTCTTCATGTGTACTTAACTTTACATACATTTACCCTGACATTAATTCAAACAATCAGCTTCAGGTCAACCAGGTAGTTGCTAATGGGTTTGAAAATCATAAAGTTGACATTAGCGGGAACTGTGTGAATGTGGTAAAACGCCTATATTGTGCTTTCGCAATCTCTAAGAACCTTAACAGTAGGCGATTCGCAATTGTGTTTCTGAGTTAATCTACCTTCACTGTTTAAATGGAAGCCCTCTAGCACGCCATCGCGCACCCGTCGCGCTCCGGCTTCGCACCAGCCGCCACACACATACACACATACACACACCCATATCACATAATGAGAGTGGTGGAATGAGCGTCTGCAGCAGCAGATCACAGGGGCATGGTGGAAGGGGATGGAGCAGCACAAGTTGCCGCAGCATCGGCAGTAGTTAGCGTTGCAGCAGAAGCAGAGGTCGCGGGATTTGCGGCAGGAGGGGGGGTGTGACGAACAGAGGCAGGAGCAGTTGCAGGAAACACAGAGGAGGGCCTGGAGGAAATGGTTACTGGAAGAGGAGGTGTGTGGGGCATGGTTGGCAGGAACGAGGGCCGGGGGGGGTGGTTTGGGGTAGTAGGAAAATTTGTGGGTAAAGAGGGACTCGGGGCAGAAAGTGTGGGGTGGGGGTGAGAGTGAGTGGGTGCGAGGTGGCGTTGGTGATAGTGGAGAGTTGGGTGGGATGCAGCAAGAGAGCTAGATGCGGAATAAGTCGGGTCTGTGTGAGATTTCATTGGTGGGGAACGGACATGGGAGGTGGAGGAAGGAGGGTGAGAGGAGGGAGGAGGGTGTGAGGAGGAAGGAGGGTGAGAGGAGGGAGGAGGGTGTGAGGAGGAAGGAGGGTGAGGCGAATGAGGAGGATAAGAGGAGGAAGGAGGGTGAGAGGAGGAAGGAGGGTGAGAGGAGGAAGGAGGGTGAGAGGAGGAAGGAGGGTGAGAGGAGGAAGGAGGGTGAGAGGAGGGAGGAGGATAAGAGGAGGGGGGAGGATGAGAGGAGAAACGAGGATGAGAGGAGGGAGGAGGATGAGAGGAGGGGGAGGATGAGAGGAGGGAGGAGGATGAGAGGGGGGGGAGGATGAGAGGAGGGGGGAGGATGAGAGGAGGGGGGAGGATGAGAGGAGGGGGGAGGATGAGAGGAGGGGGGAGGATGAGCGGAGGGAGGAGGGTGAGAAGCTTTGGACGGCTGACTAGCTGTAGCGAGCGGGTGAGATGGGCCGTGGGAGGAAGGAGCAGAATGGTGGTAACCGTGCGGTTGCATGAAACCAGGGTTTGCATAGGGCACAGGAGATGCCGAGCCGTGCATATGGGGCGAGTGTGAGTGCATGCCAGGAAGAGCAGCCCGGGCAGATGGAGCAGATGGTGGTGATGGTGTAGAGGCAGAGGTGGAAGGGCGCATGCTGGTGCTTGAGAGGGTGCTTCCATGCATGGGACCGCCATACATGCTGCATGGTCCCACCCCTCCCACAGGCCTTCCCATGCCGTAGCTCCCACCGCCGTACCCATACACATGGCTGGCATAGGCCGATGCTTCCTGGCTGTGCGTGTAACCTTGGGAGTGTGTGTGGCTGTGTGGGTGTGAGTGGGGGTAGTGAGGCGGCATGGGCATGTGGTTCGGGAGATGGTTCGGCATGAGTGGCAGCAGGTGCGGCGGCAGGAGCGGGCCTTGTGGGGCACCGCGCATGTATGCTGCTACCTCCTCTGCGTAGTGTGTGTTGATCTCAAACACCAGATGCACGCCTCCCATCTGACTCCCATAGGGCAGGCATCCACCACACCACAGAGAGGAGACAGGGAAATGGCAAAAATCAAGGAGGCTGACATGCATGAGGAGGAGACATGGGGTGACGTGGCACGGACAGACCGGCGGCACTGACTAATTCTGGGACTCCATCATACTCACTGCACACCAGTGCGAGCAGCATGCAGGGTGCGGCTGTGCGCACCTCAATGAGGCAGCTGTTAGCGAGGATGGCCTGCTGGCCTGGCTCCACAGGCACCTTGTTGACCGTCACATCCCTGCGCCCCTCGTTGCTCAGGTAGAAACACCCATCCGCCCTCAGCTCTATCACCGCCTGGTCGGGAGAAGGGCGTGAGGGGGTGGAGCAAAGGCATCGGAGGGCATGGAGGCAGGAGACGAGGGACGAGAGGGGCGTGAGTGCATGCTGAAGGGTGGGGCGGAGAAGGTGGAGGGAGCATCGGTGCTACTGAGTCAACATGGGGGTGTGAGTGTGGGTGTGCAAGCATAAGAGCTCGTGAATGCGAATAACATACGAGCCTGTGAATGAAATCTGTCCTACAGAGCCAGGAAGGTGGGTGGGTGGGTGGGTGGGTGGGTGGCTCACCTGCAGGCGTGAGACCTTGTTGGCGCGGCCCTCCTCCGACAGATCAATGTCCACGTCATTGTCCTCCGTGCGCCGACCGATTGACACCTGGCACGCAGCCATTGGCGCAGCACAGAGGTTGCGTGAGACAAGAGCGGGTAGAGGACGGGAAGGTAACGGGTTCAGAGGGTGATAGGTAACCCAGGTGCTGATGGGTGTGGTTATATTACTGTAAAGGAAAGCATGAGTTGTACAGGGTTTGCTAACAGCCGAATCCCTGAGGCACACCATCCGCACTCTTTGGGCCACGCACCTCAAACGACCCACTCCCACTCCCATCCCCAGCCACAAACACACCCATATCAGCACCTCCCCCCTCCTCCCTTCCTCTTCCACACGCACATGCACGCACATTCACACACACGCACATGCACGCACATGCACGCACATGCACGCACATGCACGCACATTCACACACACGCACATGCACGCACATGCACGTGCGGGGGCACGCACCTGGGGCTTGAACATGGGGAAGCGGGTGCGGCGGCCGTAGAGCAGAGCGAGAGCGCCTCTGCGTGTGAGCTGCCTGCGCATGGCCGCCGCACTGCACCGCTCCAGAGGCAGCACTGCGTGGCGCTGCGATGCATACAGCATGCGTGCCGCTGGTAAACGGGGAAGAAGGGCGGCGGGGGGCGAGGGGGGGTGTGGGGGGTTAGAGAGGTGGGCGCAGAGGTGGGGGAGTGTGGAGACGGGAGAGCAGCGCATGGGGGGGGGGGTAGAGCGTGCAGCGGGGGGGGGGGGGGTATACAGAGATAAAAGCATGAGGAGATGATTAATTGAGCTAAATTTATGAAGAGAAAGAGGGTAGTGGAAGCAAGGGATGGTTCAGGCCGCCGCTTTGCATGATACTGTTTCATGCATGCGCCCCATAACCCCCCCATCCGCCCCATCCGCCCCACGAGTAAGATGGATGCGTGAGTGACCCACCTGTGCGAGCGGGCATGAGCTCGTCAGCGGAAGGATCTAGGTCCATATCCAATACCTGGTGCCAGGGGTGGAAGGAGGCAGGGCAGGGGAGGGCAGGGGAGGGAAGGGCAGGGAAGGGGGTTGTGTGAGTTCAAGTGAAGGCGTGACTTGATGCGGAATTCGGGTCCATGGCCAAGGGAAGAGGGCGCAAGGAGGGAGGGGGGTCGAAGCGAAATGGAAGGAAAAAGGAGGGGAATGGTGTGCTAGTGACGGATGGCACGGGAGGGATGGCGTGCAGTGCGGGAGAGAAGGAGCAAAGCCAGTCATTGCTGGTGTGTCCACCCATCTCAGATGCTGCTGCTCCTAAGAAGGAGTATCCTTGCTCACCATCTCCTCTGCATCTGAGAAGTGCAGTGAGTCCGTGTCACTCTCTGCCTCCTCCTCCTCCTCCACTTCCCCCGGCCCCCCCTCTTCCCTCACCCTTCTGCCTTTCTGCTCATCCCCACAACCAACACCCCTCCTCATTTCTCCTCCTCCACCAACTCCTCCTCCTCCTCCTCCTCCTCCTCCTCCTCCCTCCTGTGACATGTCCCTCTCCTCCCCCCCATGCAACGGCGCCCCCTCTTGACCGCCCTGCAGTTCACCCACTAGCGCACTCACACCTCCACTCGCCAGCACACACAGCATGCGGTCAAAACTAGCCTCCTCCTCTCCACTCCCAACCACCCCCCTCCCTTTCTCCTCCCCATTCCCTGCGTCCCCTTCCTCTCTCCCTGCATCATCTGCCGCTGCATCGGCACCTTTTCCTCCACCACCCTCCTCTCTCTGCCGTTTCCTACTCTCACGCCTCATCCCCTCCACTCCTGATTCCTCGCCAGCACAGCCCTCCTCATCCTCGCAACCCCCTCTCTCTCTCCCCCTCCCATCCCCACCACCTCCTCCTCCTCCGCCCGCTCCCTTCCCTCCCTCCTGTCTCCCCATTCTACCATCTCTACCCCCCACCCCTTCCCCAACAGCTCGTCCTGCTCTCAACCCACGCAAACCATCTCCCCCACAACCGCCCTTCGCCCCCTCTCCCTCTCGCCTCCTCTTATTTCTGTAATAAGCAGCACGCACCACTCTTGGCCTCCTCCTCATACTTCGGCGCCCCTCGCCCGCCCCCCTGCTCTCTCGCGCTGCTCCTTCCGCCCTGTTACCACTACCACCGCCAGCAGCAGGCACATGGCGGCTGTTTGCATTCAAGCCTGCTGCATTGCCGTCTTGCGAGTGTAGGGAGCGGGAAGCAGGGGTACCAGCACCACCCCCAGCTCGATCATCCAACCCCCCAGCACCAGCAGCACCACCAGCACCAGCAGCAGCACCAGGAAACACAGCCTCACCTCCAATCAACCTCCCCTCTCCCCCCTCCTCCCCTTCCTCTCTCCCCGCCCCCTCTCCCGCTCTTCCCCCTCCTCTCCCCCCGTCGCCCTCCCCCGCGCCCCTCCCCATGGCCGTGGCGGCGTCCGCCATCTCCGCCTGGGCGATGCGCGCAGCCGCCAGGGGGCTCTCCAGCGGGTGGTACAGCACGGCGCGCCACCGCGCGCGCAGCTCCTTCAGGGAGAAGCGCCGCGAGAACCGCAGCGCCCCGCGCGCCAGCGACTCCATGGCTATGCCCGCCTGGGGGGAGATGCGCGCAGAGACAAGGGGGAACGGCAATCTTTAAGCTCCCTGCTCCCTCTCTTTCGTACCCCCTTCTCCCCTCCTTTCCCCCAAGCTCCTAGTCTCGCTTCACTCTTTCCCTCAGACACTCCCCCCCACGCGCGCGCGCACCTCCATTGCGCGCCAGAGCGTGCGGTCGTCCGCGACGGTCCAGCAGGAGAAGTCCGGGGGAGGTTCCACCGCCGCTACCAGCCCGCCCGTGCCCACGCCGCCGCCGCCGCCGCCACCGCCGCCGCCGCTGCCGTCGCTGCGCGGGGTTGCGCTGCGGAACGCGAGAGCGGAGCGGGGATGGGGGAGGGAGGTGGCGGGAGAATGGAACAGGAGGAAGGGCGGATATGGGGAAGGCGGGGAGGGGTAAAAAGGTAGAGAAACTGGGCTTGCAATGGATTGATAGCTGTGCATGATCGGAGAGGGAAGGCACGGATGGAAAATCACGGTAGCATGCGGTGGAGAGGGGTAACGGGGCGCACGAGGGGCGAGTGACGTCTTGAGGCGCTTGATGGGCGACGACGGCGGGCTGGACGGCGCGGAGCGCCGCCGCATGGGGGAGGACGGCGGACTCAACGGGGAGGGCCGGCGCGCGGAAGGAGCAGGACGCATGGCGGTGGGTAGGGTGAAATGGAGAACAGGCGAGGTACGATTAGAACGTCGAGATTCGGTCTGCTTATGACGCGCCGACTGGAGAAAGTGAAGTTTGCTCGTAAAGTGTTGCCGACAGTGCAATAAGGTGTTGCGGACTGGCGAGGCGCATATGCAAAGATCCCTACGCGCTGAGCTGCACTTGACTAAACTATTGTCTGAAACTGGCGTAGGGCAAGGTAGATAATGGCTGACCTCCCACACTGGGAAAAATGCTTCACTTCTGCAACCTAAGTGAAGTGGCCACTTCTTGGACTGGCGCGCTTGATTGCATATTGAGAAAAAAAACTGTATTCTATACATAATTTATTCTTCTTCTATTTGTATTTTAAACAATGCAGTACTTTATAGCGTAAGAATATTAGAGGTGGATAATCAGGCTTATACCTCTACACTGATGTGCTGCTTATACAGTGCTTTCAAACAGAACACTGTTCTGTTGCGAAAGGGCAATTTCGGTGCTGGAAAGGGAAGCGCATGTCGGAGAGACACGAAGAAATCAAGCCTACTGGTCAACAAGTTTTTGCCCACCCTACGACAATGTCCCCCCCACCCCGCCCCAACCCCAAACCACCAGATGATCGTGCTGCGCCAACACCCCTTGTCCCCTAGGTTGGGCCAGGGTAAGGCAACCCTGGCATCATTTAGCACTTGGCCGCCGAGTCGCACCAGATACACTCCATCCGATCCCCAATCCTAGCCAACCAGACAAACCCAGGGTATTCAGATCTGACGGTGGTCCGCCTCACCTCGTGCTCGCGCCCCTATCCGCCCATCACCGATCGGGCATAGGTCCAGCCAGGTTCAGGCAACACCAATCGTGACACGGCAACAGAGGAGGCGACCACTTGTGTACCGACGGTGCCGAGCCGAGGAACCACCCCGCTATATCGCCCACATTCAAAACAGGCTTGCTGCTCCTCATTTTCATTCATCATTCACCACCTGATCCACACCACAGCTAGAACCTTCTGTCACTCTAGTGCAGCAGCGCAGACATTCTTATCATCAGCCCTTCGACTTCCTCTCACCAACACATCCTTCTTTGCTATTAACAGCTCCTTCTTCATCATGGCAAGGCTCGTCGCTGCCCTCCTTTGCGTCATGCTTGTAGTTGTCTGCGGCGTGGCTGACGTGGCGGAGGCGAGAGTGAACCGCAAGGAGGCGCTTCAAGCCATCAAAGCCCTTCGACGCTCGCCGCGTATTCCGAAATCACTCGCGGCATCGCCGGCCCTCGAGAACCTCTGTGAGTCCAACGCTTCTGATCCGTCAATCAGTCCCCCTTCCGTGCTATGATGCGGCTACTTTTACCAAAATAGTGCCGACGGCCAACCTCTCTACTTATCACCCTGCAAGCGCCATATTATGCGAGGATCGTGAGGGATTTCCAGTCCAAATCCCGCGTATCGTCACGACCCTTTTGCCCCGCATTCTCGGAAACGTTTTCTAACGCATGATTCTCCTTCCCCCCCTTCGCCCCCCGATCTCCGCGCAGTTCGCGCCGCCATGCAGCTGGGGAGCTCCAGCGGCCCGGTGACGCTGCTCGTGCCTGCGGACATGGGATACGTGCAGTCGCGTCTCAACAACCAGGTGTTCACGCTCCAGCAGATGAACTCCATTCGCAAGTACCACCTCGTCAGCGGGCTCCTCAAAGTCGCCGACCTCCAGGCCATGGCACGCGGCAGCACGCTCGCGACCGTGGAGGGCTCCACGATTAAGAAGATCACGCCGCCGTCGCTGCCCGTGGTGCTGCTCAAGGGCCGCGACGCGCTGCCGTCCATGGTGGTGGGAGGCGACGTGTATGTGGGGGACACGCTTGCAGTGCACATCGTGTCCACCATGCTCATCCCATCCGATGTCTAGATACTCGTCTAGACTCTAGTCTACACCATCAGGATCGGACTGCGTTGCTGCGGCGACAGTACTCTGAGCAGCATCTCGCTGCTCGCTGACTTCTCCTCCTTGGTGCTCGGTGTTAGATTCATCAACGCCGGCATTGCCGTGTTGTGCATTCTTTGCCCGCGTTTTTCCTGCCATCCCCTGTGGTGTCACGTCAGAGGGTGTCCATGGATGTGTGCAGCCGCTTGTTGCGCCAGCATTTGGATTCTAGCGGACAGTGTTTTTGTCTGCGCGTACTGAGTGACAGCATAGAGGAGTGCAGGGAAGATAATGCGTGTGTGCTCTGTAGGCCTTTGTCTTGCTTTTCTGAATATAATTGCTGATTCCAGTTTCTTGTTTTTCTGAGTCTTGAGCTCGATGCTAGGAGTGTGGAAGTGGCGTGGGCTGTACATGGTTTTTTAATATACAGGTTCAGCATCTGACATTAGGTTGTGAACAGAGTCTTAGCCAGCTTGTTGTCCTAACAGTACCATTGATTGACCAACCAGAACAAGGAAGCAGGAGGAGTTCTGGTGGCTTTGATGTACCGTACAAGCCCTGTCCTGTCATAAGCATGCCTGCTTTGTTGCAGCATCTTGGATCCTGCCCTAATGCTAAGGCCCTGTGGTTAACATGCACTGCTGCATACATCCTGTGGCTACTGTGCCCACATGCACATGCCTTGTGGTGTGGGTACTATGTTCATATTGTGTAAGCGTGTGGTTATAATTTTTTCCCTCTGAATGAGTATCCCATGAACCATCACTGTGATAAGCGTGCCACGAGGCACAAGCCCTGTAATTAGCATGCCATGCACGAGATGTGATTCGCCCTGGCTACCCCAGCAACTCTCCCTGTGGTAAACCCTGTATTTAGCCCTAAGGTTAGCCTTGTGGTTAGCCCTGTTGCTAGCCCTGTGGTTAGCCCTGTGGTTAGCCCTGTGGTTAGCCCTGTGGTTAGCCCTGTGGTTCCCTGTTGTTAGCCCTTTGGTTAGCCCTGTGGTTAGCCTGTGGTTAGCCCTGTGGATAGCCCTGCTGTTAGCCCTGTGGTTAGCCCTGCTGTTAGCCCTGTGGTTAGCCCTGCTGTTAGCCCTGTGGATAGCCCTGCTGTTAGCCCTGTGGTTAGCCCTGAAATTAGCCTAGCCTACGCAGGGTGTTGCTGAGGGGTGGTAGGTCGCAGAGGGAGGTGGGTTGCAAGGGGAGGTGGGTTGCAGAGGGAGGAATGGGGAGGGGCAACGCAGCGAGGGGGGGAGGATGTGGGGAAATGCGTACGAAGGGGGAGGGGGGTTGGAGGAGAGGGACGGGACGGGATGGGATGGAGTAAGGGGGGGTGGGTGGGTTGGGATTTGGGGGGGTCAAGGAGGAGAGGGGGTGGGGGTGGGGGTGGGGGGGGGAGAGGATATCACACCTGAGAGTGTTACTACCGTAGTCTAGATAGATAGCCTATCTACTCTGGCATATTTGTTCTTCATCTTCCGTCTTGCAAGCACATGGTTGTCCTGCAAGCAGACGAGAGGATGCGGCAAGGCAGACAAGAGTTGAGCTTCAACATGCGATGAAATAAAATACGATGTGAAATTATGGGTGTTGTTCGATTGGAATACACAGTTTACATGGTTTGAATACCCACACAATGTACAGATACGACATGATGTGATATGCTGTGATATGATATGATAGAATATGCAGTGTCTGAAGCTCAGTCTGTGTTCGGTTGTTCTTTTCTCACCTTCACAAAAAGTGATGAGCTCTTCAGCAGTTGGCCACTCCAGTGAGTTCCACCAGGCAAACACAATCCCCGGCCCACCAGTCCAATCCTGTCAAGTTAGCATGACACCCATAACGAAGTGAAAGAGCGATGGGCATGAGAGACAAAGAGAAAGCCAAAGGACACGAGCATGTCAGCTAATGATGGAGATTATGGTTCCATTTCTGGTAAGAAATCAGTCACAGCGGAATTGTGTTGCCGGGCAGGGAGAGAAACGGCCATGGAAGGCAAAGGATGTGAGACATGGACAGGAAGTGCGGGGATGGAAGGGGTATTGGCGTGCCATGCAAGTGTGGTGCAGAAGAGAAATGGGTGGGTGCAGAAACTCACCACTGAAAATTCCTCAAAGCACGTGCTATTCTTATGCACCCTCGTGCTCCAATGCTGCTGCCGAAATGTTGCTCCGCCCACTGCTGCTGAACAGACCTGAAGGAGGAACTCCAGGGAAAAGGCATATGAAGTATGAGGAGAGGAAGAGCGGAGAAATAAAGAACGTGAAGAAAGAGGGGAGGAAGAGCCGAGAAATAAGGCATCTGAAGGTAGAGGAGCGAAGATAACGGAAATGAGAAACAGAGTGGAGATGCAACCGAGAGGTTGACATAGGGAAATTGGGGGCAGAGAAGAAAAGTGCTGAGGAAAACCAAGAAGGGTATGAGAGGAGAGAAGGCGACGTGACGAAGCGGAGGGAAGGAAGCGAGAATGGACAGCGCATAGAGCAATCAGGAAATGAAGGACAGGAGGGGACAAGGAACGTACCACGGAAAGATGTCTCAACTAATTCGCCCCCAATTAAAGGAGCAGGCCGCAGCGATTGCGAGGGAGAAGGATCTGTCAGAGGAGACTCACCACATCACAGATCTTCTCTCTCACATACGTGCTCCTTTATCTCTGCTCCCACTTGTTTGCTCCCTCCTCTGGTCCCGAACACAGGAGTTGAACAAGGAAAACAACAAGGAAAACAACAAGGAAGGAGGGCGACCGAACAAATGTGAAAGTCAGGCTACGGCGGGGAGAAGAGGAGCAGTATAAGAGAGAAACTTCAGGACAGGAGAACAAAAACAAGAACAACATGACGGAAGGAGGACAACAGAGTGTAAAGGAAAAGGCGAACCTTTCCACGTGCGCTGCAGTAACCTCTTGTCCTCCTCTGCTCCTCTCCTCCGCCAAAGTACCCTCAGAAGAGGGAGCTTCTCACCAGAGAGGTACGTCCAGACAAAGGCAGCTTCATCAGCCGGTGTTCCATGACCAGTTCCAGCAGCAGCAGCAGCAGCAGCACTGCATGCGCCATTAGCATCGCCACCAGGGCAGCAGGGCCGTCACCAGCAGCACTCGCACCCTCCTACACCCACTGCATTCATGCTGTTGGGATGAAAGAAGGGGAAGCGCAGAGAGACAGGTGAAATAGGCAGAAAAAGGGAGCGAGTAAGCGAATGAAAGGTTAAAAGCGCCAACAGCAGATTTTTCCTGGACAAATGCATGAGTGGGAAACGAGAGAGCAAACTGTCAAGTGGAGATTCGCTCTTGGGAGTGTCAGTTTGGGGAGCTATCACCTGGGGAGGTTCCCTTGGTGAGAACGCAGGAGCAACTGGAGGAGGAACGAGGGGCAACGGGAGGATGGCAGCAGGCGCTGCTCATCCCATGTTGGCCCCAGTGGTCGCACTTGCAGCAGCACCCCTCGCAGCAACACCCATCTCAGCAGTACCCTTTCCAGTGGCTGCCTCTGCCGCCCCTTGCTTCTCGCACTCCCTTCTTGCATCTCCGCTGTGACTGCCTGCCGTGTGTCACCCCACCGCCCACCCTCCCCGCACCACGCTACCATAGCACCAGACCCGATGGGAAGGAGAGCAAGAAAACAGAGCAGGGGAAAGGAACCAAAGTAGTCAGTAGAAGAAAAAAGGTAGTGAAATGCATGCAAGGAGGCAGAGATAACAAGAACCACGAGTAGAGGAAACGAAAGTTGAAGATAAAAAGCACGTGGCACTGTGACGCTGTGAAAGGGGAGGCGATGGTAGCACACAGCACTAGGGCGCCGAGCTAGCAGGCAAATTAGGAAGGGACGCAGCATGATTATGAATGCATACTACTCTAACCCCCTACGACACTAGTATGAGCTCAAGCCGCCCCAGTGCCATGCGCTACCATCGCCAAACGCCGCTCATCTCTCACTCAACTTTTGATCGCTCCCATTCGAAAATGGGCACTTTTGTTTCGAGCACGCGGTGACGGAAGAATGCGGTACAAAAGTGGGCAACGATATACACGAAGCAGAAGCGGTAAGGATGGCAAGGGCGAAGGGAGAGGGAACTTAGCCGTATGGGGGTGCTTGCAGGACAGTGGCGTGAGGCTTCCAGGAGGCTCACAAACTGCTGTGACTGCCTGCCGTGCGTCATCCCACCGCCTTCCCTCCCTCCCTGCCATAGCACCAGACGAGAGCGGTGGAGCAAAGAAGAGCAAGATAACAAAAGTATTCAGTAGAAGAAACAAGGTAGTGAAATGCATGCAAGGAGGCAGAGATAACAAGAACGACGAGTAGAGGAAACGAAAGTTTTGGCACTGTGACGCTGTGAAAGGGGAGGCGATGGTAGCACACAGCACTAGGGCGCCGAGCTAGCAGGCAAATTAGGAAGGGACGCAGCATGATTATGAATGCATTCTACTCTAACCCCCTACGACTCTAGTATGAGCTCAAGCCGCCCCAGTGCCATGCGCTACCATCGCCAAACGCCGCTCATCTCTCACTTTTGATCGCTCCCATTCGAAAATGGGCTCATTTGTTTCGAGCACGCGGTGACGGAAGAATGCGGTACAAAAGTGGGCAATGATAAACACGAAGCAGAAGCGGTAAGGATGGCAAGGGCGAAGGGAGAGGGAACTTAGCCGTATGGGGGTGCTTGCAGGACAGTGGCGTGAGGCTTCCAGGAGGCTCGCACACCGCTGTGACTGCCTGCCGTGTGTCATCCCACCGCCTTCCCTCCCTGCACCATTCTGCCATAGCACCAGACGAGAGGGGTGGAGCCAAGAAGAACAAGAGAACCCAAGTAGTCAGTAGAAGAAAAAAGGTAGTGAAATGCATGCAAGGAGGCAGAGATAACAAGAAGGATGAGTAAAGGAAATGAAAGTTGAAGATAAAAAGCACGTGGCACTGTGACGCTGTGAAAGGGGAGGCGATGGTAGCACACAGCACTAGGGCGCCGAGCTAGCAGGCAAATTAGGAAGGGACGCAGCATGATTATGAATGCATTCTACTCTAACCCCCTACGACTCTAGTATGAGCTCAAGCCGCCCCAGTGCCATGCGCTACCATCGCCAAACGCCGCTCATCTCTCACTCAACTTTTGATCGCTCCCATTCGAAAATGATCTCCTTTGTTTCGAGCACGCGGTGACGGAAGAATGCGGTACAAAAGTGGGCAATGATAAACACGAAGCAGAAGCGGTAAGGATGGCAAGGGCGAAGGGAGAGGGAACTTAGCCGTATGGGGGTGCTTGCAGGACAGTGGCGTGAGGCTTCCAGGAGGCTCGCACACCGCTGTGACTGCCTGCCGTGCATCATCCCACCGCCTTCCCTCCCAGCACCACGCTGCCACAGCACCAGACGAGAGGGGTGGAGCAAAGAAGAGCAAGAGAACCGAAGTAGTCAGTAGAAGAAAAAAGGTAGTGAAATGCATGCAAGGAGGCAGAGATTACGAGAAGGAGGAGTAAAGGAAACGAAAGTTGAAGATAAAAAGCACGTGGCACTGTGACGCTGTGAAAGGGGAGGCGATGGTAGCACACAGCACTAGGGCGCCGAGCTAGCAGGCAAATTAGGAAGGGACGCAGCATGATTATGAATGCATTCTACTCTAACCCCCTACGACTCTAGTATGAGCTCAAGCCGCCCCAGTGCCATGCGCTACCATCGCCAAACGCCGCTCATCTCTCACTCAACTTTTGATCGCTCCCATTCGAAAATGATCTCCTTTGTTTCGAGCACGCGGTGACGGAAGAATGCGGTACAAAAGTGGGCAATGATAAACACGAAGCAGAAGCGGTAAGGATGGCAAGGGCGAAGGGAGAGTAAACTTAGCCGTATGGGGGTGCTTGCAGGACAGTGGCGTGAGGCTTCCAGGAGGCTCGCACACCGCTGTGACTGCCTGCCGTGCGTCATCCCACCGCCCTCCCTCCCCGCACCACGCTGCCATAGCACCAGACGAGAGGGGTGGAGCAAAGAAGAGCAAGAGAACCCAAGTAGTCAGTAGAAGAAAAAAGGTAGTGAAATGCATGCAAGGAGGCAGAGATAACAAGAAGGATGAGTAGAGGAAACTCAAGTTGAAGATAAAAAGCACGTGGCACTGTGACGCTGTGAAAGGGGAGGCGATGGTAGCACACAGCACTAGGGCGCCGAGCTAGCAGGCAAATTAGGAAGGGACGCAGCATGATTATGAATGCATTCTACTCTAACCCCCTACGACTCTAGTATGAGCTCAAGCGACCCCAATGCCATGCGCTACCATCGCCAAACGCCGCTCATCTCTCACTCAACTTTTTATTTTTCGAATATGATGTGAGGAATGATCGCGGTACGTAGTGGACAAGGGCGAACCAGAAGCAGTAATGATGACAAGGGCAGAGTGAGAGGGGACTTAGCTGTATTGAAGAGCTTGCAGCGACAGAAGCAGCGAGGCAGTCATCGTTCCAGTCAGCAGCAGGATCCATTCTGCTGCTTGTATTGCATCGCCGAATGAGAGCCACTCGCCGCTGTTGGTATCATTTCGACCACCCACGCATTCGCCTCTGTTACGTCCAGCGTTTAAATCGTCACCATTTCCTTCTTGGTAGTAAGCGTCGGTGCGTGTCGCTTCAGTCGTCGCCATGAGGAGTCACCATCTCGATCGTCACCGTCAGAAAGCATCGCTCTGATCGTCACCGTAATTATTCGCAATCCTGATCAATCCTCATCTTCACCGACTAGAACGTCACTTCATTTGTCACCATCGGAAAGCGTCGATTCAATTGTGACTTTGAGGTATCGGAATCCTAGTCGCCATCTTCGAAAAGAGTCGCTTTAATTGTGTCCGTCAACAAACGCCGTCCTGCTCGTTACCGTTCGAAAGCGTCACTTCGGTCGTTACCGTTAGAAGTCACCATCTCGATCGACACAGTCAGAAATCGTCGGTTCGGTCGTCAGCGTCAGTAATCGTTCTCTTGATCGTCACCATCATAAGCGGCCGTCGCTAACCGTTGTTGGAAGTGGCTGTGTCGTTCGTCACCGTCAGGAAACACCCGCTCAATCACCGTTGGCGACGTCTCGCTTTTTAAAGTCCGAAATACTCGTTGCTGACCTCGTACAATCAATCGCCGTGTAAAACAGCTGTCTCCGGCAGGATATCGGCCTCAGTCATCACCAAATCGAAACGTTCTCGCTGCTGGAGAGCGGCGTCGCCTTGGACTTAAAGGAGCGTATGGAGATCTGAAGAAGATTCAAGCGGTATCTCGGCAAAACCCCTCTGTTCCGCGCTCGTCAGATGTCTAGAATACGTAAATTAAGAAGTTCTGAAAACTGGAATAATTGGAAATCAGAACTGCAGTCAAGAGAGTAATTGCTGGATGGCGGAAATGAAACTGCTCCGAATGACTACAGCTTCCAAGCTTCGACTGTCTCTGTCTGACAATGACTACGTAAAGCTCGGTTTACTTCTTAACGATGACTACGACTAAGGTTAAAAGGTTACTGCTTCGCGTCAGGAGACACAGCCATGAACTGCAACAATCAGTGAATTCCGTCTTGACGACCTTGAGATAAACGTGTCCGATAATTTTTCTGACTAAGGATACGAGTGAGAACCATTCATGGTAAACAGAATGGCGACCGCCATGGTTTCCGGCTTAGCAAGCTTCTCCACGAGAACTCTGAGTGAAATGCCCTGACGATGATGGTTGGAAGGAATGGAGTTCAGGGAAGCCGGAGAATGGATTTCAGGAAGGAAGGTGAGCGTTAGTGAAAGAAGCCATGTTCAGAGGTAAAATCCAGGGGATTTAGACAGATTCAGAGTGGTGAAGAACGATTCACAAAAAAAATTCCTGTGCTCGGGTGAAGAGCGCCGCACTGTCGGCAGAAGGTGGCACCTTGTCGGCAGAAGGTGGCACCTTGTCGACGGGGATACCCATTTCGTTAGCAAAAGCTACGACGCGCGAAATATTTGGATTGAGTTTTGCGATAGATATCCTCAGATTGAGTTTCGCCGTCCGCGCGGGAATTGACTGTCAGAAGGATACCTCTGACACGGCGACGCCATGGTTGATCATGATGGGTCATGATGTGATTGTTCACGATCTTCCTGCTTCCATATTGATCGAACGGCCGAGAGCAACATTCATTTGCCCCAGCCATTGTGCGAGAACGATACACAGAACAGAATGAAGCATGTTTGTACTGTAACTTTTGCAACCGATATAACATTATCCCTCAATTCACCTATACCTAATCAGATCTATAACAAAAACACATCCCGACGCTTGATGGCATGACAGTTTTCAGATGCAGGTCATCAGGGATTCTGCATGGAGACGCATTCATGTTTTTTTTTTTTGCTGGAAAATGAAATGTCTAACACTCGCCAGGAATCAATTTTGTTGGCTTGTCATGGCATGGTAAGGACAGGTTGCACTCGTTGGAAGCAGAACATGGACTTAACTTTACCGTAGATCCGCATCCACACATAGCACAACATGAAGTCACAGAGTGTGTGCTGCACCCTCAGTCTACTTCCTACCTTCATCTGCCTTGCACAGCACTTACTACCCAACCCCATAATTCTGCCCATCCACTACCACCCTAGGGCAACAAGATGTTGCCACCATGCCACACTCCAATCTTCTATGTACGGTAATGCACAGCAGAGGAAGGCAGGAAGAGCTGAGACTGCAGCGCAGTTACCAACCGCAGCACTCCCCCATGGCCACACTTTCAGCTTCCAAGGCGTGTCATGAGAGCTTGCTTTTACTGCATCTGTTTAGAAACTCCCTGAAAGACGCACTCTAGAGGTCAGGAGGGAGCAGAATGGACGACACGACGTGCACAGCAAGGGTATCGCCAACATACACATCGCCAGACACCAGCACAGACGGCATCAGGTCCTTTCCCTTAAGCATCACCACGGGGATGATCGGAGGTGTGAGCTTCGTGATGGCTTTCCCCTCCACAGTGGGGATCTTGGCATTGCGGGACAGCGCCTGGAGGTCCGCAGCGGTGTAGAGACCCGAGAGCAGGTGGTACAGGCGGATCTTGTTCGCCTGCGGGATCGTGTAGGCGGGCAGCGCGGAGGGGCTGAGCGAGGCGAGCGCTGCGGGGACGAGGAGAGTCACGTTGCCGGTGGAACTGTCCAGCTTCATCACCTTGCGGACTGGTGGGGCGGCAGAGGAGAAAGGGAGGGGCAACGCGAAGGAGGGAGCGGGGATGAGGCTAGTGGTAGTGCAGGTAATGCGATTCTATTTGTGCTGAACTGACGGAAGGACGTCTCAGAAGTGCAGGAGACATGAAGAACGGGGCGAAAGGACGAGAACGGCAGAGCGCGTGGGAACGCGACACTCACACAGCGCTTCGGCAGCAGGAAGAGTCGCGGCCGCGATTCGCGGCGACCGTCTGATCGCCTTGATGGCCTTTATGAACTCCGTTGGGTCTATCCGCGCCTCGGCCACGGCGGCCGCGCTAACGAGGACGAGGAGGAGAAGGGAGAGGAACCTGACGGATGCCATGGCTGGAGTAAGTGGACGAATCTACGGGATTAAGTTTGGTAAGATGTCTAGCTCGAACCGCAGTCGGCGACTATATTCGAAGGTAGAGCGTAGGATAGAGTAGGATGTTTTAGGCGATTTGGTAGTTGTCCAATGCATGTCTGTCTGCTCAACACGGGCAAGTTTTGTACCTCGCAGCTGCACGTCATGCCGCGAGCCGAAGAAAACAAGGGATGCATCGTACAGGCAACGGCGAGGGAGACTGGTCCAAGCTGGTCACCGCGTCGCACTGTGAGGGAACGACAAAGTAGTAGGACACACGGCACCCCAGTTTGTTCGAATATAGGCGGCGCAGCTACGCGACGAGGAGGTTGGTGTGCGTACCTCTGGGAGCGCGCCACTGTGCTGGTCTAGGCGTGTCTACCGTCGACTGTCGGAATTCATGAGAGTTTCAACACCACTGAGGACGTAGCTAGCAGTCGGTGCACTAAGCTTCGCTGCTCCGAAGAAAGTCCAGGAAATTCCATCCCTCCAGGACCAGGTTGTGCCCTCCTCTGCCGAAAGGCGGAGCACGTCTGGGAGGAGGGAAGAGGGGGGTGGGGGAGGGGGAGAAACAGATGGTTGAGGAGGAAGGTGGATGGATGGAGGGGATTGTATGGCTGGGCTGTGGTGTTCGGTGGTTTGGTGCGTGGGGTAGGAAGGAAGTGGCTGTCATGTGATTGGTTGATCCAGCCCCTACGGAACTTCGCGGCCCGGAACTTTCGTCTCAAGGTGCTCACAATTAGCCTATAGAACCAGGTGATATTTGAACTTGTACAAATGGATTCAGATGTTGACAAATTTATGACTGGGCATATTGTGAAAGCGTTTAAATTATGTTATACCATCAGCTGCTATAGAGAATAATATAAATTATCCTTGTAAAATTTTTCCAGAACCTCTATATTGCAGCTTTCGCTGCTTGGAGCATCCATATCATTTGTCCCTGTTGTAGACTCGTAATTTAGAGTTTTGTTTTTACTGGATGCTACATCAATAGCGAACGATGTTCTAACTGCAAATTGCTGCATTCTGGGCAGAAACTCTCGGGGTTCCTCCTCATGGTTGACAATCTCAAGGGTCATTCCTACGCTGTGACTGAGCAGATTTCCCACAAGCACCTCGGGATTCGTGAATTGCTTCAGGGCTGCTGTTGGATAATCCTTGGAATTTGAGGATGACGGAAAAGCAGTGGACACTTTGCGGCTCATTGTCTGGCTCAAGGCTGACCAGAGCCTTGAAAAGAGCTAGAAACAACCACAGCAAGGATTTTCAGCTTATTGGTTTGCTGCAGCTGCAGCTAGGATGGCGAGTCGGAGTCAAAGACTGACTCAATTGCAGCTCGTGCTGTTCCTTTTACTCCAGTGGAGACGATGCGCTTCACAGCTCACCAATGTGGACGAAGGTATCAAGGAAACTTGGCGATAAGTTGGTAGCTACTACGATTGAAAGACACCACGCGTGCGCGTGCTCATTCGTGTCCTTGTTTATTTCATGTGGCAGTCGCCGCGCTGACAGCAATAGGTGGAAGCTTCGGGTGGCCCAGCGCATTGGAGTCGTGGAAATGGGCCGATCCGTGTTCTGGAGGAGCGTTGCCTGGAGCTACCGTGGGGGCGTCTGGGGGGTCATGGCGGGGTGTGACTTGCACATCCAACTCCAATCCGCGTCACGTGATTGGCTTGTGGGATTCTTAAAATTTTATCATTTCTCACGAGCTGTTTGGCCCCGGAAGCCTCACCTAACGGTTCTTACATAACAGGAATATTACTAACGCTGGCCTTCAAGGACCACTCAGCAAGGCCGTGGGAGACTTGGATGCGCTCCAATTTCTGTGAGTCGTCGTTACTCCACCAACGGAACATAAGTCTTGTTACTAAGTATTGGAATGATGCTTCTTGCACTCTGTGGACTAACTGATTTCTTCCGTGCAGAGTGATGTCTGGCAATCAAATTCAAGGAGGCATGCCTGATACCATTACCCAACTGAACAGCCTAAGCCACCTGTGCGTGATCTGGTTTTTCACTATGGTGTGATGATACGAGATGATGCGACGAGCTCAGATGAGTCGATACAGCAAAGCTTTGTCAGAAATTATTGTTTGCATTCGACAGCAATGCTATAACATTCTTGTGCGTCTCACAGAGACCTGAGTATGAATCCACTTGCTGGCGAAATCCCTCACGGAGTTCAACAGCTCTCTGGGCTCAGACATCTGTAAGTCACCTGACAGCTTGTTCCGTCATGGTGCTGCATCGTCAAATTTCTACCCGCCTGCCACTGCTGTCCCTGTGCCATGGCGCAGTGCTGATAGATATTGTGATTGCGTAATGCAGGGATTTGTCTCAATGTAACCTTCAAGGCACCATGCCTCATATTGGCTATCTTACTGCACTCACCGCAATGTGAGCATACCTCATATGTTACAATGCTCCATGTTACCAAGCGCTTCCCGCGCTTGCTTTTCAATCACATCATGGACTGCCTGCATGAGCTAACATCTGCGTTCACTTGATGTCTCTAGAAATCTGAGCGGCAACCATTTGGGGGGTTTCCTGCATGCCAAGATTGGCGAAATTTCTGGCCTGGTGTACATGTAAGAGTCCTTCGCAGCAGCTTATAAAACTCCAAGAAGCTATTGAGCCCATCTTACTATTTTCTGTCACAGAAGGGCCTGCAGTTGGACAGGTTTGCTGCCTTTGTTGACCAGTTCAGTTCTAGTACACTAAGATCTACCTCCCGTACAGGGTTGATGATTCAGCTGACTCCATTCTGTGTTCTTGCTCAGGGATTTGACCTCCAACGGCCTGGAAGACTCAATTCCAGCTGAGATAGGAAAGCTCAACCAACTTCAGATGCTGTAAGAGAGCCAGCAGAGAATAGAAACATCGTTTACAACCTGAAAATGTGACCACAATTTTTCTTCGAGGTTTCTACTTCGCATGGATGTCCGATCTTGCCATTGGTTTCTTATAAGCCACGATGCGCATCCTCATGGATTCCAACATTAAGAGTAACCATGCGTTATTCATCTGGCTGCGTCTCTGTCCCCTCTGTGTCACTGGCCGCCCGTTCCAACACGCCTGACATTGGCAACACTTGATTGACTGGGACACATGGAACCAAGCAGTCATCTGGGTAGCAACACTTTCGATGGAACGCTGCCTGAAGAACTGGGTCAGCTGACCAACTTGAAAGAGCTGTAAGGCCGTGCAAGCGACTCAGCAATCCCATCCGAACTGCTAGACCGCAATTCTATTGATATTTCTGTCTGTCTTCCAGATTGAACCTTTCCCATCCAACTTAGCACTAAATCCTCGCAACCGCTTTCCACTTGTCCCTCTTCCTGGTGCTCAACCTCTTCTACTTTCTGCCTCCTCACCTGCAGGGTCCTGAATTCAAATCGCCTCTCTGGTACCCTCCCAGCGTCCCTGGGGAACATGCCACAGTTACAGCTGCTGGATCTGCGTGGGAACCAGTTCCAGGGCACCATTCCTGCCTCCTACTTCCGCATCCCAACGTTTTTGTGAGTTTGTGAGACAAGATCATCAACGAGACTTATCTTTAACCATTTGTGTTGCAGCGGCACCCATAGCTGTCAGATGCATCAGGGGTTTGGACCAGCACTCAATGGCGCTAGCAGCGTAACACCACATTCTGGTTGATGTATCCACCCCTCTACTATCTGCTGCTACGCCGCGTCGTTACTCCTGTCCTTTCCACTCTAGAGATTTGTTGCGCTTTTGCATCTTTCCTCCTCCCTACCTTGGCTGGTCAGGTTTGATGGGGACCTCCAGATTCCATCATCAGGCCTACCACCGCCCTCCCTCCCGCCACGCCCACCACCACCTTCGCCTGTAGCCCCTCTGCCTTCTTCCAAGCGCCCATCAACCAAAAAGCGCTCTTCCCCCCCACCCTCGCCGCCACCCTCGCCTCCCCCTTCTCCTCCTCCACCGTCCCCTCCACCTCCCTCCCCCCCACCATCCCCTCCTCCTCCCCCCCCCACCTTCCCCCTCCCCCCCCCTTCCCCTCCTCCATCTCCTCCTCCTCCATCCCCTCCTCCTCCATCTCCCCCACCTCCATCTCCCCCTCCTCCCTCTCCTCCTCCTCCTTCTCCTCCCCCCCCGTCTCCTCCCCCTCCTCCGCCATCTCCTCCCCCTTCTCCCCCTCCATCCCCCCCGTTCCCTCCCCCACCTCGCCCTCCGCGCCCTCGTTTTCCCCCACCATCACCCCCACCGCCTCCCTCACCGCCCTCTCCAGCGCTGCCACTCATCCCCTTCGCGCCCCCAGCTCCACCCGTGCCTGTACCATCTCTGGACCTCGCCGCTCCGCCAGGTTGCTCGCCTTGCGCTGACAGCTGGGTTGCACGGAAAGTGTCGTCGGTTGGGGGTGGGGGTCATGGGGTGGCGTGCATGTGCGTACAGCCGGTGGTGGTGGAACTTCGGCTGTCAATGGAGTTTCATCACTTCAACTCTGCTTTCAAGCAGGTACTGTCTGCACCGCTGCAAGAGACGTGATTGCATGTCAGCCACGTTAATTTCAATGTCTGTTGTGTCCCATACTGGTTCTTCCTCTCTCCCTCAAATCCTTCCACTCCTAATCTTCTTGTCACGTAATTGGCGGCCTTTACTTACTCCGCCCACTTCCCCCTCCCTCTTTTTTTTTCCTCCTTCCTCTTGTCCGCCCTCACTTCACCGTTCCTCCTCCCATACCTTTCAATCAGAGTCTTCAACTGCAGCTGGCTCGCTCATTCGCCGTCAACCCAGCTCAAGTCCTCATACCCTCTATTCGTCCCGGCAGCGTCATCGCTCTTGCAGTGGTGCTGCCTCCTGCGCCTGCCACACGATTCCCTCATTCCACCCTTGACCAATTCTCCGCAACACTGCAAACCGCACTTGCACAGTCCGCCAACACATCTGCTGGCGGCGCTGCTGGTGGGGGTCCAGGGACAAGCCATGGGACGAGCAGGGCTGAGCCTTTGGGGCTCCGAGGGTTTGGGAGGGTGGAGGTGCTTGGTTACTGGATCCCTGGATACACCTTTCCCACACTGAGTAAGTCTCACTCGTGTACTCGTGGCTGGCTGCAAATCTGAAAAGTTTCACACCCTCCTGATCAGCTTCTCGGGTTGATCCGCCAAGGTTTGTGTGTTTGATCAGTTTCTTAGTCTCATCAGTGGCTGCATTCCACCTGCACGTTGATAAGCGAGTGCAAGTTGCTCGGAAGTTTGCTATAGTTCTATCTTCCATAGCCCTTTGGTGTGCCGTCCCAAGGCAACAATCCCCACACCATCCACTTGTTGCTGTATCCCTGCATGTGTGCAGGCACTAGCGACAGCAGCAGCCCTTCCACCAGCGAGCAACACCCTGCCAGCACCAGCAAAACAATTGCCATAGCGGTGGGCGTGGGAGTGCCAGTACTGCTGCTCCTGCTGCTCGGCATAGCCTGGTGCCTGCTACTGCGCACCCGTTTCTCCTGCCACAACCCCCTCTGGTCCCTCCTTCGCTGGTGTGTGGCTGGCAGCAGCCGCAAGGGTGGGGTTGACTCATCCTGCTGCAGGGTGTGGCATGGGGGTTGCTGCAAGGGCTGGTGGGGGCGGAGAGCGGAGAATGGGGCTGCAGAGGTTGAGAAGGACAAGGAGAAAGACGAAACGGTTCGTGGCAAAAGAGGGATGCAGAACGGCAAACCGTTCACAACTGAAGGTGAGTTTGGCCATGCATATAGCTCGCAAGGTGTGAGCCTTGCTGCTGCCATCTGTCTTGCTTTCAGACTGCCAACGGCCGCAGGAGGGGTTTTCTTCACGTGTCTCCTGTCATTACCGCTTACTCCCGGCTTCTTGCTGAGTCTATTCCGTTTCTTGTCGTCCCTGCCCTCTGTTGCCCGGGCAGCACCGACTTACTTCTGGGAGACCAAGCTATGGCATTCGCACAAGAGCCAGCATGCAGCAGTGCCTCCACAGGACCCCAGTGCACATGGCAGGGCGGCAGGGGAGTCCCCTGCACGCGAGTTCTCTCTACAGGAGCTCTGGGCTGCCACGGATGGCTTTGCTCTGAGTGCACGCATTCAGGAGGGGCCGTTTGGGCCGCTTTTCAGTGGCAGGCTGGCAGATGGCTCGGTAAGTGGCTCACACGGCACCTGTTGCTGTTTTTTCCGAATCAAACTTCACATTTCTGTTCCTTATCACTCTTTCTCCTGTCTGCCCCTCTTCCCTTCACCTCGGCCGCTTTCCCCTCTCCGCCATGCAGCCAGTGGCAGTGGCTCGGCTGGACCCATCACCCCAGGGCGGATGGTCAGAGGAGCAGGTGAGGCAGGCAGCACTGCAGCTGGCGCCCCTGCTGCACGGCAACCTGGTGCCGCTGCGTGGCTTCTCTGTGGACGGTGGAGAGAGGCTACTGGTGCTGGATGACTTCTGCTGGCGCGCGGGCCACCTGGGCACACTTGCCTGCGCGTTGCACCACCCAAGCTCTTCCCCCTCTGCTTTACACGGCGCTGATCGGGGTGGTGAAATTGTGGCTGGGACCAGTGGTAGCACGTGTTTTCTGAGCTGGGATGCGAGAGTGGAAATCGCTATTGGTTGCGCCCATGCTCTCAGGTAACCTTTAGTGCCTGTCAGTCTGCTCTGTCCTTCTACTCTTCAACCATGCTCACCTCGTGCCTCTCCATCCCCTCGTTCCAGTTTTAGTTTACCTAGTTTTCAAATAAGATTACCTCTCATATTTTCCTCTTTTGCCCTCTTCTCTTGCCCTCTTCTGAGCCCCTGTCCCTCCCACACTTTCCCCTTGCCCACTACCCCCATTCCCCCCTGCCGAACTCCACCTGCCCCTTTGCCCTCCTGCCCTGTGCGTGCAAGAGCAGGTACCTGCACGAGGACTGCCGCCCACCCGTCGTGCATGGTGCCATCTCCTCCTCGCTCATCTTCCTTGACGCGCACTCTCAGCCTCACATCGCGCATGCTGGCCTCGCTCCCCTGCACGGCGCCACTGTTGCTGCCTACGCTCATGTCAGTGCTTCTCGTGTCCCTTTTCTCCCGTTCTCAATCGCCTTCCGCTGCTCATCCCATTGCGAATGACTCCTAGTTAATGTCAGCGCATGCTGTGAGTCTGCCAGTAGTAATTCTACGCTGCTGCCCGCCTATAGCAGCTCTGTCCTTACTTTCTCAGAAATACTTACTCTGACCCCCCCCTTCCACACCCCTAATATCCCTATCTCCCCATCCTATCTGCCCTATCTTCAGACGGACCAGCTGGTGGGGGCGTTCGCCTACAGCGCACCAGAGCATGCAATGACGGGCGTCTTCACGCCCAGCAGTGACGTGTACAGCTTCGGAGTGGTGCTGCTAGAGCTCCTCACAGGCCGCAAGCCCGTCGACCCGTATGTCTGCTGTACTTGCTGCATTGTGCCACCTGCTGCTCCTCACTCGTCATCTGCTCTTTCTTTCATTCTCTCCTCAGAAGCATGCCATGTCAATTTCCTGGGAACCTCCCTCCCTGTCAGCCCCTCCACCCACTCTCTGTTCTTCATGGCCTTGCTCTCTTGTTCATTTCAATAAGCACCCTCCCTTATCTTTCCTCTATAACTTTTCCCAGTCCCAACTAAAATCCCCTTCTCCACAACTCCAATCCTATCCCCGTTCACCAGCTCAAAGCCCAAGTCGCAGTCTTCTCTGGTGCGCTGGGCTGCTCCCCGCCTTGCCTCTGCCTCGGCCCTCCCGTCACTCCTCGATGCATGCATGCCTGGCCACCCTCCATCGTCCACCGCTCTCTTGCACTTCGCCCGGCTTGCCTCCCACTGCATTCAGGTGCCTTCAGTCTGCCTAGTTCCGTACTCCCCTCTACTACTCTAGCTCGTTTTACCTCAATTTCCCCTTCCCTCCCTTGCACATGCCACCTTCCCCCACTCCCTCTTTGCAACCCGACCCTGTTTTACCCCTCCCCACCCTCCCCACCCCCCAAACACCCCCCCCCACACCCATCTCCCAGTTCTTCCCTTCTTCAATTTTCCATGTTGTTCTCTCTCTTCAGCGCCTTCCCTCGTTTACCACATAACAGTTTGTGCTATTCCAGCCCCCCTCCATTCCTCCCGTAGCTCACTCCACCCTACAATGTGTTCCGTGCCTCTCCTCTCCTTTTCCCCCGTCTGCAACCCATGCAGCCTGAGGCGGAATTCAGGCCCACCATGTCGCAGGTCATAGCAGAGCTCTGTGGCAGTGTGCGCGCTGCCGTGCCCTCCGCCCCCCCATTGCCCGCCTTGCTCCCCAACCGCGCTGCTCGCACTGCTTCGAGGTTCGGCAGGGGATCTGGTGGACGGGATGAGAGGAGGGTGGCACCAGTAACAGAGGAGGATGATGGGGAGGATGGCGCGATGGCTCGTGCTTCCACTCTCAACTCAATACAGTACTGACAGGCCCTGGGTTCAGGAGGACTTCTTAAATGAGTGCACTTCTGTAGCTGTAATTTGTTTTATAAAAAAAAAATGATTGTTATGCTGCCTATTGCGCTAGGAATGCACCCTAGAGGAACTGCCTATGGCAGCCTTGCTTGTGGAAGGCACAACAGCCCAGACACAGGGGGGCATGGTACCGTAATCTTTCAGGCTGAACCTTTTCTGAAGGAATGAATGGAGGAGCTACAGGAGGTCAACAAGTGAGCTGGCGGTTCTGATGCTGTGACTCATCACGACAAGTTGCCTAGTGAGTAACACTAGCACATCCCAGAACAAGACATACGGTAGGATTGGGGTATGCAAAGCAGGCGGCATTGTAGACCAATCTAGCATCGGCCCACGGCTGCGGCTGGTGCACATTCCACACTTCCAGACTCCATCACTCCGACCTTGAGCGACAGTTGGCCAGTCACATAAGGCAGTACGTTGAGGGCATGGCTAATACGCGCGCCGAGCATGGCGGCGGGAGGGCCAATCGTCTGCCCGACCTACCTGCGGAGGTCATTGAACTTGTTTTGGCGTATCTGGAGCGACCCGCTGACGTGGCGCGGTCAATGCTCGTCAGCAGGGCTTGGCGCGCCGCCATGCAGCGTTGCTGCGCGAGGCGATTCGCGCTGGTCTTTAATCAGCGGCTGCTGCGCTGGGAGCCGTGGTTCGGTGACGTCAGCAACTGTGCGATCTCGGACCTGTGCGATCCGTCGACAATGCAGCTCCCGCTGGCACTTGATCGCAGGAGTCGCATGCCACTGCGACGGCTGGCCGACGTTGTCGCAGTTCGCACCGACAGAGATAGCGAAGGCGAAGACGCGTGCGACGACGCTGCGATGCTGGCGAGCAGCGATATGGTGTGGCACGGCCGGGCGATGGAGCCGTGCCCAGTGGTGGGGCTGGGCGCGTGGGATGAGGGCGCGGGGAATGATGGCGTGGGGGATGGCGGGGGGGATGGCGCGCGGGACGCGCTGAGGGACCAGTGGGCCTGCGCGCTGGTTCCGCGCTTAGAAGCCCGCGCGCTACAGCTCCACCGCGCGCTCACGTCCTTCCACGTAACCATCGCGACTTGGCGCGCTGTGCCGTTCACGCCCAGCGACCTCTCGCGCCTGCTGCTGTCCCTCGCCGCGCACTGCCCGTGTCTGGAGCGGTGCGTGCTTCAGGTCAAGGTGGAGCGGGAGACGGGGTGGTGGAAAGGCCGCGGTGGTCATGCTACTTGCGAGGCGGAGGCGGAAACGGGGGAAAAGGCGGAGGCGGAGGCGGAGGCGGAGGCGGAAGGGGGGAGTGTTAATAGCAGAGGTGCCGGGCGGATGGGGGCTAGGGTGTGTGCTGCCCTCCGCGCGTTTCTGACACAGTGCTCCTCCCTGCGCTCCCTCCACCTGCACCACACCTCCCTCACTCCCCTCCTCTGCCTCCCCGCCTCCCTACCCACCCTCGCCCCGCGCTTGGAGCACCTCTCCCTGCCACTCCCTTCCATCCCGCCATGCCTCTTCCACCTCTCAAGCCTCCGCTCCCTCTCCCTCACTCTCTCGCCCCCCATCCAGCCACAACTCACCTCCGGATCCCCTTTCTCCGGCATGACTCGTCTCTCCTCCCTCTCCCTCCATCTCGACCTAGACGTGCACGTCCACCGCGGCCCTCCCCCGCATCTGCTCATCCGTATGCTGCTCTCGCATTGCCACCCTGCCTGCGTCCCCCCCTCCACGCTTCCCATCTCGCCGGACCTGTTCTCCGGGCTCGGCCCGAGCCTGCGCCGCCTGTCCCTGCGAAGCACAAAGATTCGGGGCTTCTGTGAGCACTGGCCGCCGGTGAGAGTGCCCAGAGAACATTGCCTCCCGTCCCTCTGGTCGCTCCATTCACTCACACAGCTAGACACCAACCTGTGGATCATGGATGGTGACTGGGGTGAGGAAGAGGTGCAAGAGGGTCAGGGCCTGGACGAGAGAAGCAGAGATGGGGATTTGGATGAGGATGAGAAAGAGATTAAGTCGTGGAGACAGGAACGGTATGAGCCGGGGGCGGGAGATCCTTGGGACAGAAACAGAGGGCCGGGCCCTTTCTCTCTCTACTCCCCTCACAGCACCCTCGGTCCGTGCCTTTCCGCATTGCACTCCCTCTCATCCCTCACTCTCTCTGTCCACTCTGTGGTGCCCGCAGCTCTCTCCCATCTCTCCTCGCTCACTCGCCTCGAAATGCCCGCTGCTGCATTCGACCCACATGGGTCCATTCTCTCCCCGCCCACACTGCGTCATCTTGACGTTGCCATTCCAAACCTCTCCCTGCTGTTACCCTCTCACGCCTCATCACCTCGTGCCAATGCCACCGGCTCTGTTGGTGCGTCGTCCTCTCGCCTGTCAACTGCCATAGGGGCAGTTGTTGGACCGACAGGCACAGGCACTCATACCAGAAACATCACCTCCTCCTGCTCGACCACCACCGGATTGCATACCCTAGTGCTTCGCTCCACCGGTCGTCTCCTCATCCCCCCCACCACCTCCCCATATCCGTCTCTCCTCCACCTGGAGCTCCGCTCACTGCCCTCTTTGCTTTGGCTCAGCCCTCGCGGCCGGCCCATGACGCCTTCCCGCTGCCTCTTCCCCAACCTGCGCTCGCTGCTGTGTGGGGTGGACGGCGACGAGGGCGGAACGGATGACAGCAGAACGGAAGTAGATGTAGCAGCACTGCCCTCGCTCACGCACGTGTCGGGTGGCGCATGTCTCCTGCGCACAGAAACCACCCCGTCGCTCTACCCTCACCTGCAATTCCTGCTTCTGGATTTCACAGAGCCTCCGCATTCCAGCCCGCACCTCCCTTCCTTCTCTCAACTGCGCGTTCTCTGCCTGGAAATGGCCGGGTTTCCCTGGCAGATGGCCCTGCTCCCCGCCCTCAGCTCTCTGCCGCACTTGCGCTCGCTCCGCCTGTGCAACATACATACGGAAGCACGGTGCTGCGTCTTTGACGCGCCCCTTCCCCTCACAACGCTGCAGCTGTGCAATGCACACCTAGAGTCGGTTCACCCATCCATTGCCCTGCTCGCACGTCTCACCCGCTTGGATCTCCTCAGCTGGATTAATCTGAAGAGCCTACCAGATCAGCTGAATGCCCTGACTGCTCTGAGGAGCCTCGCAGTGTGTGGGTGCCGCAGGGGACAGCCTGATGTGCCAGAGTGCGTTGCACACATGCTACGTGGAAGACGTGGTACTTCCCCCCTCCAGGGTGCAATATTGTGAATGACAGTGCATCCTTGTAATCTGCTCTTCTCCTTGCTACTCCACTTCGGGATGATTGTGGCTAGCTAACATACGGTACACAGGACAAGAGTCTATGCTTTACAGCTGATCACCACACCGCAATCAATCCAGAACTGATTTTATAGAGAATAAATCAAATATACTGGCATCAGAACGTCATTCTAACCTAAAAGATGAAGCAGGCCTCCTACCCTAAAAACTCTCTGTACAGATGGGGGCGCAGCACAGCAACGGCAGGAACGCCTAACTCCCCTCTTCAGATCAATTCCCCTGCCCTACAGCGTCTCCCTCCCCTTATCCATCCTCCCCACGAGTTAGTTGCTACCTCTCTGCTACCCATCAACGCGCTCCCTTGTCAGGCGCCTCACGGCTCCCCATGGTCATCTACTCGCGAGCCACGCGTTTTCCAGCTGCTGGTGCACGCCGGGTCCAAAGCACCGCGCGCGCGTGATGGAGAACCGCGTCGCAGTCAACGACGACGCCGCAGAGCAGCGAGTCGTCTTGAGGATATAACACGCGTGCCGGTGGCTAGATCGCCCCAGCACGACCAGTCCCCACACGCCCGTCTGACACACGCTTCCCGGCCCAGCGGGTGGTAACGGCTGCTCCACCACGCCTGCCATCTCGTCACCGTACCGTCGCGTCAGATCCGTCGGATCTAGCCGGTGCACCAGGATGAGGCCGTCAGGATTGTCGCCCGCGACGGTTTTTCTGACGGTGGACCAGCTGTCAGGGTGCTCCACGACGCCTTCCGGTAGCCGTTGGTACGCGCTACTGGGAGAGCGTTGAAGCGCCGAGGAGGCGTGCTCGTGCGGGGGGTGTTCGTGCGCGGGGTGTTCGTGCGCGGAGTGCTCGTGCGCGGAGTGTTCGTGCGCCGCGTGCTGATGCGCGGGGCCGTCGAAGATGAGGTGGAAGAATGGCGCTTCGTCCAGGTGGCCGATGATCTGGCGGGAGGAATGATGGGATGCGGGGAATTGGGCGATTGATTCACTATCGGACGGGAAGGCGACGGAGAAAAGAAAACAAAAACCGCACGACGAAACTGGAGCGCAAAATTAGCGAATGACAACGGCGCGGGCACGAGCGCGAACCGGCAGACGGAGAATGATAATAATCGCCGAGTAGGAACAGACTGATCGTTCTGCTTCTAACTCGTTCCTCTACTTACTTCCGCGGCCGATCGCTGCAACCATGACTCGAGCCGCTCTTTCGTCACTTCCGGCCCCGCGCTGCTGCAGTCATCTGCATGCATCAGCGCGTCGCGGCTCGCGAGCGCTGGCTCGCCCGCCGCCGCCGGCAGCGCGAACAGCGGCCCTGTCGACCGCGGCCGTAGCGCAGCCACCGCGACCCGCGCACGGCGTCGTGCTGGAGCCACGGAAGCGGTTCTTCCCGCTGTTCCCGGCGATCTCGCCGTTCTCGGCAATCCCGCCGTTATCGCTCTCTGAAGCCATCGCCTGTCAAATGAGAGGAATAACCGTCAGATCGAGCCCAGACTTGGTGTGTGAAATATGAGATCTTAAATTAAAGAGAGCAGTAGGAAGGGGGACATTTCGTCATAAATGAAAAACGAACGCGGGAAACATGTGTAGTGGCCTGCGGCGTGAAACTAACAGTTAAGGCGGCCTACCTCGACGAGCTTAGGCATGAGAGCTGTGTTTTGTTGCCGCCATGTACAGCGAGCAGCGACGACGTGGCTAAGCCGATGGACTCCGACATGATTGCCCGGGCGAGAGGAGGAGCAATCAGGCCAGCAGCAGCTACGGTAGCTAAACGTCGCTGAGTTGTAGTTAGGATAAGAACGTGCAGAAGAACCGAGAAGCTAGCGATCTGAGTTGTGCTTGTGGTTATTTGCAGTGCAGTGCGGTGTGCTGCGCTGCTACTGCGCCGTGCCGTGCCATCCGGCTCTCCCCTGCCCTGTTGTGGCGTGCGAGTGTGTGGTCGTCGTTGTCGTCGTCGTAACCGCACCGCGCAGCGCAAGCCGTGTGTCCGTGTAACCGAACCTCCCAGAGTACAGTACACCCACCAAATTGCCACCAACCAAACTTGAAGAGGGCGTATTTTTGGTTCGCTAGGTGGGTTAGGTTGGGTTGTTCATGTTTGAGTTCGTTTAAGTTGGGTTGAAAAGCGTGTGACTCCCGCGCATCTGGACGATCTCCGTGGTCCCTGGAGTCGGGCCTGCGAGCATTTGCTGAAATTCATGCGGCGAAACGCTGTCGGTTGGCGGAATATGGAGGGTGCGGATTGGCTGTCACGACCATAGGCACCGCTCACGATCACGTTGGGTTCAGGTTTGGTTCCGTTGGAATAATCGCGTCATGTGCACATCCGGCTCACCTATATCGAATCAGTGCACAAACTTTCTATCTAGACCCATTACGCCGTTAACCACAAGGGATAGCGGTTACACCTCGCAGCAAAAGGATCCTCTCAAATGAGTTTCTTTGAACACAGTTCCTTCTGCTCCCGTCTCCTTGCATTATTCTCCTCAAATGCGCTATCCATTACGAGGGCGAGAGCCCTGCCTTGGGTATTCAATGAGCAACATTTGATTCACAGATAGACCATTTCATGTCAATGCACTAGTTTTGAACACCATCAGAGGGCAAATGCCCCCTCTCTACGAATGTCTGTGCCCCCTCTCCCTTTCCCTCTGCAATGTCTCGCAGCACGTCTGGAATGTCATACTCTATGTGGTTCAACGGCACATGGAAGTCCGAAGCGTACGCTTGCCTCACAATCTCAATCGTCTCCTGCCATGGCCGCCACAGGACAAGCACGTCGTGCCAATCAGTCCAATCCAAACCATTAGAGCACGCCACACGATGCCAGTCGAAATCAAAACAATGCCAGCAAAACAGAACACCACAGATGTGACACCGTGGAGCACCGGCAGAAAACACACAAATGAAGCCAGCAAACAAACAAAAAAAACCGTTCCCACCAGGCAGCCACCACCACCTACCATCACCCAATCAACAACAGTACCGTACGTTGTCATGCACGTGTCATGCAGCAGCAGCAAAAAAAAAAGAACCCCCTCAACACACCCCCTACCCTCCCGACCTGACTTCCCCCCCCTTCCCTTCCTTCCCCCCCCCCAAACAGCAGTACCGTACCTTGTCATAAGCAGCGCGCATCCGCTGCTCCGCGCGCGTCTTATGGATCTGAGATCCGAGCTTGAAGATGCGAGCGGGGTCGACGTGGGAGCGGTTGAGGCGGTTGACCACGCGGTGCACGTCGTCGTGCAGCGTCTCAAAGCGCCCCACCTCGTCGTACCGGATCATGTGCAGCCCACACAGCTGCGCCTGCCATGGGGTCACAACCAGGGCCAGATGGCGGGAGAATGGGAGGGTGGGAGGGTGGGAAGTATGAGATGGATGTGTCACCGTCAGTGCAGTAAAGCGTGGCACATCCAGGAAGCGCCCCACCTCGTCGTAGCGGATCATGTGCAGCCCACACAGCTGCGCCTGCCACGGCGTCACAACCAGGGCCAGAAGGGTGGGAGAATGGGAGGGAGGGTGGGATGGGAAGTATGAGATGGATGGGGATGCGGTGTCATGACCAGTGCAGTTAATTGTGGTAAATCCAGGTGGAGAAATGTGCGTGCGCGTGCATACCTGAGTGGCGATGTGAGCATCCCCGTTGCCCCCTGTCTCGCGCACTATATCCGCCACCATGCGCACTGCCGCCTTGAAACCCACTGGCACATCCACCCTCTCCCCATGCTGCTCCAGCCGCTCCTGCCCAAATATCCGCTGGAGGAGATGACAGGGCAAGGGCAGAGGGGGGTGAGGTGCAGATGCAAGGGACGGATGAGGGGAAAGGGTGATTGACGGTGGTTGTGGAGGGACAGAAATGTCGATGAAAACAGTTGAAGGAGGGCAGTTCTGTAACACTGGCACTTTACACACACTGGTATATCTCCCCGCCCCGCCCCTCCCTTCCCCTCGCCTCTTCCCCCCAACCCCCCCCCCCCCCCCTCCACCGTCCCCCTCCCCTGTGCGAAGAACGCCGCACGCACATTGTTCCACAGCGTCACATTGTGCTTCTCCCCGCCGTTCACCAGCTTATCCGCATGCGCGCTCAGCAGCCTCGAGAACGGGTTCCGCACGAACACAAACTTGAGCAAATCCCTGCGCGTCAGCTGCCGTATAGCATCGTCCTCGTCTAGGTCCCGGTACATGAGTGTGAGTCCGTTGAGCTGCGCGTGGTGCGTGTAGTTGTAGTCTGTGAGGTTGCTGAAGCCGTGTGCAGCGCGCAGCCACATCTTCCAACTCGTGCACGCTACCTTCTCCACGAAGCAGTATATCAGCCCCAGTTGCTCTGGGGGACAAGGGGGGTTGGGGAAGGTTGAGCGGGAGGGGAAGGGGAGCGGAAGGGGGAGGGGGAGAGCATTAGAGAGAGGAGAAGGGGAGAGATGCGGAAGAAAGGCAGCGTCAGAGGCTGGCCTGCAAAAGAACTCTGTAAGGGCAACAGCGACAGCTGCCTCTCCGTTCATGCATGCAGTGACCTGGCATTCATCTCTACCAAAGCTCTCTCTTTCACCTTCCAGCCACAACCCCTTCACCCACCCCTCCTACCCCTTGTCACCCCCTCTCCCTCATCCCATCCCTCGCCCCTTTCCTTTCACCCCCTCCCTCCCCCACCCCCAAGGCGCACCATCAACGATCATCTGGTAAGCAAATCGAAGGCTGGCGAGGGGGAAGAGCTTGGGGGACGAGCACACGGGCGCCTGGCGGAAGGGCGGGCCCGCTGCCCCGCGCAGCGCCGTGGCGAGCCCTGTGATCAGCTCCGCCTCGGGGGAGAGCGGCACCGATGAGAAGAACGCTGGCGCGTGCGCTAGCGCTAGAAACTCCGCCACCTGTGGGGGGGGGGAAGGAGGGGGAATGGAGGAGGAGGGGTGTGGGAAACGAGGAGGGAGGAAGGGTTCGGAAGGGGTTTGAGAGTCGAGGGAAGTGTTTGCGGGGTGAGTGTTTGTATAGCCCACTCATTGCAGAGCTAGCTCCCTTGATTCTCACACATCCAGGCCTGGTTCCCGTTTTTGAAACAAATCTGAGCGTTTTAAAGGAATAATAATTAAATTTAAAAGGGCAAGCGGCTCACCTCGAGCTCAGCACACTCCGCCCTCCTGCCCCCGCCCAGCATTCCCCTGTCACCAACCTCCCCTCTCCTCCTCACACCACTCCCCACGCACTGCAGCTGCGCCCTCCGCCGGCTACTCTCCAGCAGCAGCGGCGCACGCGACGCATGAAACATGCCCACAGCAGCCGCAGCAGCGGAGGGCAGAGCAGAGGCGATGGTGAAGTCAAGCGAGGGGTCTCGGAGGAAGTCGTAGGCGAGACGGCGGGCCGTGCAGGCTGCGAGGGAGTGGGAGAAGCGGCGCGTGTTGCAGACCTCGCAGAAGGGTGGGATGATCTGGGAGATGTTGGCGGGACAGCCGGCGCAGGAGTCCAGAGGGGTGTCCTGGTGTGCCGTGGGGACGGGTGGTTGGGGTTGGGGGGTTGGGGATGGGGGTGGGTCGGGATGGGTGTGTGGACGGGGAAAAACGGGGGTGAAAGTGATGAGAAAAGTGCGTTTGTGATTTCTGCAGGTGTTTTTAAGCAGGTAGGATAAGGCAACGGGTAGAATGGAGGAACAAGGTGAGTGAGACAAGAGGGCGTGAGGAAAGCAGGATGTGAGGACAGCACCGCAGCAGGGCAGGGCAGGGCAGGGCACCTCGAGGAAAGCAGCAGTGGAGCGCTGCACGCGTGGGATGTTCTCTTGTGCAAGCAGGCGTGCCACGGCTGGTGAGGGCTGCAGCGTGTGCAGACACGCTGCCAACTCGTCCGCCATCCAACACGGGTCGTCCGCCTAATGGCCGCAACATGGGAGGAAAAGGTGGGCGCGAGCAGGGGGTGGGGGTGTGGTGGTGGCAAGGAGAGACTCAAGCATGTGAAGGTTGGGAGGAAGTGCAAAGAGTCACACCAAAAGAATGGGGAGAATAATGAAATGTGTGGATTCCCATGCTCTTGGAGTAGATTTTGGCACGAGAAACAACATCGCAAATTCCCATTCCCCATTCGTTTGCCTCGTCATACATCCACCCATTTCACCCAGTGCCCTGCCCTTCCCCGCCCTGCCCTGCCCCACCCATCCGTTGCCCTGCGGCCTGTGTCGCACCCACCCATCCATCCCACGTGCTGGCTCGAGTGGACACGAGCAGTCTGACGGGCATACGGAACACCCCGCTTGCTGCACTGCCTCCCACTCCTGTCGCCGCCCCACAGTCCCCCACTGACGCCTGAGTGGGGCAGAGGAGGAGCGGGGAGGGAGGGGGAAGGGGAAGCGAAGGAGGAGAGGAAAGCAGCGGCGCACGAATAGATGAAAGAAACGAGCATGGGGTGAGTGCAACTCTAACTGGGCATAACAGGGCAATCTATGTACACAGCATGGGAAGCAAGCAGCCTACTGACCTACATGCATGCATGCAATCAGTCCCCTCCCCAGGGCCTTACTGCCTTGAACTTGAAGCCGTGTGGTGGGGACCGCAGCAGCGGCCCTGTCACGCACTCAGGCGACACATCCTCCACTGCCCACCTGATGGGGCGGTGGGATGGGGGACGCGGGGAGGAAAGGAGCGGGTCAGAGGAAGACAAGGGAGAAAGAATGGCTCGAGGAGGGATGGATGAATGCAGGGTAAAAGGTGCGCGGTAGCAACAAAATAGAGCTGCGATAACCACCCTGAGACAGGCAGAAAGACAAAAACAACCCAGGCATATCCCAAGGCCCACTCAGCCAAACCATCCCTCCCCTCCCCCCTCTCTCTCCTCCTTCCCCCCACTTTCCCCCCACCCACAGTCACTCACCGGAGGTCGGGTTTGGAGATCTTGGGGTGGGCGGGGAGGGAGAAGAGCGAGGAGAAGGGCGCGGCGTGCACGGGCGCGTCTGTGAGCCACAGCACCTTGAGCGAGAACCCCGCTGCAACTGCTAGCGCCTCCATGCCGCATAATGCTACCAGCCGCGCTGCCATGCTGCCCTGGGGATGGGGGAGAGAGGGGGAGTCGGGAGGGGAGGGGGGGGGGGGGGGGGGGAAGGGGAGTGGGGAGGGGAGTGGGGAGGGGAGGGGGGAGAAGGAGGTGGGGGGAGGGGAGGGAGAGGGCGGAGGGGAGGGGAGGGGAGAGGAGGGGATGGGAGGGAGAGGGGAGAAGGGAGTGGGGAGAGGGGGAGAGTGGGGAGAGGGGGAGAGTGGGGAGAGGGGGAGAGTGGGGAGAGGGGGGAACAGGGGTGTGGGGAGAGCGGAGAGAGAATGGGTGTGGTTGTGGAAAGGTGCGTGCTTCGTGTGCATTGAGACGGAGGGCGGGCTGAAGGTTTGCGAGAGCTAAAGTGCGGCTGGTCGATGGGGAAGAAAGGAAAAGGGGTGGGTTTTGGGGGGGGGAAGGGGGGTGGGGGGGGGGGGTGAGGGGGAGGGGGGGGGAAACGGGGATGGCGGGGAGGAAGAGAGGGGAGAGTAAGGCCAAGTCAAGATAAAGAGGTGTTTCGAAAACTCTCGCAAGTTCTAGGAATCAACTTGTACGACGGGGTAGGCAAGTGGGCGACACGGTGGGCGACGCAGCGGGCAACACAGTGCGCGACAGAGGCGTCGCACGCACCTCGGCGATCAGAACGAGGTCGTATTCCGCCAGGCTGGATGCGGCGGGGCAGCCGCGGCTCGTGAATCTTCGCAGCATCTGGTCGGGCCGCAGCGCGACGCACGCCGCGAGCAGCGCGAGCGCCGCGAGCATGACCGTGGCGGCGAAGGGCCGCTGCTGCGACGGCGCGTGATGCACGCGCGGCGTCGTGGGATGGCGGCGGGATCGCGGCGTTGATGGGTGGCGGTAGGAGCGACTACCGGGGCCGAAGAGGAGATGCATGGTGGACGATTAGAACGGGGCCGCACTAGAGAAGGGGTAGAGAGCCTAGAGCCGTTCTGTTTCTGATTTGGTCCTGTTATGACTTTGTTGAGATGATGATCTGTTATGGTTGGCGAGGGGGACTGGGTGAGGGTGCAGAATTCCGTACTATAACGAACGCCGAGGGAAATTAAAACAGCGCCGGAGTCAGCACGGCACACCGCGTCTAGTTACAGCGAGATGATTTTTTAGGCGCCTCGAAAATACAGAGGCTTGACTACTGGTGGTTAGCCTCGTGGAACATCGAATGTGGGAGGTACGACGGCAAGCTATGGCTCCACGGCTCTTGCTGATCATCGCTGCCAAAGGCCAACTTAATCCTCGCCACTCCGTGATCCATCGTGGTTGTTGCGCATGGTATCCGCGAGTGCGTGAGTGTGTGTGTGTGTGTGTGTGTGCAATGGCCGCGTGGATAGAGCTTTTCTTCTCGTATGGTGGTGGTTGAAGGGAATGAAATGGTATGGGACGGACAAGCAGAACAACGGCGCCGACAAGAATCAGAATTCGTTATTGACATAACGCTATGATGGTGACTGAAAAGTATTTTCCTCCTTTCTACAATCTTTCCCAAGCTTTCCCACTCCATATATGCAGATGATTTCCCAAGCTTCACCACTACCAAGTAGAAGGGACTTGTTGGTCGCTTTGTTAAATCCAAATGTTAGCATCCTTTTCACCAACATCCTGTACATGCTGCATCTACACTGCTCGCTACAGTTGGCTTTGGAAACTCACCACCAGGCTACTTTGAAAGACTACTCCAAACTCAAGTTATCCAGAGCAACTTGAGCCATGTTTGCTGCCCTGCCCAGCCTGAAATAGGATTCCCAACGATCAAACATATTCTTGCACTCAGTATTGATACAGACTACAGGAGCAAGTTCCCCGCCCAAGTGGCAGCGGCTGCACACCCGCATTGCTTGCTGCGTTTGAGCTTCCAGCGATGCCTCAACGCGCTGCTGTGTTACAGCGAATGATAAGCTTTTGGATGACTCTCGGCATGCTTCACAGAAGGAGTGGGACGAGTTGTTGATCCGCAATGGTGCCCTGGAAAGAGAAGAAGATGAGGTGGTGAGAACGGGATACTTCAAAACAGCATGTTTTCTACATACAGAACGCCTTAACGCAAGCCACGTAGTCACGTGCACGCCAGGCACTCACCGGCACGCCAAGCATGTAGCTTGCTTCTTATAGAAAGTCGTCATTGCAGATTGCTGCTGCCCCGGCGCCCGGGTGTGCGGTGAGGTGAACGGTGAAGGAGCGGCGGAGGTGGGAAAGGCAGGAGGCATGGCAGGGCGGTGAGACGAGGGGACAGGTGCGAAGATGGATGCCATGTCCTCTGGTGATAGGAGGTGCTGGAAGATCTGAAGCAAGGAGAAGGGAGTGGGGAGGGAGGGGTGAGGGCGTGACATGGGGATGGCGAGGGGTGGATTGGTGAAGACAGTAGGAACGTACACAGTTGGGAGAGGTGTTGGAAGATCTGAAGCACGGGGAAAGGAGTGTGTGGGTGAGAGAGGGGAAGGGGGTGAGGGGCGAGGGCGTGATGTGGGAATGGTGACGGGTGGATCGGGGAAGAAAGCTGAGAGTAGGAATGTACAGTGCATGGAGCATGGACAGGGGTACGGAATGGTGAAGGTATGCTAAGAGCCTCCAGGCTCCAGTTACATTGTTTGCTGGACGGGCCAAGAGTGAGCAGAAGCGGAAGGGGAAGCAGAGGGCACGAAATAGATTCAAGAGGGTAGGTGGACGCACGGAGAAGAGTGGCTTCTGCAGCTTGTTGCGTGCGTACACAGCCGCGTTGGGAGGCAGTTGGGAGAGGAGGGCTCGCAGAGGCTCCTCTGCCATATCATCCTGAGAGAACATGACAAGGCAGCAGCACCGTTGGAAAGTGAAAACACCGCCAAGTCTCGTTTCAAGAAACATGGCGAGTGAAAACACGCTTCGTCCACATGAGAAAAAAGGTGAGTGAAGTTGCAGCAAGAGCAAAGATGTTGCGCTTGCAGCCACGGTAGGTAGGTAGGTACCTGCAGCCGTGATCCGCTGTCAAGAAGAACGTATGGAATCCGCTCCCCAATAAGAAACCGACGGTCAGGATCGCGCGCCTTGAGACGAGCAGCAAGAGCCACGTGTGGGCCCCGCCCCTCCTCAGCCGTTGCCGGCCCACCTCCCTCTCTCCTTGCTCCCCCCACTGCTGCTGCTTCTGGTCGCTGAGAGGAGTGAAGGCCTCT